GAAGAATTTAAGGTCTGTCTACTGTCGGGAGTCTAAGATTGTGAAACTAAAACCTGATGTGAATGTGTGTGAAATGAAGAGAGTGAAAGTTGCTCCCTGCTTCTATAGGCCCTGTTTCTGATTTACCAGTATATGTCACCCTCCAAATACCCCCACCTCCCCACCTCTCCACCCCCTTTGTGTGTGCGTGTGTTGGGAAGTCTGTGCACTGCATAAAGGGTTCTTTATTCCAGTCGGACAGGGAGAGGAAATCAGCTTTGGAAGTAAAAACAGAGGGACCAGAGGAGAGCGATGGAGACCACAGGGCTGCACATCTGGAGTTATTACAAGGCTTCCTCCCGTTTGCCAAGACGACGCAGACATTCCTTACCCTTGCTACAAAGACCACGGAGCCGGAGCTCAGGTCCAATCCCACTCCTACACAGGCACATCCATCACTGGGAACCACGGTGACAGTGCACTTACATATACTGCGAGCTAAAGTACTCATATCTCTCAATACACTCACAAGCATACACAGTTATGATTAATATTAAGAAAGCTTTAGAATACATTTGAAAATTAGAAGCGGTTATTTTTTTCTACACTTGCAAAAAAACATTTTTGTCCGACAGGTGAAGCAACAAATAATATTATTTGAATGATTTTCTTCTTGAATACAATTATTTTACAAAGTTTTTACGTAGATACCGATACCTGTGTGTGCAATTTAAACCTTCTTTCCTACTTGCAGTTTAACCCTTCCCCAAACTTTACAACAAACAAATAAAAGTAACTCACTTCCTGTTCACCTTTGACCTTGCACTTTCTCTCCCAAAAGGCAAAGAGGGGAAAAGGCAGTGCAAAAGTGTCCAGACTGAGGGAGGGGAAGTGAGGAAAGGAAAAATGGGGGAGCACTGGAGCTCCGCCCACAGCGCTCTCCCTATCTCCACTCCACTACTTTGAACCCTTTTCTTCTGCTGTCTGCTCAAGGAGAAACTTAGTGGACAGTCTTTTGCTTTGCCACGTCAAGCTACTACAACTTTGGGGTAAAGGCTGAAACATCAAGAAATTATACAAATCTAACCAGCGGTAGTGTACCAAAAGTGGGATGAAAAACCCAAGGATGCCCAGCCATGGAAGAGTAATCAACAATGGAGACCAAGATGGACAGAGAAGCCAAGATAAAAGGATCAAACCATTCAGGTATTCATCTTGGTAAAAGTTTTTGCTTATACATAAAATTGAAAAGATTTGTTTTTTATTTATTGCGATAACAGCTATTCAAATGTATGTACCAGGAAATAGTTGCCCTCAAAAATGTTAATCTGTAATTTGGATATATATTCTGTCATTCTTGGATGCGCTAGCTTCACTTTGAATATACAGCCCTGTTACATTGTCACATCTGTATCCATATTTGAATTTTATCACGGGTTTACACTGTCTAGTATTATTACGTACAGACTAATTCACTTTCATTCTTACATAGTTTAAATAATTGCGTTTTTTTAACAATAACGTATACCCCCAGGGGATATTAAAGTCATGTCTGTTTTTTGCTTCTGGAAGTCAGGTCTGCAATGCTACTCAACTCAGCAGGATGCCTCTGTTAGTTTTATATTTGCCAATCAACAGGCATCACCTCTGCATAACCTCTCAACCACCTTAATTTATCTCTTTAATCTGTACAGCTCAAATACTCTTTTTAGCATAGTCAACAATGTAAAGACATGCTAAAAGAGATGTGTAAAGCTTGTTAATAAAAACTGCCTTGGCAACATCTTTAAGCCCAGCCCGCCTGCCCAGTGTTCAGACTACCTGTTCAGGAAGTAGTGGTTGTACAGTAGTCTGCACATTGGTTAGGCTGGCCCAGGGAAAAGACTACTACAGCGCTGGATGGGACAAGCAGAGAGCACACACCCGGCGTGAGGGAGCACCACCCTTCGCCCATCTGGATAAACATGGGCACGAGGCTAAAAAAAGCACCGAAAGGCCCCACCGCAGAGGGCTTGGACTAGATTCTGAGCGACAAAGATGAAGTTTTATTTATTACGTGTGATAATACATTGCAATCATTTTAATAAAGTTTTACATAAATGTTACGATGTTTGTCTAATCTGTAATTTGTGACTTTATGTTATGGTTTTGGTTGCATGCATTCAGACTGAAATGAAATTCAGACTGACTTACTCTCTACATAAAAGGAATCATTTCACATCACAACATAGCACTCATTACCAAAATTCACAAATACATCTCCGCCTTCACTAAAACCACTTGTGGCTCTTTTACCTCAAATGACCATGTAATATGCAGAGTAACAGGAAGCGACTGCAAAAAAATATATTTAAAAGCCCAGCCCGTCTGTCATTGTCTGCACCCCATTTTTACGAGTCTCTGTATAGCTTCATCTAAAAAAGTAACTAGAAATTGTGGTTGTAGGTGACGTCATGAGAAAAGTTCACTTAGACCCCCTGCTTTGTTTTGTTGTCTTCTGAAGCAAGTATGTCTTTCATAAAGAAATCCCACAAAGCAACATTTTTCTCAAACAACAGCCTTGAACATTCACACGGTGTTGACATCTCGCAAAGTTGTCTGCAGGAATGGGAAACCACAAACCAACCTGTTTCCATTTAAAGCTGTGCCTGAGTGTTTTTTATATATATACATGCAAGACTTAAGCTCAACAGCACTCACACACAAGCGGACCCAGAGTCTGCCTAACCCCCAGGATGTTTACAGCTGGGATCACCGGGCCAGTCTGGCATTCTGGACTTTTTACTGGCCAAGAAGGGAACCCCAAACACATTAAAAACTTCAATGGTCATTAGATCATAATGCCAGTAACACCGCGCAAGTACTTGTGACAAAATTAACCCTAATTTATGATGAGCCTCAGGGATGTGCAACCACTCTGTTTAGTTTGACTAAATCTGGAAACTATTAGAGTTTAATTCTTGATGCTATTTTACATATTTATTATTAAGAAACCATTTCACAAAACTAATGAATGAATAACTACTGAAACCAATAACTGAAAGTTAGTATTAAATGCACAGATTGTAGGAGCCAAAATGTTATTTGTAATTATTTAAAATAAACTTTTTTTATTTGTAATTATTTAAAATAAACTTTTTCTGTATCGTTCGTTTGATTACTATCTCTCACAAAGATTGTGTAAATAAAATGTTTTTTGGTTGCAAATAATTTGAAATGATCACAGAAACCTTCTCTCATCTGCAATGCTACCACAAAAAACAGACTTTTATGAATCATGTTGTAGTAACCACCTCTTTCCAAATACACAGCCCTTCTTCCTCTCATTCAGCTACAGCTCTGCCTGATTCAAAGATCTGGCATGTCCTGTGGTAATAAAGACCAGAGGTTGACACACACACACGCACACGTCTCTACTCACACACACTCCCATGCGTTTAAACCAAAACATCCTGGCACCGTTCCTCGCCTTAAAAGTTATTATTAGTGTCTGGGGGTGGTGAGTATTTCTCCAAGTGCCAGACTACGGCAAGGGTTTTCCCCAGGTGGCAGCCAATAAAAAGTTTGCCGCACTGTTTTGCGAGTTTAAAAAAATATCTAACAGTAAGTGTATGTAAATGTGCAGGATGTGCAGAAATCTGCGCATGTAATTTTCCAACATGTGAGCCGTAAATCTAAACATTTTACTACTTCCAACTTTTGATCAACGGTGTGTACATTGGCAAAAGTCCACCCAGGTGCACGTTTAAGTATGCTCACTTGAGTAGTGTAACCCCCTGTGTCAACGTGTGTGAGAAGGCTACATTAAACATTCTGTTTGGAAAGAAAACATCATGGAAAGTTTCAACTTTTCTACAGTTTTTGGTCTTTCAACAACTTGCAATGCCTTGGCGCAAGCTTTGGCACTACCTTTGTGTGACTTTCTCCCATATAACAATAGGGCAAATAGAAACTTATCAAATTTAAATGGGTTTATGTTATGTGTCTGGACAACTGGAGCCTAGATACAACTAAAACACAAGACCACATGTGAAACAAATTACAAGAATGATTTTTGACTAATGTTTATTATTGGAAAGGATTAAACAGTGGGTTTGCACCCGAGTGGATAAGAATGTGGCAATGCATGATTAGCTGTATACATTTTTAAGCTAATATTTCACCAGCAGTTTCTCCTTCACCTCCTCCCTTGTTTCCATTTGTCCTCCAGTTTTCCCTACATTCTCATGTTCTTTGTAACTGCTACAACTAACAGATTTTCCTCCTCTCACTTGCAGTTCTGTGCCCTTTCTTTGAAACCAACCAGGTTTATTAGAAGCAGCTTGTGTGTGAGAGAGAGTGTGTGCATAATTGGTAACAGGGCAGGGCAGGGGGCTCTGGTATGCACATGTGGGTGCCAGCTTCAGGGTCTGACAGTCTGGGGGGTCTTTGGAGAGGCCATTCTCCTCAATGATACAGGCACATACAAACAGATATCTTGGAGTGAGTGAGAGAGCGGCTTTGGCTACTACCCGGAGACACCGAGACTGTGGCTATGTCCAGGAGTTCTGCAAAGCATCATGGGACACCACCATGACCAGCTGGAACATAATTGTAAATTGACACAGGCCACAAATCTAGACACTCAGTGGAGTTAAAATTATCTATTACTCATATAAAATGTAAAATCTGAGTGTGTGCATTGCAGAGGTTGTGAATGTAAAGACAGAGATAGCGGGAAAAAAAAAAAAGTTAAATATTGGTACAACCTATTTGGTTCTTGTTAATGCAATCACAAGCCAGCAAACCGTAGCATCTAAAAACAATATATTTATTGTGTTTGTTACATCAGTCTTTAATCTGCCTGACCCTGTAAAGTGAATGACTAAAAGCTTTTTGTCAATTGGCGTTTGTTTGTCTGGCAGCTTTCCAGCAGATGATTCACACTATCAGGCTCTGCTGCTGCTGCTGCTCTTCACATTGTAACCATGAACAGCGAGTACAGAAAATGTATTTACAACCCAATCCAGGCTTGTGCTTACCTCATCATCCTTGTACCAGGACAGGGACTCAGCAGTGAGAACGAACCAATACTCTTTGGCCCCACCCTTCATAATGCCAATGTTGTTGATGGTGAGCCAGCCCTTCCTGATCACCTATACAGATAGAAACATAGGAGGAGGTACAACTGTATAATACCTTTTTATTTTATATATTTTAAACACATTTATTATTTCATTTCCATATTATGTGTTAATAACTACAAGACACCAACAAAACACATTAGCACTCTAGATTATCAACTTTCCATCTAGATTATTCGCAACCTAAACTACTGATCATTTTGAGTCCAGTTGTTTACCTTGAAGCGATCGTTAACTCCTCTCTCAGGCTGAATAAGGATCAAAAGTATGTTAAAAAATGAGGGCTAAATGGGAATCTGGGCCATTCTTGCTTATTTTCAGCCAGCAGGGGACAACAAGCAGGGAGGGGAAATATTACATGGAAACAAGGTGCTTTCAGGGCATACACTGAATAGTCTATTTTAATCTAATAACTAAAATAGTTTTATGGGGGTTATAATTATATTATTATTGCATTATTCATTTGTTATTGTTTGGAAGCTCTTTATGACTCTGAGTGTGCTCTGTTCAATGTGCAGAATAGTTTTAAGATATTTCCCCTTGTGGATCAATAAAGTATCCTTATACAATAATATCAAAATTTTTCCATCCTAATTTTTTTTTAGTTATGCTACATCTTAGCAACCTTTAAGCCAAAAAATCAAAAGCACTTAAGAAGCAAAATCACTTAGTTTTTTTTTTTAAGCCCTGTAGTGCTCACCATCACAGTCAGGGCAGTGCTAGCATCAGAGGCTGCATGCTCTTAAAGAAGGCACAGCTACACCCATCTTTAAACAGGAAATATAGCTCAACCCCGTGTTTACAACAAGAACCTGACCTTTGACCTTCAGGCTGGATGGTTGTTATGACAACTGATTACTACTACTTTGTCTGCTACTTGATGGATTAGTCATATTTGATAAGTGTTTCTTGTTTTATCTATCTATATGGGTAGTCTGGACTTGCAGATCTCGTAGCAAACATTACTTGTTTTTTAGTATAAAAAGCATTAGACACACTATCAATACTTACCATGATCTCATCCTGAAGAAATAGAAGCCCAAATGTACCAAAAAAGAAAAAGACAGAAATTATTCATAAGAAAAAAAAATAAAAAATCTATACTTTTGAAAGGCATATTTTCATATGAAAGAGACACAAATAATGTTCTATTGTTGTATACAACTCTGGCTTTGTCAAAAAGCTTTGTTTAACCACCTATTAGATTGGATGAAGTTATATTTTATGATCGATCCAGTCCGATGAAGACTTCTACTTGTCCAGCTTTTTCTTGTATGAGCTGTGCAGATTTAGTAGAGAACAGCATGACTGCTTCATGATCAAACAACTGTTGGCCATTAGTAACTGGCTGCTGAATGCATGCAAGATGTACAGTGTTGTGTTGTGAACGATATAGTGTGTTGCCCAGGGAGACAAAGCACTATAAAGCTGTACTACATTTAACATGGAAAACAAAACCTGACAGAAGAAACATTTGTAAAGACTTCAAATGAAAGGATTGAATGGCTTTAAACAGAGTCCATGTTCACTCTCTTAAACACTGAACCCAATACATGCAACGGCAGTTCATATACAGAAATTGTCTGTTTACTCTGTACCTGATTACCGGCGGCCTTCTTCTTGTTCATTTGATTAATCCTCTGCTGAGCGCTGCAACAAAAGCATCCACAAACTTTATCTTCAAATGTCCGCTGACACATCTGGCAGCAATATAGAAACCACTAAATCATAAACTACTGTAAATGGTGGGAATTTCAAAACAGAAACTTACTTGGCAAAACCAATAAAGTCTTCATGATTGGTATTCATGTAGGATAGCTCAATGTCAATCAATAATAACACCTAAAAAAAATCGGCATACAGAAGTGTTTCACTCATCATCATAAAATTCTTTCAAATTATTATTACTATCCATCCATCCATTTTCTTTCACTTTTGTATTTATAAGTCTATCTATTTCTTTATATAAGTATATATAAAGAAATAGATGCCAAATTTGCTGTTTTGGTATGAATGGTTAGAAATAAAATGTGTATATAGTGTACCTGCTTTTCTTTTTTAAATGGGTTTGTTTATAATTTGGTACTTGAATGTATATGGTAAATAATTTTGATTACCTGTTCCTTAGTGCGGCTCTCTCTGTCCCGAATATGCTGAGTGACAATTCTTTCCATCTCTTCTCGGAGCATTGGATACTGAGCCAGCTGTGAGCATAGACAGCAGTGGGTAGGTAGAACAAGACAACTTATCACACATAGACTTCACAGGTCTACACCACAGCATCAATGTGAAATCACTCAACCACTTCTCACTCAATCACAACACACAGATCCACTAATACAAGCAAAACATAAATAAATAGGTACAGTGAATCCCAGACTCTGCATTTGTATTAGTATACCCGCAAATACAATAGATGGATTTTCATGAGAGCGATTTGTGAAATGTCCAATGTGGAACTAATGAAGAAGAATAGAGCAGAGTCTGTGATATTACAGCACAAAATCAGAACAATGTTTCTGGCAGAAAAGCTTCCCTTTCCCAGCACACTGTGGGCCTTTTTCCATGAGCTCATTGCAAATCCACAAATGCAGACATTGGTGGGTTTCCAGTGAGACCCAAACACATTTGGAAAAGTGTAAAGGAAAGAGGAAAAACGTCCAAATGACAGAAGAAGAAAAATATACTCTACACTGTTTTCTTGCAAGTTACAATGCAGCTTTGGTGTGGTTTTCAGAGTCAGCTCATATCAATAGACTACTTTCTGGTTTCATGATTTACAGCTTCCTGGCGCGACTCCATGACATCCATAAAGAATAGGAGCTTTATAACAAGAGCACTCATATTTAAAGGGTATGCCACTGAGATACCAGAGTATAAAAATGCTAAAACATGACTTAAAACATCATTATATGCAAAGTAAGGAAACAAATATAAAGATAGAATAATATAGATAGTAGATAGTTGTTGACTACCAAATTGAATACTGTAATTGTTTTCTTGAGCAAAGCACTCCCCATCATTTCCTACATTTTTGTGGTGGCCGTGAATGCAGAATGGCATTATTTTCCCATCGAAAGCACTTTGTAAATATATTTTGCCTGTATATACTGAATTTAGTTCTGAAAATATTTAAACAAAAGGTGCATTGCAACTTGAAGTTGTACGTTTGTTTTAAAATCCCATATGAATTATTAGTCCAAATTTGACTTGGGCAGCAGGCAGATGATGAACACTGATATAGTGACATGCGAAGCTCTGAAGCCATGGGGGGTGGTGAGGGTCAGGAGGCAGGGAGACTGTTATCTGGCTCCTTGATTTCCCAAATACTATGTACAGTATTTTAAAAAAAAAAATACAATGATATATATTGCCTTTAGGCTGAAAAATTCTGCATTTAAGAAATCCAAAAGAGGCCATGCTATTTTTTGTCACTTGCTGAGATAAAAGCAAGAGGTTAGAGGATGAAAAGATGGAGAAGAGGAATGACTGAGAAAATAAAGACACGCTAGTCAATTAGTGGTCAGTGAGTAGAACTACACCATCAGCCACACCACTTAAGTAAATTAAAATCACAAAACAGAAACATACTGGTTCATAATTTAAAATAAAAATAAGATGATTTGTATAAATGTTAACTATCTAGCATGCATTCTATTGTCAATACAGTCAGGTTACAGCTCATTCAATTTGGCAGATTAAAGTATTTTAAGTATGCCACTTATACTGTTATATGCGCAAAAGGGGATAGACCGATATACATCTTCTAGCACGGATCAGACATATACACAACATATCCAACAACATTTTTTTTTTACTTTACTAATTGAATTTCTACTTTTGTGGAAACATTGTAACAAATGTGTAATTGTATCGGTCTAACCCTGCCTTACCCAAATTGGAGATATTTTACCTTTAGGCTACACTTTCGAATGGTGGAGGTCAGTTCGCTCACTACCATATCTATACACTTCAGGCAAGGCCCCTTCAGCTTAAGGATCAGCTTTTTCACTATAGCTTCAAAAGCCAGATCAGGGGTGAAGAGCCCCGTTCTGTAGGGATAGGCAAGGGCACGGGAGAGAAGGGACAAAGCCACAAATAGTGTGGGAAGAAATAAAAATTCAAAATAAAGAGGACACAGTCATAAGTGTAGATGAATACACCACCAAGGCAGTCACAGAAGGGCAGTTTTAGAAACAGGTGAAATAGAGGATTGAGTAGTGACAAGAAGATGAAGATGGACTAGAGTGGGGGTCAGCAGTATAGAAGGTGGAAAGTGCAGTTGGTTTCTCCAGTAGTCATTCTTCAAACAAGATTGTGTTCGAGTCTCTCTCTCAAAAAACCTGGATAATTAACAGCCAACAACTCAAAGCCACACTGAGGTAGCAGCTGTACACCTAAGCAGTTGTCCACTCCACCAAATATTGCTATCACTTCCTATTGTCCACCCCCAATAATATAGTAATAATAATAGTAATAGTAATAATACTTTGAATACAGGTAGAGATCTGCAATGAAGACCCATAATAAATGTGGTCTGTTTCTGCGGCAGGTGCACAGCTGCAAACCTCCACATAAGAACCGTCTGTAAACTGAGGTCATCTAATGTAGCTGCCAGTATACTCAAATGATTGGCACGTGAATTTATATCATGTCTGTGTATACATTAAAAACTATAAATCAACTTCACATGTGACCTTTTGGCAGTAAAAGTTGGCTAAGCAGTTTTATGGTGAATGAGATGTGGCTTTGTTGAAGCAGTACCGACTCAAAACAGTACTGTGCCTAAAGCTAGTTGGAAATTAGTTAAGGGACTATAGCTTATTTACTACATTGTCCATAGGCAACCACGTTTTGATGACTGCTCAGTTTTCACACAATTTTCTGCTCAGCTCCACTACAGCCAGCCTATCCATCCAAACCTATCCAAAGCAGAAGAGGTGGGCAGGCAGATGACAACAGCACCAGGGAGTATACATCAAGGGGCACTAGGTTCAAAGAGCTATCCATCATTAGCTTTGTTCTCTTTACCTTCTTTGTACACTGTCTAACCGTATTGACTAGCTCAGATATGACCATGTCCACACATTTGGTGCAAGGTTCTTTAATCTTCCCAATCTGCCTTTTTACAATGGTCTCAAAGGCCATGTCCGGAGTGAAGAGGCCCGTTCTGCATCCCAGAGAGAAAACAGCCAATGGGCCACAATGGAAGAAAAAGGAGTGAATGAAGAAAGAAAGTGTTAATTTGTGAATAAGAACAAGTTCTGTCAGTGTTGTGTCTTATAATGTAGTGAAGTTATAAATATATCATATATATGTAGCTGAATGGCCATTGGCTATTGTGTTTTTTCCTTGTGCTACTCTAAATGTTTCTTGTTTCATATGTTGAAAATGAGTAAAGTAACTTATATACTAACCAACAAACTAACAAAAAATCTCTGGAATAAATAGATTCTATAGATGATAACGGTGGCCTAGAAGTTGTTGATTTATATAAAACAAAAGCAGCAGCAGCAGACCAACAGGACTCCACCATCATAAAAATTAATATTTTATCCATCTGTTAATGTTTCTCAGTTGTCTGACTTCTTATAGTACTATATACTGTAAACAGAAAAGGACATAGCAAGAGGACACAATAGGGTTAAAATGAAAGGAAGACGTGCCTGATGCCATGGATGTTCTTAATGGCGTAGCTGATTTCTTTGCGGAGTTCTTTCTCATTAAACTCCATCTGAAAGAATAAAAACGTGCACTGAGAAATTGCAAAATACTGACGAAATGTTGAGCAAAACATCTTTATTATAGTGAGCCACACTTGCTTTTATGAAGGAAATATTTCACATAGCAAGCTTGACTAAACCCAAATCATTTACCCCTTCACTTAACTAAGATTACAGCTTTCTAAGATAGGGGTGTGTTGTGCTTTCCTATATGCTTACTATTGCAGTCATTTCCAATTTCCCCAATAAATGTCCATACTTTTTTCAAGGCTACATTAGAAACATATAAAACATTATGATTAAGGGACTTCTCAGATAATGTCTCTGGCAGATGCTGAGATTTCCTGTATATAAGGGAAGGCTATGTTTTGTAAGCAACCTGTAGAAAACCACTGGCCTCAGACAACAGCTATGAGTTTTACAGCCTCAGAGGGAGAGTCAAATGGGAACTGACAGAAGGGAAGATTATATGGATAAAATAAATGTCACTTAAAATATTGTGTATTATAAAATGTGGGCTATGAAAAGCTTTTCAGTTGTGGCTTAAAATGAAAATGTATACACATGTAGGTCTGTTTGACTATTTCAAACTGGGAAAAAACAGAGCAGTGGAATCGCACCTTGACTAGTTCGAAGGGAAAGCGCTCGTGAAATATACGGTTGATCCTTGCACCACCAGAGAGCTCGGCTGTGTCGATCTGATCTCCAGACCCTTCTATACATTTATCAAAGTCCACAGAGAACTGCTGTACCATTCTACAGGCAATGAAGATACAATGTACATCAGTATAACATGCATCTATGGGGTCTTGCGAAAATAATCAATGCACGTACTGAAGCAGAGCCTTGGTTTTACGTGACGGATCATCAGGCCTGAAGTTCTTGTACTCTTCCACTTCTTTCTCGATAGAGAGCAGTTGACTCTGTAGCTTAGCCCGTAAATTTGGTAGTGTGTCTCGAATGTGGTTGGTCAGTTGCTGAACAAGAAAATCATGAAACCAAGGAATGTTATTCATTTGGAAGTAGTGAAGTATAAGCACTTTTCACATACCTGATTGAGGACTTTCTGGAGGTAGGGAGTGCCCATGCGGTCAGCCAGGTGCCTGTATGCAGGATGAGACAGAAAGAACTTCCTTTCTGCAGCCATAGCAGCATTAATATCCTTTTTACCATCAATGTCTTTCTGGCTTCTGTTCACCACACCGATGTAACCTGAAAATAATAGGGGGGGGGGTCAAGCTGAACAGTTGTTCTGGCATTCAGTAAAAGAGTTAATTTTAAAACTGTCCACTTTCATTTAGCCAGAAATCTAGAACAAAAGATACAGATGTGAATAAAGGTGTTACGGCCCCAGGCCTTAGTTCTAATATTTCTGCAGAGTTCTCTTGATTCCTGCTGCACAAGCCCTGGTCTGTGATTGGTGGGGCAAGTCAACGCCCACCTCACCTGCAGCCACTGCCTCCTATTTAAGGAGATTGCCAGCACCTGTTCAGGGCTGCTGGCCTTGGTGGCCAGTCTGCCATTTAGTGTTTGTTTGTGTGTTTAGTTTAGTTCTGTTTTGTGCCTTTTTTGATTTGGTCACTCGATTCTGTTTGTGGGTTTATGTGGTTTAATTTGGGGAACTTGTGTTTTAGTTTAGTGTGTGTCCTTAAGTTTTACCACTCCTTTTGTAAGCCTGCGTGACCCCTTTTCTGGCACAAAACTCTGTTTATTCTGTTGTTCTGTTTCTTAGTTTAGGTTGCTTTCTGTATATTTTTAGTCTTTTGTTAATTTACCTTTACATTCCTGTTAATTAAACATTATTTAATTTATTCCATTTTACATCTTGGTTTTATTTTTGTTACTTCCCTCACCCCAAACTTGCTGGGTCGTAACAAAAGGAATAATATGAACAGTTTCATGAATCCGAGATGATATGCAAATACAGAGACAAAGTAAAGAAAGCAAAGATAAATCATGACTTTTATATGTGTTTCACCTCCCATTAAAGTTCCTCATGCATCACTCCGTTAAAGGCTGTTTCATGCACTATAACCTACAGCAACTGTGGGCCAGAAGCCTTGTAAATACACAACTAAGGCTGAGACAGGGGGGCATTTTCTGGTGTAAAAACTGAGAGAAGCAAAGAGCCATGGAAAGTATACTCATGCCTTTTGGGTTATACTAAGTGCAAATGGAAACAACAGAAAGCCCTGTATCAGCACATTGCAAAGAAGACTACCCACAGAAGGCAAGCAAACTCTTTTCCAAGACTTTCTCATCACCCCCTTTTTACCATCCTACACTCCATCCCCTTTCACCTTTTAAACTCTGTTCTTCTACTCCCGCTGCACCAAATCCCACCCTCCAAATACTTTTCTTTTTAAGCAGCTACAGTTGGAAGGTGGTGTGACCACAAGAGGGAAACAGTGTGTCATTGCATGACGAGCACTAGTACTTACCTCTTCTGAGGGGAAGCAGCTTATTCTCAAGAATGTCCTTGGCATCTGTGCCCTCATCCATCAAGTCCAGCTTGGTAATCACGCCTATGGTCCTCATGCCTAGATACAAATAATATAAGAATATATTACCTTTATCAAATAAGAGTATGAAGAATTTTGCATGGATCATTTTGAGATAAGTTTTGAAAGATAGTTAAGGTTTATTCTGTTTTCTACTTTTCCATCACACTGCATGTCTGAGGAGAGCTACAGACAGTACATCTAAAGAAACTAAACAATTGCATTGTAACTCAATTGTTTTATCAAATTATGTAGTATCTTATCTTTATGATATTTCTCTTATACTCACAGTATATTCCAATTATTCAAGCTTTTATTGTGTGACCTGAATATATTTAAGTAATGATTCATTTACTGCTTTTTTTTTTTTTTTTTTTTTAACTTTACTCTAAAAAAGTCCCCATTGACAATAAAGAAGACATACAAGACTTGCTTACTAAATAGAAGTGTGTGCATGAACCCAATTTTACTTACCCTGAGGGTCGACCTCTTTGGCAATCTTCAAAGCATCAGAGTTGGCTAAATCTGAATTTGCTGGAGACACAGCGAGCATCAAACAATTCTCTTTGGTGACAAACTGCATCAACATCTCACGAATCTGAAACTCGATGTCTGCAGGTTGATCTCCCACTGGTACCTTGGTCATACCCGGTAGATCCACCAGTGTTAGGTTAAGCACTACATGAATGACAAGTGAAAAATAAGAAGAAGCAAAAATGTATGACTGTTAATTTGTAGTTAGCCTCTCACCATGAGGAGAATAAACTCGCAGGTTAATGGGTACAGGAGAAATCCCTTTGTTAGCTCCAGTTACACGATCAGTTTCTGCTTCAATCTCCTGCCGCACCTCATCAAAATCTGTAAATTTCTTGCCCTTGCAATGGAGGAACTCCGCATACTCTGAAAGAGAAATATATTTATCAGTAAAATGATAGATCATTTTAGATGATGAATTTACAGGCTTTTCAAACAAATACTGTGCATTAGTAAATCACCCTTCTCCATTTAATGAGGTAACCTTTAAAAACTGGAGTAATCCCAAACTGAATCCCCAAAAAATTCAATAGAAAATCTATGCAAACAAGCTAGATAAAAAAATGTAAGTGAAAGTTATTTTCACCTGTGGGACAGTTCATGAGCTGCAGCACAAGGGGGCGACGGGTCACAATACCAGACCCACGTGGTAGGAAGTCTCTGAAACATACGTTAGAAATATATATATATATATATATATATATATATATATATATATATATATATATATATATATATATATATATATACACATATATAACACACACACACACACACACACACATATATATATGTACACACACATTTCTATATGTGTTTTACAATCAGTAGGTAAGACAATCAAATGACAGGTCAAATGTCAAAGATCCTCTCATCATGCAAACAACAAAAGACAGGAAAAAATGCAGTGAGACATTGACTGGTTCATTCAGTCTAGGTACACATTCTACAAGGTGCCAGATGTTGTATGCAATGAGCATTAACTCTGAATTTTTCTAAAATATTTGAAGCATATGCACAAGACTGGCTTTAAATTGCATGATAAACAGAAACTACAGGTTGTTAACTTAAGAAGCAATGTTGTTTGTTGTAAAGTTAGTGAATTGAAGCAGTTGCCTTTGCACTGATTCTGTATGATAACACAGTGTGTGTTCCTTGCAGTGGTGAATAGCCAATGAGGTGAATTGTTGCTTGGGAGTAGATGTCCAGATTAGGGCAGAGCCAATAGGAAGAGGTGATATGGAGTGGCCCAAACACGGATTAGAGTTAATCTGTAGCAGGGGAAGGACAAACATCCAGCTATTTTCCTTTAAAAACATCCCTGTTTGAAGTATTTAAAAAAAATTAAAAATAAATAAATAAATAAACCAACAACAAAAAAAAACAAAAAACAAAACATGACAATCAAACAGAATGTATCAATAACTAAAATACTTTTAGAATAAGGTAACCAGGAAGCCTCATAAAAGTAATTTTTAAAAACATGGCTGTTGTGCACATGAATCATAAAAGAAAGTACAATAAATTACATAAATAATGTCTCAATAATTCCATAAAAAGTATTGTATTGTATTTCTACAAGAGTGGGTATACTTCAGGCATTCACAGTGTTATGTAACGCCAGTGTGACACTAGCCCTATATCATACACTTAATCCTTGTGGGGGAAGGGTTCAATTTCAGAAAGCAGTGGCACTTTCAAAGATCTTCACATATACAGTACAGTGCACTCACGCAGTGCTACCATATGGCTAAATCAGACAGTGGATTTTAATAAAACATAATGGACCCATGCACTTTGACCACCCAAGAATACATCTAGTTTGTAAGTTTATGTAGTTTAATTAAAGTACAAAAAATATATGTATTTATTTATTATATATTATATAATAATAATGTATTATATTATATAACATGAGTGATTTTTTTGGCCACCACTAAACAAACAAAAAAGACTCTTGCTCAGCTGTAACCATTTTACTGTGTGTTGTATACATCTCATAGTAGTGCAGTAAAGTATTTAAATTTCTTAATTAACCAATATTTAAAATGGTGAGTAACCTTAGTGTTAAAAAGCAAAGAGCTCTCCATGGTGCTGAAAACACTTAAGGCCTCCAGTAACAGTGCTGTGCATGTGTCTTTTTTAGTTTATGTATGACTTATTTTGAAAATCACTACTAATTTAGATGCTTTGTTACTTGACCCAACTCCACTTCCACCTGACTTATTCTGTGCTGACACTAGAAGCCTTTAGGCTCTGGGGACCTGTAAATCTGGGAGATAATTAAACACTTGGGATGAAAGGATACAACCAAAAGCATAGAAGAAGAAGGAAAATAATAGCATGGATTTAGTAGTTATAAGCTATATGGTGCCATAAATATATAGTGACAATAAAGTAACCATGCCAAATAAATGCTTGCTGTTTGCATAAATATAAAATATGGGACACAACAAATATAATAGTAGTTTAATGAGTGCTAACATTCCACAGGCAAATTAAATTATCACTGTAAGTAAAGAAAGGCACCACAACGAAAGGCACCACACAGAAAGCATCCTGGCCACCACTGATAAGAATAACACGTATGAATACTCTGTAAACAGCTTTCATAGACGGGGACCCAAGCTACGTCACGACTTACACAAGAGAGAGGCCAGTCCCACGACACACACTTTTTACTCATTTTGCCTCTGTCCCAGTCAACATATACATACTAAAGTAGTGGCTGGCAGCTGTACACCTTATACTGAAGTGTTCAATTTGCTTTCTCAGCATTGGACTCTACAACATATGTTGTTCTCACATGTTTAAACATTGGGAGAGTCTGACTTATTACCGGTTATGGGATTAGTACAGTGGCCATGTGTCAAACTAGTTTAATATATTAGTTGCATCAAGTATGAGATGAAAGGTATGCAAATAGAGTGATGAACTCTTTCAGACAAGAAAAGCAATTGGTGCATCATCAAGTCCAGTGTACTAAAAATGCATGTATTAAATTTTGCACAAATCCTGTGCAGTGAAGGGGGAGGTGATTGAGCTCTGGCATAAAGCCATACTCTGACCTTGTCAATGCAGACAACACTGCTGAATCATGTTTGGAATGGATATTGAAAGATAGTCCTACATAAAAGTGCTTTTTTTAGGAACTAACCCACAACTATGGCGCTATTTATTGTAGCATTTTCATAAGCTTCACCTCAGTCTAAGTACTGGACAGATGGATGCGGCTCAAAGCTCAGGTGGAGCCTGCCTCTATCTCCCTTCACAACAAGGTCATACTGCAGTAACTGGTCACTATTCTTCCCTATCTCCAGTCCATCAAAACTAATGCGGTGGGTCAGGGTAAACCGTGAAGGTGTGATTGTTGAGTTTATAGAAGGACAGGATATTTACTGCGATCAAAACTACTAAACAGTAGCCTAGGGAGGCTACATGGCTATTGCCTGGCCAACCAAGAATACGGTCATTATAGGCTACTTTACACAGACATAATCTATAGAAAGTAGAATGACTATGAAAATGCTAGCTGTCAACTTGCTTATCAAATCCGATACTAACTCGAAATCTTGGGACAGATCAAGCCAAACAAGCATGGGCGCGTCTGTCTGAGAAACAAAAACAAAATACAATTGACCAAATAGTGACCAACCATCACAGCGACTGTGTTTCTGTTCGTGCCCCATAGTCAAAGCTGTGGGCTTATGGGTTGAATGGTTAACGATACTAAATGAAAGCTACCGCGGCCGCTTCTTGTAGTGGTCGAGGGAAGCCTGTTTAATGCGACTTACTTCCCAACGAAGTTCTCCAGAACCGAGCTCTTCCCGGCGCTCTGCCCGCCGACCACAGCAATCTGAGGTAGATCCAGAGTCGCATTTTGGCCGATGGATGAAAAGGCATCCTGCAGGCGGTTCACCAGAGGAATAAGATCCTCCATTCCCCGGTTCCCCATTTTCGATTAGAGCTATCGGTTGATGGTTTCCTTGAAAAATCTAAATTGGATGGATTAGTTATCTGCCACACAAGACCTCGTAATCAGAGCGCTAATGATCGTGGCAGATGCTCAGATTCTCCATCTAAAGCTCTTTCCCGGCGTGTCCGATCACCTCAGCTCCCGTCTCCTCTAGTACCAGGGACCGCGGGGATGAGGAGGACGCGCTATAGTTTTTCGCTTGGAAATGGATCCATGTAGTTACGCCAAAACACCGCGCGGTGGCTACCACATTCTGTGAACCACTATGAATTTAAGGCATTAAATTCAAAAGTGTGTACAAATCATAGACTGAGATACAGTTCGATTTTTTTGCAAGTAGATTCTCCAAAGAATGTATGCACATTCAAGGTAGATAAAGAGTAGTTCGTTATCATAAACACTAGAGGGCGCCACATGGCATGAATACTGCAGGCGTCTTATTTGTTTGGGGTTCATTTTGTGCTGAGTTGCATCACGGCACCGGGTGAAGGATACGAGCTACCACAGTTTCCAAGTAACGTGGAGCTAACGATGTAGTTATACTTAATCGGATCTTGCAGTGTTAGGGGTAGGTTTTATGAGCCACGAGATAACAGGAATAGCAAAATAGCAAGTTCCCAAGCGAACTGACCTAGCTGGCCTACCCCCGCTGAATGTGATGTTAAGCTAACAGTAGCTAAAGAAGCTAACATTTGTTTGTAGCAAGTATTGCTGGGTCTTTTCGTAATACATTTTCACGATTGACTAAAAAAACGCAATCGCTTAATTTAAAACAAAGTTCGGTTAACAGTCAAATGTGGCTAAGGTCATAGAATGTGACAGCTAATGTTTTCAACGCGTGAAAAACGACCTGTTGTCAGCAGGTGCACATGATGGGGCCCAGAGTAGTTTTATGTTTTCTGACAAGAATGTGTTTTTTTCTTTCTCTTCAGGCGTCATAAAAGGTCCAAACCTATTGTTTACTTAGCGGCTACTGCTCCTTGAAACAAAGGCGAGCGTGATGTTTAACCCGCACATTCACCACCACCAACATCAGCAGCAGCAGCAACAGCAGTTTCACCAGCATCTACGGCAACTACAACAGCTTTTCCAGCAGCAACCTCCACCTCCGCCACCTCAGCCCTCTGCGGGGCATCATGTTCCCCATCCACCGCGGTAAGAGACAGATTTTATTTTTAAGCCACCATTGCACACTAGAAACTGGGGCCTTTGAGATAGTGCCTCTGGGGAGAATCGTGGGTTTTCTTGGTGGAGACCTTGGTTAAGGCACAAAACCTTGCCTCAGCCTTTTTCCACTAACTGCCACTTAACTGATGTAAAGCTGTGATGAATATGTACTATCCTACCAAACCTATAATAATTAGAAAAACGTGAAAACTGTGTACTCTTTGTGTAATATTGACATGTTTTTTTCCCTTAAATTAAAAGCATTTCCCATAGGTATGTGTAAACTTGCCCAATCAGAGATTCTGTTACACTAACATTAACGTGATCCGACTATTCTTGTAATATTCATAATTACCAGGAATGGTCCAATATCCAATTTAGTGTTCTACAAGAAATATCTAATGAATCTCTTAAAAAGGATTCTGGGTGTCTTGAATTGTGCACTGTGAACTTGGACTTTATTGTGATGAATGAGTTAACTCTAAATTCATTGTTGTCTTCAGTGCATACAGCCTAATCAATGTGGATTGAATCATATAAAGTAATACATCAGTAATTGTAGGTAATTTACAAACTACATATTCACTTCTATCTTTTCTGTCCAGAGCTATTCCTGTGCCTCCTCAACCTGCACCCCCTCCTAGGATGGTCAATTTATGCCAGACCACTCAAACTACTATCATTGCTCCCAACCCCATGCTTCAGGGGGCCCTCCTGATGCAGCAGATGCAGGGTATATTGTATTTATGTAAAATATACTGAGACATGTGTCTTCGTTTATTAGTATGTTCATTCTTTGCCTTCATTCTTTAGGTAGTATGCGAGGATTTGGAATGGGTGGACAACAGTTTCGTCAGTTCTTCGCTGCTGGAGCACGTTCTTCTCTGCTTGGCCCAGTCCCCATGGGTGTGGCCATCAAATCCCCCATGATGGGATTCCCACCTGCAAGGCCAGTTTATCCTCATGTTCGGTACTATAACAATAACAGCAGTGGTGTTCCTGGATCCTCCTCTGCCAGCTCAAGTGCCACGGTAATTATAACAAGACTTGTTCACTTCCAACTAGATGTTTTTACAAAAGTTTAATGGACCCTGTGTGTAGGATGCTGTTGCTCGTCAGGCAGAGAAAAAGAGAGACATTGAGCAGGTTACACAAGATCTTAGTGAAGACCAGCCAGGCCCTAGCACTGCTACTGAAGCCAACGAAGCTGGTAAAGCACTGTTTTTCCTCATATTTAATCTAGGATGTGTATGACTGTAAGATATTGTGTTTGCTTCATAGGCCATACTGCAAATCCTAATGATTGTGATGGATGCTGTACATTATCTGAGGAACAACTTGAAGAACCTGTAATAAAGAAGCAGAAAACACAGGGGTAGGTATACTTTTGATTATTTCAGGTTTCAAAGAATGTGAATTGAAAGTTGCCTTTATTTATGAAGGTACACTCTGAATGAAACACTCTGTTGTTTACTGTCTCTTTTAACAAGCTGTGTAGAATAAATTAGCTGGTGGTTTAACAAGATGCTTGCACAAACTCTTTTTACTTCCTGCTATGAAGATTCTTGATATTATTTTTGTTCATTTTAAAACGTGCTTTTTAGGTTTGAGGTGAGAAGAGAGGAGACTGTTGTCTGTGTAGCTGATGCCGATTGTGAAATCATCTCTTCAGACAACGATAGTCAACCTGAAGGTATAACACTCTAACACTAAATTCAGACTTTTTTTTTTTTTTTTTTTTTACTCTTAACAAGCATGTATTGTGATTTTCTAAAAGAGACTGCTTCTATTGTGGGTTCAGAGGTTCTTGAATCAGAAAATGAAAGCTCAGCAGCAGAGGTGAGCTGCATTCACAGTGTATAATATAATATTATAAGAAATGGGTTCATGTGTGTGAACATTTTTTTTTAACTGTTTGTCAAGGCCCAAGGCTCTTTAACTGTACCTGAGGATCCGCATGTTGATATGCCAGTGGTGGATATGCCACAGGAAGAAGATTGTTTACTGACTGCAGAAAGCCACGGGGAGGGAGAAGAGGATGTGGAAGAGGGTACCAACAAATTTTACTGCTATCTTTGCAGTATCACATGCCATAACCAACAAGTAAGTTCATTAGACACACAGTAATTTATTGCAATTTTTACACAATTGTGTAATTTCTGGGGGGGGGGGGTTTGTTTTGTTTATTTTTGTAGAACTTTAGAAGTCATATGAATAGCATTTCCCACCAGCAGAGGATGATGGAAATTCAACATATGAGCAACGCTTGCCTCGTTACTCTGCTTCCACGATTACAGGACTCTCTTCAGGGAAACACCAAGGATGAGTCAGTTTACAGAATTTGATAAAAACCATTGGTGTGCTTAGTGTTTTTCTCATTGTAGAGCAAAATGATTGCCCCCTTTTTTATAGTGAGAAAAAGGATGAGTTGAAGCGTTGGTGTGCAACCTGCCAAACACATTTCACCAGCAGCGTTCTAGAGCACCGCCAAACAAAGGAGCACAAAGTACAATCTCATTCTGTCTGAAACGTTTTTATTTGTATTCATTTCACTTTTATATAACTGGGTCTCTCGTCTCTTCTCCAGCTTGCTAGAAAAACTGCAATATTCTCCTGCACAATCTGTAAGAAACACTTCAGGTCTTCTCAGATTTTTATACAGCACTTGCAGACCATTGAACACAGAAAAAAAGTGGAAATGGTATTTTTTTCTCCCTAATTTTACAGACTTACCTTTACATACATTTGCTTGACATGTCTTTTTCTTTTAGGTCCAGGAAATTGAAGGCTGTGAAGAACCGACAAAAATCCCAGATGGCTTTTTGGTTGAAGAGGAGGGTGCTGTGTCGGAGGATGATGAAAATATAAATCTAAGCAGTGCAGAAGAACAAGATAACTTGGATAAACAGGTATGGGGGTGTTGTAATCTCAATATTTTCACTTTTAATCATCTATCGGCTATTGGCCTTTAAGATCAGTCTGACTAAAAGGCATATGAAGCTGTATTTCCACATTGTGCAACATTGCTTAAGTTGATAAGACGAAGAGGGAGCAGCATAAAATGCACTGCTTTCTAATTGGTATGTAGGGCAGTTTAACTGTAAATGTCTAAAAATTATGATGATGATCAAAATTAGACCTACTTATTGGCCTAAGAATATTGGCAGAGCTTATCAGCCATCAGTTGCATTGGTCTAAAACAAATCTGCATGAACTCTTATTGGTCTTTAGGGGTGTTAAGTAGATTAACTCAGGTAATATTATATATTTAAACAAGTAACAGTATAATCTACCATATTAGGATGGAGGAATGTCTAAAGAAGTGACCCTGGAGGATATGGATGACAGTGTCCAATATGACCCTGAAGTACTCTATGGTTAGTGACGACTCTTTGTACTAGCAAATCCTTTCAATACATGCTGTTTTTTTTATTAGGATAACTACTGAAATTAGTACATAGTACATCCTCCATGTTACGCTTTTTATGTTTTCACGCAGGTGGAAGTTTTTTTGTTCCAGTTGCTGGGTTTATCTGCAGACTTTGCAATAAATTTTACCATTTTGAATCACCAGAGCTGCACTTGCACTGCAAATCCTCTGAGCACTTTGCAAAACTAAAGGTTGTTTAGATAAAAGTTTGATATTAAAATGTTACAATGTTGTTTTTATTCACACCAAATTCTTTTGTTTTTAGAATTACAAAACTGACCAAAAATATGCAGCAAGCAGAAAATGTGTTGCTGAGGAAGAATCAAATACATGTTCTTCACATCCCACCTGCGAATTGAGCTCCAAGCAGCCATTTGTTTCAGTCTGCCGTATACAAATGGAGACAAATGGGCAGACAGCTGAACCAAACGTGTCTCGTGAAGATGTCACCATTTCAACACCTTGCGCCAGCGGCCCAGGCTTAGAACACACCGGGATGGAGGAGGCAGCTACTTCCCTGACTGTTGGACATCAGGACAGTAGCGAGACTGTCCCAGCAGTGACCATAGAGACTGCACCTAGTGTTTCTAATGAAGGAAATGTAGATGAGCAAAAAGGAGTGGTTGGGAAAAAAAAAAATAAGGCGACCACAACTACAAGGCGGAGGACAGTGAGAGTCTCAAACAGGCGCTAAATCTATGAATCTGGTAAGAGTAACAAATTATACAGTAGTTCATACTGTCTTTATAATCATGTGTGAGATACAGTGAGTACAATTGGTAGACTGATAAAAATAGAATTACTGTACAGGGGAGGACATAAAGTTTACACAGTTGCAAGGCACTGATGTTGGCCATTGTGTTGCATATTTCAGATAATAATGTTGCTTGAACATTGTTCCATGTCCAAGATTAAATTTTTTGAATGCAGATAAATCAAGAAATACAGTGAAAAGTGCAACAGCTGACTTCAGATTACACTACACTTTTACCCATTACTCCAGGTACTGAATGAAATTATTTGCAGCTGCTTTATATGGGAAGTTTGATTATGAAGTGAAATTACATTTCTAACAATGTAGCTGGACTGTAGCGTATTCAAAAGTAATATGTAATCAGGTAAATCACTAAGGTACTTCAAAGTATTATCATAAAACAATTTAAAGTGGAAACACTGAATCCACTTTTTTGCTACTGAACTGTGTATATGGTGTTTTAGTAGCATTATCTACTATTTCTAGTCATTTTTGGCAACTTTAGTGTAAACAAGATACATTTGCAGCTTTCTGGTTAAATACACCTAAATCTACAGCAAGTTTGTGCTGACTCCATTGGCTTTTGCAATTTTTGGTTGTCAGTGACATTACAAAAGACTTCCCTAATTACAGCAGGGGTGTGTGTGCAAGGGTAGGAATTTGAAGTGTAGATGTTTGACCAAACACACAGTTTCTTATATGTTCAGACTCTGCCCCTCCTCTCCCCTTACGCGCTCCTTTAGTCCTCCAGGTACTGCCCAGTTTAGCAACTCTTATTTCAAATGTGGTTGTGAGCAGAGTTTGGGTGTTTAGTTCCACTTAGGGAATGTACAATTCCTCAATTTTGCTGATAAACACTTTTTTAATGATTTAACATTTGATGTAGACTTGAATATTTGATGGTTAAAAAATTATCCTCTCTTAGGGTGCAGAAAACTTGAATTTATAGTTACTTCAATGGCTAAAACACTTGTTTGAGTTTAGTATTTTCAGGCAAACGTTGTAGTATTTTGAGTGTTGAGCTTGATGCTGTCATACATTGGACTAATGTATGACCTGCTACCTAACAAGTTTTATCCTCTGAAACTCAATTGTATTGAAAGGCCCTAGCTTGTCTGACCTATATTTAGTCATGAGTGACTGTCACATGACATAAGTGGCAAAAGTTGACAGTTTCAGAAGATGACATTTATATTCTCAGATGATGTTGTATATTTTTTGTGGTTTTTTGTGTGTGTGTTTTTTTTTTCCAGCTACTGACAATTTAAAGATGAGCAAGTTGTAACTTCTTCTTACTTACTTTATAAAATGTAATGTATTTTTTGAATGTTAGTTTAATTGTTTTAATAAAATTACAATTTCCATACTTAATTTACAAGTAATATACCATTAATTTGCCATGACTTTTATTGAACACACATGAACAAACATAATAGAATGGCTTGCCATAATTATTTTATTCTGCATGCATCTAGATTCTTAGATAAGCTGTTCATAAATATATCATTTCTGAGGACTAACCATGGGATTGACATGCTTGTCGACTTTTTCCAACTGTTTTTTTTTGTCACAACAGGAAGAATGTATTTACTTTGCCATATATTGGCATTACAGTATTCAGTCAGATTTTGACATCTTTGAAACTGATTCCCTTCGACCAAACATTATTTTGTAAAATATGCACAAAATTAATAGAATGAAATAGAAAACTATGATCACATATGGTATTTGGAAATGGGGAAGCGCAACACAACAGTACACCGACAATTTAATAGGTACAGTTGGAGACAAATTCATCTAAGTCTTCTCTTTCTCAATGGTCTGCGGTTCATTGGACTCCTCGTTAAAATCCTGTCCAGGTGATGAGCTACTCATGTCAGGTAAAGTGGATCCATTCAACTGGGCCCTGAACTCCAATCGTGCCTGCCTGTTTGACTCGAGTAGTTCATGTAATTTGCCATTGAGTGCATCATTTCTCTCCTCTAGGTCATCCAGATAAGAGTTGATTTGATCCAGCATTGAATTGACAGCAGCGTATTCTAGAGAGAAAAAAACATCACGTGAATGTTTGTCAACGCCAAGTAACTAGAAGCCTGCCAGTCTACAGCATAGACTGTATGGTCTGCAGTCTTGACTCTCTTACGTACCTTCATCATCAAACTCATCGTCGTCGTCGATGATGCCTTCCTCTGCTGACATGTTGGGATCTCCATTTGGACCACCCGACATGCTCATACAGTGTTAGTTGTGTACAGTAAAAATAGATGTTGGCTGGAAAGATGACCAAAGCTAGCTGGGGTTAGGCTAACTAATCTATACGATTTTCAATGTCACATATTTACAAATACAAAATCCAGAAGAGTCTTTGTTGTTTTGTAGTTTATATGTCCATATGTCCCTTCTTTTATCAGAAGGACATGGGGGAAATGCACTCTATTGTTGCGAACGATTATCCCATGTGATTATCTTACCTTCTTGATGTTTTTTCAGTTGTAGCGCAGGTTCATTTACCGCCCCCTACTGCGCAGGAGTGTGGACCTGGTGCTGGTGCAGTGGGCAATAGAGGGCGCTCCAATATTATTGCGGTGGGCATGTCACGAACCCACGTGTGTAGAGGTTTCCTTGATTGGTGTTTAGTTAGCATCACAACTGTAAGCTCTCTGTTTGGTGTATGTTTAAGTCATGGATGAATTATCTGCCGAACTCAAAACCTTTCTTCGAATCCATCCATGTTTTCAACTGACCGAGGACAGAAAGGTTCGTGCACAAGTTTTATGAATGCGGTTCGAAAATCACTCTTGCTAGCTGGTGCTATTTTCATACTATAGGTGCTAATTATAATAAACAGTAAGGTGTTCTATTTATCGCACTTTTGTTGCTCCACTTTATTTAAATGTTTGTCATTTCAGGTGAAATGTACTCTGAATGGTCACGAATTTCCGTGTAGTGTGACAGAGCTACGAAAATTTACCCAGGCAAAGAAGTACAAAACTTTGTCTGCTGCTGCGGAATTCAACTACAGCCAGTATGAGCCACACATTGTACCAAGCTCCAAGCAGCCGTAAGCATGTACCAAACTGTCAGTGCTATCTCAGACTGACATTCAAACCCACAGTGTAAAAAACAGCTTTCTGGGGAGATTGTGTTTTGTGTTTCTATTATCTATACAGTGAACGTCTGAATATGATCTTTCAACTTAGGTCAATAGACTGTATAAAGATGTTTATATACAGCCTATGTTAAATCTGGAAAATATTAAAAGACTGCTTTTTTTAATTTTTAAGATTTGTGTGTTGTTGTTTTTTTTATTATTGAGTTTTTAATTACTTAATGTTGCTTGTTTTTCCAGAAACCAGCTCTTCTGTAAGCTGACTTTGAGGCACCTAAATCGGAAGCCACATCATGTCACTAGACATGTCAGTGGCAAACGATTCAAGAAGGCTCTTGCAAAATGTGAGTAGCTTGTCATCACTGACATTCTCATGACAGTAGAAGGTAAAGAGCAACTTCACTCTACACATCATATTCTCCAAAAATAATGCCACAAATTACTCCAAATGACTAGAACAGATCAAAAGAGCAGGAATCGCCAAGATTCCTCCATTGCCTGATTAATTATTTTTTTCTCTAAAGTGGCCACACTTATTGGATCAGGGGAAAACTTTCCATAGGAGTAGCCTATGAGTAGACTACCTATCAGTGTTTCAAATATGTAGTGCTGGTATAAATGAAGCCATTCAAAGTTACCAGTGATGAGTTTCTGTGAGAATAATGGTGTTAGTCCTACTTTGGGTTGCCAAAGTATATTCTCTTTTGAGGCTCTATTTTCACACCTTTGGGATAAGGGTAACTTGAGATGGGGTCACCATGCCTTTTATATTTACACTTCACCACACAGTAGTTGTAGAGTAAAATAGAGTAATAATAGAGTACAAACTTCAGTATTTGTCTAGCTATACCAGTTGTGTTATTCTTTCTCTCGTCCCTGCTTTCCTATGGCTGCCAAGCTGAGCAAAGCGTTGTCCAAGTAGTGAATACCCAAAAGTAAAAAACTTTTAGAGGATTAAATTTTTAAGCATCAAAGGCCTCAAATAAAATTTTGAGAACAGTATTTAAAGTTCATTTGTTCTAGTCAAGTATTAAGTTATACCTCTTCTAATGACATCTGCTACTGTAGATGAGGAGTGCCAGAAACAAGGCATTGAATTTGTTCCAGCCAGACTGAAACAAAAAAGACCAAAAGACACTGAGGAGGACTTCAGACATGGACACTCTTCGAAATATGCAAATGGAATGTGGGAACCTACCTCCAGTGAAGGGGAGCACTCAGATTCTGAGGACAGCATGAGTGACCTTTATCCATGTGAGTATTTTTGGCACACAACTCTATTTCTTGTTCTTCAGTTAAATTGTGTCAGCCCAGCTTGGTTTCTCTACAGCGTCCATGTTTACTTTGAAAAATACGACTGAACAAAAAGAAGGGGATTGTGATGAGGAAGATGATTTTATGACAGATGAAGATGAGCAAATGGAAAACACAGAGATATCAAAGCGTAAAAAGGTTAGTTAACTTTGAATATATAACATGACATAAAACAATTTATTCCCATATTGAAATTCATGTATTTTACAGGCTCAGAGTACAGGCTTTCAGAAGAAATTCAGGAATAACAACTGGAAAGCACCGTGTTCTAAGAAGCAGAAAAAAGTGCCACATGTAAAATAATTCCTACATCAATACAGAATGTTTTTCAAAATAAGATGGGGAAAAAGTCCTTATTATACCAGTACAAATTTTCAGGTTCTTGCTCAAAGACTGAACATTTAATGCAGTAATTCAGTCTTGAGTCTCTTTTTTTTTTAAATCTTGTAACATGTATTTATTGCACCTATTTTCATATGCACACGAACTCATGATCATTAAGGGCAAGATCCCAGATGACAAGAGACAAAAATTAGTTTCTCCCACAGGTGCTCCCTAGGGTGTGAAGAGCCACTTCCGTTCCTCCACATTGTGAAGCAATTGTGGCTATATGAAAAAATAAACCTTAATTTGCTTAGAGCAGAGAAGTCCAAACTATGGCCTTGGGTCAAATGAAGCCCTCAGACTTTTTTTTTTTTATTGGCCCTCAGTCCTCCTAAACTGGCCCAGTTGATCATAGGCAGTACTTTTTATATCAGATGTTAGTAATTCTACCGCTTTAACATCAGCATCACATTGTGATTCAGACTTTTATTGTTGTTCCAACCCATGTTAAAGATATGGCGACCATCTGAATGAATATGTGGCTCTTGGTGACTAAAGTTGGGGCACCCCTGGCGCAAGGGAGTTGTTCAACTATCATGTAGGGCCTAGGCTATATGGCGTTAAAAGGATTGCTAGAAGTGTAATAATTTGGTTATTTGCTATAAAAAAAACAAATAAACTTGTGAATGTCTAATTTAACTTGACAAGTAAAACCGAGTAGACATTTATTTTATTTTATTATTATTTTAAGTCGACTTGTTTTGGGGCTTTTGAGGTAGCCCCATGGATCTGTGGGTTAGGCCTGCCTATGTAGGATATGCTGTAGATGCAAACTAGCACTTGCATATAAGCGTGGTTCACAAATATCATTAACTGATAATTGGTGAAAAACATTTCCTAGCACAAATAAAATAATAATATATGGACACAGGGACGCGTTTAGTTTATGAACAGTCGGTATACGTGGCAGGCAGTGGTTGCAGTACCATTAGGGGGGCTTTCGTCAAACTCGCGGGGCATTGTGGGGCGGAGGCGGCCTTTCACGGTGCTCTCTGATCGGGAAATCTTCAAGTAAATAACGTTTACAGGGAGTGAACTGGGTACTGCGTGCGAGGAGAAAACAACACACTAAAACTGTGCTGCACCGAGCCTGTGTTATTACACGGTACCATATTTCAGAAATATGGGACAAGAGGATCTAATGAACACAGCCGAAGACGTGGCAGACCAGGTAACTTCATTTTAGCATACAGTTGTTAGCGCTAGCGGCTGATAGCACGTTAGCTGCTAACATGCTTTTTTACTATCTGTCACGTTGACCCGTTTCAGTTTTACTTGTTAGCCTCTTATATATGTTTGCTGGGGTGTTCTTTCTGGCTTTATGGCAACATGAGTTGGTGACGAATTAATTTCTCCGTGACAGAGGTAGTTAGAACTTGGCAAGAGTTGTCAAATGTGCTATATATTTATAAATACAGGATCTTCTCAGTGCTATCAACTCAAAGTCCTAACATTATACAACGAGAGCGGTTCAGAAATGCAGCTAAAAGTTAACTGTCCAGATATACTCAGATGCTAGCCATAGCCATCCGGTTTGCAACAGCACAGTTAATTCCAGCCAGACAGAGCCAGTCAGCAGTTGTGAAATCACACATCTCTCCTTCTTAATTGTGGGTAATTGCTGATTAGTCATATGGTCTACTAGAACTATAAATATTTTGCATCTTTTGTGATTATAAATTGGAAGAGATTGTTACATTACAGTATCATTGACAAATTCTTCTAATTCATCTAGCATTTGTGGAACCTGTTTCGCATGTTGTACATACTAAAAGATCATACAAACATGTGACAATCATGGTCTTAACTTCTCTTTACATTAGTTAGCTGTTTAAGGGCAATGCTAAGGAAGCTCCCCTTTTAAAATATTTCTGCTTCCTTACTTTTACTACGTCACATTCTAATGTAACTGTTTCAGTTGCATTTTCATGCAATTGTATTTATGTTTTATGTAAAAGAGCTTTTGTTAAACATTACGAAACCATTTTGGTTTAAAACTTTTCCATAACATCTCAGTAGACTAGTAGACTCAGTAGTCTATTTCTAGGCTGTGGCAACCTCAAGCTCGTGTGGGATTGGCCTGCTCTCCTCTCATTCATGCTCTGCACAGCAGTTTAGTTGGAGTTGGGAAATGCTGATTGGCTGCTGAGCTGACTGTGCTGATGTGGACTGCCAAGGGGGTGGGGAAATGGGCAGGTTAAGGCTGGCCTACTCTGCTTCATACTTTACTAAGGAACATGATGTGATATGGGTATTACTGGTTAAAAGTGTAAATCAGTGACTTGGTTACCCTATGTAACACCAAGTGCTCTCCACTGATAAAAATATTACAGTAAAGAGGCATATTTCCAATTGATCTAAATGACTCATGTGAAATTGTAATTTAAAATATTTAAGTTTTACAAGGATGTCTTCTTACTTGGTACTTAATTCTACAAAATGTAGAATAAATGCAGAATAAAACCACCTTGCTCTCCGATCAGCTGATGCCAACCTGGGGGGGACAGGCCTTCCACTACTGCCTCCACCCTCTGGAACCCCCTCCCAAATACACTGGAGGCTTGTCTGCTCTCAGAATCTTCAATAAAGCCCCGAAAACCTGTTCAAAACTGCCTTCAAATAACTGCATGCCCTTTTTTATCTGTCTCTTTTATTTGTCTTTTGTGTGTTTTGAACTATATGAAGTGTCTTATAAGTATTATGTCTTATTATATGTGTCATTATTATATTAGTATGTTTTCCTTTTCATGTTTTGCTGTCTTTACATCCACAGTTCCTTCGGGTCACAAAGCAGTACCTTCCCCATGTGGCACGTCTCTGTCTTATCAGCACCTTTCTTGAAGATGGCATCCGCATGTGGTTCCAGTGGAATGAGCAAAGAGATTACATTGAGGCAACCTGGAGCTGTGGTTATTTCCTGGCAACATGTTTTGTTCTACTTAATCTTGTAGGACAGCTCGGTGAGTAACAACAGATATACATTTTTGGTGTTGAAACAATGAGTGGAGATGGACTAAAGGCCAATACACTCCAGAGAATGTGCCTCACTAATCGGCACACATTGAACACTACAAAAAGCACACTTTATCCTTGGAATTCGAAATCAACAAGTTCCACTTGTAGTGCAGGCTGTAGTGCAGGCTGTAGTGCAGGCTGTAGTGCAGGCTGTAGTGCAGGCTGTAGTGCAGGCTGTAGTGCAGGCTGTAGTGCAGGCTGTAGTGCAGGCTGTAGTGCAGGCTGTAGTGCAGGCTGTAGTGCAGGCTGTAGTGCAGGCTGTAGTGCAGGCTCACACCTGGTGTGTATCTATATTTGTTGTAGTCTAGGTAATAATCCAGTGAATACATCTTCCACAGCATTTTCTACTAAAAGACCCTGGTAAGACTTTTCTCTCTACCCTCAGGCATAATACTCAAGTTCATTTAACAGATTATTTTTTTAAAAATGTCGAAATCTCATGTACTTTGATGGATAGATCCATTCATCCATTTTCTTCCGCTTATCCGGAGCTGGGTCGCGGGGGCAGCAGTCTAAGATGGAACTCCCAGACTACCTTTAACCCGCATACTTCCTCCAGCTCCTCCGGGGGGACCCCAAGGATTTCCCAGTCCAGCCAAGAGACATACTCTCTTCAGCATGACTCGGGTCTTCCCCGTGGCCTCCTTATGGTGGGACATGCCCGGAACACCTCCTGAGGGAGACGCACCGGAGGCATCTGGAACGGATGCCTGAGACACCTCAGCTGGCTCCTCTCGATTATGGAGGAGCAGCAGCAGCTTTACTCTGAGCTCTTCCCATATGAGGGAGGAGAAGACTTTGAAAACTGAGCTCTTCACCCCATCTCTAATGGAGAGCCCAGCCATCCTGCAGAGGAAACTCATTTCGACTGCTTATATCTGCAAATCTTGTTCTTTCGATCATTCCTCAGGTGAGGGTAGAAATATATATTGACCGGTGAATCGAGAGCTTTGCCTTTCGGCTCAGCTCCTTCTTCATCACAATGGTCCACATCACTGCTGTTGCTGCACTGACCCGCCTGTCAATCTCACGCTCCATCCTCCCCTCACTCATGAACAAGAACCGAGATACTTGAACTCCTCCACCTGAGGCAGGGACTTCCCACCCACCAGAGAGCAAACCACCTTTTTTCCAGTCCAGAACCACGGCCTCGAATTAGGAGGAGCTTCATCTTCATCCCAGCCGCTTCACACTTGGCTGCAGACCGCCCCAGTGCACATTGCAGGTCCTGGCCTGATGAAGCCAACAGGATAACATTATCTGCAAACAGCAGAGAAGAGATTCTGTGGTCCCCAAACCAGACCCCCTCTGGGCCCTGACTGCGGCTGGAAATTCTATCCATAAATACAATGAACAGACCCGGTGACAAAGGGCAGCCCTGGCGGAGACCAGTATGCACCGGGAACAGGTCTGACTTACTGCCAGCAATGCGAACACAGCTCCTGCTCCAGTCATATTGGGACCAGACAGCCCTTATCAAAGGGCTCCGTACCCCATATTCCCAGATCACCCCTCACAGGACCCCACAAGGGACATGGTCGAATGCCTTCTCCAGATCCACAAAGCAGATGTGGACTGGTTGGGCAAACATGAACCCTCGAGCTTGATAGAGAGTATAGAGCTGATCCAGCGTTTAGTGGCCAGGACAAAAGACACACTGCTCCCCCTGGATCCAAGGTTCGACTATCGGTCGGATTCTCCTCTCCAGTACCCTGGAATAGACCTTACCGGGGAGGCTAGGAGTGTGATTTCCTTGTAGTTTGAACACACCCTCCAGTCCCCCTTCTTAAGCAGTGGAACCACAACCCCAGTCTGCCAGTCCAGAGGTACTGTCCCCGAACGCCATTCGATGTTGCAGAGATGTGTCGGCTAAGAAAGCCCCACACCATCCAGAGACTTAAGATACTCAGGATGGATCTCATCTATCCCCAGAGCCTTGCCACTGAGGAGCTTGCCAACCACCTCAGTGACTTCAGCCAGGGTGATGGACGAGTCTGCCTTCAAGTTCCCAGCCTCTGCTTTCTCCTCAGAAGATGTGACTGTGGGATTGAGGAGCTCCTCAAAGTATTCCTTCCACCGTTCCAACAACATCCTCATCAAGCTCCACTTGCACTGTAAACAGTGTTGGTGAAGCACTGCTTCCCCCTCCTTGAAGCGTGGGATGGGTTGCCAGAATTTCTTTTTTCTTTTTTTTCCATACAACTTTAAAAGTCTGTCTAAAAATTTCCAGCAGGGGGTACGGATGCCTTTTTTTGCCACTGTGGAAATGAAGCTGTTTAAGCAAGGCTGAAACTTTAAAATGTGTGAGGAGAGTTCAAAGACCTCCTGAACTTCAGTGAAATAGTTACTTTAATCAGTGATTAGTTGTGACTAACTAATTTAGGGCATAGTTATCTTGTCTGCAAAAACATGCAATGTGCTGAGGGAAGAAGCTTTATGTAGAGTAATCACTTGAAAATTATGGGAAAGGTGTAAATTGGCATGTGTGTATGTATATGTGTGTGTGTATATATATATATATATATATATATATATATGTGTATATATATATGTATGTATGTGTGTATATCTGTGTGTGTGTGTGTGTGTGTATGTATATTAATAACTAAATAAAAGTTTTGCCTTTCTTTTGCAGGTGGCTGTGTCCTTATCCTCAGTAGAAATTTTGTACAGTATGCCTGTTTTGGATTATTTGGTATCATTGCGCTACAGGTGAATTTTATATTTTATTTTTTTCATGTAATTATTGAGAACATAATTTAAAAAAAATGTTTATATTTTATATATATATAATGTTATAATATTATAAATATATATATATATATTTTATAGACTGTAGCATACAGCATTTTATGGGACCTCAAGTTCTTGATGAGGTAGGTGTCATTTTATTTTAGTCATTTTAATTTGGTCAATATCATCTACATAGATTATTATAAATCCAAAGAATCTGAAATATTGAATTGACAAGAAATTTTGTGATCCATGTTCCCACATTTAGAAACCTTGCCCTGGGAGGCGGTCTGCTTTTGCTGCTAGCTGAGTCTCGTTCAGAAGGAAAGAGCATGTTTGCTGGTGTTCCCTCAATGGGTGAGAGTTCACCAAAGCAGTACATGCAGCTGGGAGGCCGAGTTCTCCTGGTGCTCATGTTCATGACCCTGCTTCACTTTGACTCCAACTTCTTCTCTGTGAGTATGCACAGTATGAACTATTATTTACAAACAAATAGAATACTATGAACCAATGAGTTATAGTGACTATGTTTCAATGAGCATGGCCAGGTGGGACAGTGTGTTTGCCCTCCATCAGAAACTGGCAGGGGCTTTACTGTCCTAATACATTATCTCCTCGCTGTTCAAACATGGCCCAGGCTTTTCGCATCATTTAGTCCATCCACTGACGTCTCAGCGTTTACATGCATAACCTCGCGAAACCACGTGCGTTATTGCAAAGGCGGGTCCACGAGCAGCCGCAGCAGGACGTACACGTGCAGCACAGGCTCTGTGTTTATCAGTGGGAAAGATGATCAAATTTGACTGAGGCGCATTTAGCCGCTTGTATCACCTCCACAGTGAAACTAACAGCTGAAAAGACTTGTATTTACCTTCTGTACAGGTGCACCACGGCAAATAATTTTAAAGCACATATTAACAGTCTTTCTGGACCTGGGCTCTTTCACACAACACAGAACAGCCCCAGGAGTACGTTGTGCTGATGGTAAACGCACAAATACAACCAAAACTTCATGTTCTCTGTGTATTTTGATGGGGATACGTGCATCAAAAAATAGGATGGATCCTATTTTCTGAAATCTCTATTTTCTCAATCTAGCACGTACAGTGGCTTCGGTCTCCTTCACTTTCCAAAAGTTGCAGTTTTTCTGCTTGTGTAGCGCGAAATACACATGCCAGGCCCTTAGGACCTGGCTAAATGCGCCCAGTCAAGCCCGATCGGCCCCCCCATGAACAAACAGAGCCACAGAGCGCGTGCACGTCCTGCCGCAGCTGTCGGTGGAGCCGCCCCCGCGCCGACGCGCAGCTGTGGCCCCACGAGGCAACGACACAGGCGCATCCTCCATCTCCAGGCGGCCCTCTTCCCCCCTACTTGCCATTTCTACACGTGATATGCAGCACCCACCCTCCACACCTCTCCTTTTGTGCCAAGGCGAAACAGGTCACATACGGGCACAAGGCTACAATGCGCCAGCTGGGAACCATGGAAACTGTATGGTACGCACACGTCCCGAACCGTGACAAGCGAACCAAACGTTCGTTTTTTTGTTTCGTTGTTTTTTTCATGAACCGTGCCACCCATAATAAATATATATATGATTTATATATATATATATACACACACACACACACACACACACACACACACACACACACACACACACACACACACACACACACACACACACACACACACACACACGAAATCAACTCAGCAACTGCAGGGTGTATATATTTATACTCCGCTAATGACCCTGGTTTCTGGTATAGTCCATGTTTGCTCCCGGAATCGGCTAATCGGCTCAGTGGTTGCAGTGTATATATTTATACTCCAGTAATGTCTGTGGCTCCCACCCCGGTTCCTGGGTCTTTCTCTTTCTTCCGGATAATAATGTCGCTACATCTCTGGACTGTCATCCCTGATTGGTTGATTCGGTGCGTCTGACGCAAAAAGTTCAGCATTTTTACTTCTGACCGCGACACCCTGGATTCACATCTTGAGCATTCAAATTTGTACTGTGCTGACGCCCTAAGTCACGCCACAAAAATGCCAGACACCCTAGACACGCGTCCTCATAGACTTTGCATATAAACTGGACGCCTTGACGCCCCGGTCTCAACAGGCCTTAAGGCACAACTAAATCATGTCCAACCCAGGTTTAATCTAATACATCTGACTCTGCACGAAAACAGCATCAAAAGGACTGGAACTGCAGCTGAATGTCGAAGCCCAAATTTCTGCTAATTTATCAAATTTATCTAAACTTGGACAATTATCTAGGAGTGTAGAGGACAAACCGATATATACTTTTAGCATTAAAGGATTAATTACCCTTTTAAATGTATATTAATTTTGGAACAGACTAAACCTCTTCCTCATTACATATTGTCCTTATTTATTTAAATTGTTTTCTTTCTTTTCACATTTCTTTTCAGATCTTGCAGAACATGGTTGGAACTGCCTTGATCATCCTCGTTGCCATTGGCTTCAAAACCAAACTTGCAGCCTTGACACTTGTTGTTTGGCTTCTGGCAATTAACGTCTACTTCAATGCTTTCTGGACCATCCCCGCCTACAAGCCCATGCATGACTTCCTCAAGTATGACTTCTTTCAGACCACCTCAGTTATTGGCGGGCTGCTGTTAGTGGTGGCACTTGGACCTGGTGGAGTGTCCATGGATGAGAAAAAGAAAGAGTGGTAAATTTCAAGGTGGGGTGGACTTCACAGCACCACTAGGTATCCCCCCCCCCCCCCCCACTGCCAAGGACAAAGGACCCCCTTTTCCCCCATCAGGGTACACCTTTTTCTATGTCCATAGACCACCTCAACAATAGATTGCATTTTTCTGTTTTACACCCAAAGTTGTTTAAGTTAACATGCCATATTTTGACAGCTTTGTTCTATATAATTTTAACAAAAATGGGAGCCCATTGATTGAATTGTGGCTAGTCAAAGAAAGGATGCTATACATATTAAAATAAGAAATTTATGCTCTTTGTGCCACAGAGATGTATTTGTGTTGTTGTTTATTTGTTGACGAGGAGCCTTTTTGGTGATCATGAATGAACCAAATGGAAACATGCCTACTGCCCCCTCATGCACCCTCATCGATCTTGTAGAGTGAAGATATGATCATATCAACATCCTGACTCTACAGACTTTAGCCTGTTCCTCCTCATTTCTGTTGTTGGTGTGGGAGAGATGTATCAGGAGTTTATTGTAATTCAATGGGTGGTGAAGTGATGTCATGCTTAATAATTAGATGTTGCATAAATACATGTTAGTTCCAGGACTTGTGATGGACATTTTCTACTTAATGGTTATCTTTGGCAAATGTAAAAACTTGTGTGCAATTTGGTTTAAAAAGGGGTGGGGCTCAACCTGTAACACAGCATTTTGCCATCATCTGGAGTAGCAAAGAGGACTAGTCACCAGCCACTTTGTCTTTGCTCAGTGCTTTTTTGCTATGTATAAAATAAAACAAGATACGTGTATTAATTTCAGAGGTTTATATTGTATTTTCGACCAACAGTTTTCTTTTCTTTTCTTTCTTTTTTTTTTTTTTTTTTTTTTTTTCTTTCTCAACGTTTATGGCAATGAAATAAAGAAAATGTCAAATGTTATCTCGGTTGAGTGCAATAGATAGTTACTGCGTTTTCAGAATACAGTTAACAGGGTAAATTGCCTCTGAGAGAATGGCATAATCATCTGCTAGAATATTAAAGTTTAAATATGTAATAAACTAATTTCAAATGGCCATTTAGAGAATTAGATGTAGACTAACCTTTTCCTTATCTTTCAGAGCGTGTGGATTTTATGTATGGCGCAGTTTCTCATTCATATAAACCAGTCCCTTTACAGTCCGTCATTTTATCAACCGTGGGCCGCGTCTCATTTCTCTTTCCTCGCTTCCTTCTCCTTGATTCCTCTCCTCGATTCTGCAGGAAATCGTTGAGGAAGTCCCACCCACAGAGGAGACACAGAAAGGATAGAGGATATAAACTCCTCACTGAGACCAATAAAGTTTGATTATTTTCTCTGATGTTTGCCTCCTGAAGTCTTCCTCATGTTTATTCCTACCTTAAGTGGATTTCTTTGGGACACCACTTAATATGACATTTGATTGACGGCTAAAAATGGAGGATCGAGGAGAGGAATCAAGGAGAAGGAAGCGAGAAGAGAGAAATGAGACGCGGCCGCGGTTGCGTCGTGGCCGCGTGGTCGTGGTTTATAAAAGTTACGCGTCCAAAAGCTGCAGTTTTTACGCTCGCGTAGGGCGAAATACACGTGCAGTGGAGCCAGGCCCTAGACCCACAGCTCGCGCTCGCTTCACGGGAACGCATCTCTAGCGGACAGACGACAAACGGTGTATATACCTCAGGAAAAGGCTGCTTATTGGTAATTAACTATGTAATTACCTGTTATAATTTACAATTTCCTCAACGTGTTGATTTTTTCCTTGTTTTGTTGCCAAATTGTATCGTTAGCCTATGTAGTCCGTAGCCCCTGCAGTCTAAGTTGCTTGCTGCGATGGAAAAAATATCTTGTGCCGCGAAGAGACCTGTGTCTTTTTTTAGCCTACTATTTTATCTAATGATAAGCTTTTTCAAAGTTAAAATCTATGAAATTGTACATTGTATGAGGCTACGCGGGGATTTGTAAGAATGAATGATGAGGTTAATGAACCATTGAGAGTTTGGATAATGTGGCTGTCACCGGGAATAGGCAGCTGTAAGCGAATTCCTTTGGCAAGCCATATAAACGGCATTGTATAGCACACCCAACAGTTGCATGGTCACACAGATTTTTTTTTTTTACTCCAGAATTGAGCATTTCATTATGCTGAGTGTTGAGTCAGACTATCAACGTCACAATATCAAGGAGTGAGGAAACAACATGGATAGATTTCATCAGACCATGTTATCATTTTCTTTTTAGTTAATAAACAGTTGCTGTTAGAAATTACTGGGTGTTATAATATATCAAAAGACAGAATGGCTCAGTTATAAAAATAAATACAATACTTACTGGTAAACTGTGAATAATTTTCAACTATGTCTATTATGTTGACCATTTACAGTGAAGAGAGCTCAAAATGTCCAAAGGTTCTGTAGTCTTGGCTTACAGTGGTGGTCTGGACACCTCTTGTATCCTGGTGTGGCTGAAGGAACAGGGCTATGATGTCATCACATTTTTGGTAAGAAAAAAATTAACATGAGTACATCCACCTTTTTTTGAGAAACAACTATCCAGCTGGCTGTACAGCTGTGTGTAGCATTCTACAGTCAGTCATACAACTTCTCATAGTTAATCCTAGTCTAGAGATTGAGTTTATGACGGCACTTGTTTGACTTGTTTGTTTCAGGCTGACATTGGACAAGATGAAAACTTCGAGGCTGCTCGGGAAAAAGCACAAAACTTGGTGCAAAAAAGGTCATTCTCACATTTTTTTTTTTACTTTTTAGAAGATACAGTATTAAAATGGCATGATCCCCTACTGCCATATTTTGTATTCTATTATTGATGTAAGTTACATGACTCATTTCACTTTATCTGTTGTAGGTTTACATTGAAGATCTTCGGGAAGAATTTGTACAAGATTTTATCTGGCCTGCTGTACAAGCAAATGCTGTTTACGAGGATCGTTATCTGTTAGGCACTTCAGTAGCTCGGCCTTGCATTGCCCAGCGCCAGGTTGAGATTGCGCGTAAAGAGGGTGCAGAGTATATCTCTCACGGTGCTACAGGAAAGGTAAAAAATTACATTTATACATCAGGAGACTATTATCAGAACTGTAACTAAGTAGATAATCTGTAAAGTTATTAGAATCTTTTATAGATAATTCAAGTTACAGGTATGTAACATGATGAGCTGAACAGAATAAAAGGCTTCTTAGATGCTTGTATTACATATATTACATAGATGCTTGTATTACATGCATTTCCACTTCACTGGCTCAACAATGGTTTGTATCACATTGGCCTGTTTATGTTCTGCCCTTTGCTGACCACTAGATGGAAATAATGAGCCATCCAGTAACTATGTAACAAAATTTTTTTTTTACATTTTAGGGAAACGATCAAATTCGGTTTGAACTGACTTGCTATGCTCTCTACCCTGAGGTCAAGGTGAGTGCATTTCTTTTCCAGACCAAATGCAATACCTGGAAGCATTAATGTGACAAAGAACAAAGTTTGTGTTTTATTCCTGTGTTCAGATCATTGCTCCATGGAGGATTCCAGAGTTTTACAACCGCTTCAAAGGACGAACAGACCTTATGGAATTTGCACAGGTAGCTTAAAGGTGCACAATGAAACATTTCTGGCAGGGGGTCTGGCACTTGCTTGTCTCCAAAATGTTACTGCATTGTTTGGTTTGTCCCTCACTATGGTATTAAACTTACTTAGCTAGTGTTGTTTCAGTAAAATCTTTTTTTCCCCAAGATACCTTGAAAATAATGCATTCTTCATGTAGAAGGGGTCACCTTGCCACAATTCTCATCTGTAACTTGACCTGGTAGGGCTCCATGCTTGCCTTTATGGAGACAGATGAATGTAATACTATCATGTGGAATATTCTAGGCAAAGCAAGGTCCATCTCCAAGTAGAAAAGCAGGTGAAGTACTACCAGAAGTTACATAGTTCACCTGTTATATATATATTTAGACAAGTACAAAGATTAGCTAATAAACAAGCATTTTCAAATGTGTTAAAACATACATACAAAGCAGTGGCATGAAATATTTGTATTAAATCAATTATTATTTTACTTAATTGCTTGATAAATCAGTTCATGAAACAGATGCAGAACAATTCCAGAGGGCGATCTTGCTCTTCCAGAAAGACTAAATGAATGCAGTACGTGTGAAGGTATTTTAGTTGGGCTCTCTAAACTGATTGCTCAAATTTTGACTGTAATTTTGGTCTTCTTATTAATGTATTTCATCTATATGAAATAAGTAGTAAAATGTGATCTACTTTTTGCATCTTCAGAAACATGGCATTCCTGTTCCTGTCTCTCCCAAGGCTCCATGGAGCATGGATGCCAACCTCATGCATATAAGGTTGGTAGTTGTGTTGTCTCTGGTGATTTATCTTCTGTAAACATTGAAAATATTCACATATATATTGAATATTTGTATTTCTGTTTTTCTTTAGCTATGAATCCGGAATACTTGAGAATCCAAAGGTGAGAACTGAGATTAATATCTGTCTATTGTCTTCCTAATGCTTTGGTAAAATATTGGTAAATTTTTATTATATTATATTGGTAAAATAATTATATTAGAGCCAGTTTAATATATATCACTACAGCAAGTTGGGAACTTAACTTTGTCATGAAAATAACACAACTCATTTTGGCATTGTAAATTGCCAGGTCTGGCTGGACCTAGCTCCCACGGTCCTATGTGTGAGAGGCCTAAGCAATGCCAGGGGTCAAGGGTCATAATTGTACATACAGGTTGCCCCTTGTGACCCCCAAAGCTCCCATCTCTTGGTGGCTCTGTCTGTGTCTTTCTCTGCTCACCCTGGGTCCTGCTGGGCCCTGGGAAGAGCCCGGGACACACAGACACTGACTTGTCGTCAGCAACGCTTTGGCTAATTCCCGATTTCATGGGAGCCAGGGAGGGGGAAGGGTTAGGGCGTTGCGCCCAGCTGGGGCCTCCTTGGTTCCAGCCACTACTTCTCGGGACTTTATTGTTCAACTGATTGCGCCGCCGCGGGCTGCGACGTGGGAGGGGAGCCATTTCAGGGTGACACCGACCAAAATGTCACCAGTAACAGTAAAGTACAAAGAGTGTGCAGCAGACAGATGAGCCCGAATAGACAGGGTGTCAAAGTGAGGCTACTGTTGCAGCAAAGATGTTGGGGAATGGCAAATGTAACTCACAGCGCTCCATCTTCCTCACTCTTTCAGACACTTTCCCACCCCTTCACTGGTGCTATAGTGGTTGGCCTGTTCAGAGACCTTTGAAAAGAAGGCTAGTCCTGCTCAGTGGCATAGCGATGCATGTTGACTGTATTGTGTTATTGACTGAGGGTTTTGCCCTAAAATTGATTGTATTAATAGCATTAAATACCCTTCATTCACCATATTTTTTATAGAGTACTGTATAATTCCAGAGAAATAAAATGATTTGAATACATTATTGAGGCACAAAAGTATGCTTTAAACCTTAAGCAAAGACAATTCAAATTGACTGTTTTTTTGTTTTTTTTTAACCATACATTTTAAAAGAACAAGCATAGCCTAATGAATACAAGTTATTTACTCCATGCTAAAGTAATAGGTTCACCTGAATGCTTTAAGTAAAATGACAGATTCGGGGGTCATCTGAAAGGGGTCATCTTGTTCTGTGTATCAGCTGTCCTTTCTCCTCCTGTTACAGCCCTAAAGGCTCACTGTGGACCTCAGCTATTAAAGCCTCCTGTCTTCCCCCACCTGTAGTACAATAGTCTCTCTTTGCTCACGCCATCACATCAGGAAATGTCCAAATGGTTGCTCATATGTTCTTTTACTGATAAGACCCACTGGAGTTCGAGTTACTCTTATGATTTTAACAATGTATCCTTCCTGATAACCCCCAGCCTCTACAAAGCCCTAAAGACCTGATGTACTTACCCCTAAGGCCTATTGGGAGGCATTAACTATGTGTGTGCTGTGTTTCTGTCTATGCATACTCTTTATCAATCGTAAGCAGAAATATCACATTTAGAACTTCAGCAATCAGATATTTGGTATATGGGAGAACTTATCCAAAACAATATCAGTCCTCTTTACAGAATTATGTTTTCACACACTTAAACAAAATGTGTTTGTGGTATTTGTTAGAAATTAATGGAAAAGTTTCATGTGCAAGGGGTAAACTTTGACTGACTGCTGTTGCATTGTGTCCTGCATGAAACCAAGCCCTCCCTGAAATAGTCCAACACTCATCTCGACTCATCACAACATCACCTGAATCTTAATTATGGTTTGTCAGGAGACTTCCTTGAGCCCAGTCTGGCCTTTGATCATGGTGTTGATGGGGCACATTTTGTGTTGACTAGGACTAAAGAAGCGTGACCGTCTCTGCTCACCTAGAGGAAATAAACCCTTGTTTTCTCCTGTGTGTGGAGCTCAGGAGACAGACTTGTGCCTGTAGGGGAAGGAAGTGATCTTGTAGGTGTGTGTGCATGCCACTGTGAATGTGTGCTTTGGAGCAGAGAGGTCAGAGAATGCCATGTCCCCTCTGTACCCCCAGCACTGATTTGTTTGACCTTTAAGCGCCAGCCTTTTGTGTCTTGTCATCACTTAAGAGTCTCTGCAAAATATTATAATTTTTCCGTCCCATCAACAATGATATTTTGATGTACTGAAAAAAATAATTATCCCATTGCAGCAAATATTTTTGTATCTTTTATTAATAAGATACATATTTGAGTTTGACTTGCTCTGCCTCTTTAGGCCTTTACTGGCTACAATTGAAAACCAATGAGGCAACTAATATTTGGAAAGATAGAAATTTATTGTTCGTGTGGCAAACTTTGCGTTTGCTGTAAGATTTACTTTAGCACAACAATCTGAAAAGAGAAAAGGCGACCAAAGACCTGTTCTACGCTGCATGATGGTTCGCTTCACGCCCCATTTCCCACCAATACCCCCTGCCCACCTTTTCCTCTCTTTCAGGGCCATGGCTTTGGGACAGGTCCACCTGCAGGGGGTTAGAATTGAAATGCATTGATCTTTCACACAGGAAACAAGCCTATTGCTGCATGCTCCATTTTGACAGCCTGGAAGTTTGATTTTACATGAAAATGCATCAGTTTACATTTTCTGAATATATTAGAAATACCTTGAGAGAATTGTTTATGGGTTTAACAACATGCTGTAAAAAAGTAAGCCAAATTACCTATGTAGAGATAAATTGGTTATATTCAGTACAACATCAACCCAAGTAAAAACACAAATATTTAAAATTCAGTTTGCCCCCCCATCCCCATTTTAGAGTTTGCATCAATAGGCTTTTAGAGTAGACATTTTACCCCTCTTCTGTTTGCTCTCATTTGGCATCTTTCAGTGTACTGAGGCAGAAAATAAAAGAGAGACAGATGCCTCCAAGTCAATTTTGGTGTTTAGTTAAAAGGAAGGAAAGTGATTGCTCGTTTTCTCCTTGGTGACAGGCTGCAAGCGGATGCCGATTAGTTATTGTATGATTTAGTGTCTAGTAAAGCTTTCCATTTAAATGCACCCGGTAGTTATTTTGCATAGTCCCCCTGCAATTTGTCCCAGCTCAGAAGACATTGGCCATCGTCTTTTCCTAATGCTGTGTAATTGTTGGTGGGGTATATTGCTAGATGGATACATCAGAGCTGTAGCTCTTTGGCGGCTGCCTTGACTTACTGAAATTGCTTCCAGCTCATCCCGACTGGAACAAAGCAGCAGATGGCCAGAAGGATGGCCATTTAATTTTTATTTTTAATGTTTTATGTTTTGTACACACAGAGGTGTGAGATTTTAAGGTTTATGAATACATTAAATACAGAGAAAATATATTTCCAGGAGTGAATCAAGTTGTAATGTTAAAATGTGACCAGTGTCTTCTCCCTTCAGCCCCTTGTGTCCCTCTGCCTTTGTGTGGAAGAGATAGGACAAAGATTATCAAACCCAATTGAGGAGAAAAATAAAACATTGATTTTGTTCTATTTAATTTCATGACAGCCTTTTCAGGTTTCTTTCTTGTCTTCCACGTCCCACTTCACCCTTTATCATCTAACACTGTAGTCTTCCACTCAGTGCTGCTGCTTGTGATGAGGTCTGGAAAGGTCTCTGTTTTTCACCAAATGGGAACAAAATGAGTGCAAAGGAGAAAATTACTGTGTGTGTTGTGTTTTCAGAGCCACGCTCCGGCTGACCTGTACCTGATGACCAAGAACCCACAGGACTCCCCAGACACCCCTGATGATCTTGAAATTGAGTTTAGAAATGGTTAGTGTATGTTTAGGTCACCAGTTGATTCTGCTCGCATCCAATTTTTTTTAACATGTCAGATTTCATGTTAAATGAAAATGAAATTCTATCTGCCATGTCAGGCCATGATCAACTGCATAATATTTTACAGTTTTTACTTATATGTAGTAAATGTTCCTCTGTTTTAGCCTTCCATTTGATTGTACAGTTCCAATATGTGTTGTCACATGATTTGATCTGTATTTTATGTGCGGTTTGTGACACCTCAGCTGGACATTTTCCTTATCATTGATAAGCTTGTTCAAGGCACAGGCAATAGCTACACCCAGCTGCTCTCTGTCACCATTCCTGACCACCCAGACTTCTCCACAAACCTTCACAGCACAGCATGGTCTAAAGCTGCCATGTTTAGCCCTGGGGCACACATGGACCGGAAGTTTTAAGTCTGTTTAATACCCTGGGCCCTGAGGGCCATAGTAACATTCATTATATATGATGCCATGAGATTTGGCCTCTGTAGTAGAAAGTGTCACATGTTTGCATAAAGACTAAATGACTAAATGACAACACACAATGACAAGAAACATCCCAGCCTGGGGCACTTGGCCCAGATGTCCCTCATTCCTGGTCACCAGTAAATGCTGAAGACTACTAATATCAATTGACAGACAGACTCTAGCTTCTCTGATGGCTCAAGCCTGGCAGACCCTTTAATGGACTCTAAGAGAAATTTAAGGCAAGTCTAGAAGGTTACATTTAGTCCAGTTATACAAATGGGCTGAAGTGGCTATGGAATTTGACTTTCTTCTATAGTCTCCAAACCAGGGGGTTGGTGCCAGATCAGCAGGAGAAGAAATATGCTTTTGTACACTATAACTTCCAGGCAGTTTAGGGCTGGTGTGGATTCGCGGGCTCTTTGCTGGCCTCGCTCTGTTTTCACACATATTCTCTCTGCCTTTATTGAGCACCCTACGACAAAAGCTGTTTTAGTTGTCCATACAAAGGCCGGAGTCTGCTCCTCCCTCTGAGCACAAGATCAGCACAAGAATGTTTCATTTCATTACCCCTCCCACCTTTTCATCCCTGCCATTCTCACCAAAGTTTTCTCACTGATTAAAAAAGAATATTTAACAACAGGAACCTTTTCCCCGTCAAATACCCTGTTCTCTGGTTTTCTCCCTTGAAAAATCATCCCTCCCTCTTTTCATGCCAAAGGACTAGAGACGAACAGGAGACAGAGAGGAAAAATGTAGAGCAGTAATTTTTCCTACAACTGTGTCTGCGCTGCCATTGTCCACACTGTTAGGCTCCAAATAAGTGAAGAAAGGGATCATGAGGAGAAAAAGGCCCTTCTATGAATGATTAGAACCTGCAAAATGGAGAGAGGAAGAATAAGAACTAATAGCCAGGCACTACACTCCCACGTTCAGACACTCACTTAATTTGTTTGAACTTTTAATCTAATTATTAGCTGTCTGGGAGGGGCGTAGTTTTCAATAATGCCAGTCCATACTAGCTACTTACTTCTACCATGGGAGCCAGCAAGGTTCCCGTGATATGAGAATGGGATGGCCACAATGGCCTTGTCTAAGAAAATTTGTCAAATCTCTTGTGTCATTTTGATGGAGGGTTTTTTAAATGCCAACTAAAATGCACATAAAAGTTTGTAAAGAGCCATTTTTATTTTGTCCTTTCAAAATGCATTTTTAATCTACCCTTTGAACGTACAACATGCTAATTTTTATGCTTGTATTGGAATCTGTGCCTTTCCCCGAAGTTTTTGTTTTTCTTGCTTCCACCTTTGGCCTGTTAAGCTCATTGAAGGCCATGAATAAGCAAGTCCAGGACAGTGATTGATGCATCCTTGGTTTAGTTGGCCATAGGAGGAAGTGCATTTTGTGAACATGGCGTTTGTGTCTTGGAGATGTGGTGCTGATTGGACGGATGATGAATCTACCCAAGCAAGTACACACAAACAAGCGGTACTGCAAAAAACTCTGAGCGTAAAAAAAGAGTTGTGGGGTAACAAAGCTTTGTGTGTAATTGCATTAGGTAAAGGCCTGCCCACGATTTCACAGTTTTCAAATGAGCTCAGCCTTTGAATTTATTAGCTGTTCACACCAACGCCTTTTGTATTGCCTTTCACTCTCTGATGAATGCTATTGTATTGTCAGTGACTCAACTAATGAGTAGTTGTCAGCAGATTTTAGTTTACCTTTTCTTTTTATTTGTATCCTTCTTACGATTTCCTCTTAACTGTAAACTGCTGCATTTTGAACATTGTCTTGTCAGTTAAATTTAAATTCACTTAAATTACATTTTGTAAGTAACAATTAGACTAGTAGCATTTTGTAGTAATTTTTTTTCTTGAAATGAAGTGTATTCTATCTTCTCCACTTATGTTGTTGACTTATAGGAGTGCCTGTTAAAGTGGCCAACTTGAAAGACACTACTTCCAAGACTTCACCATTGGAGATCTTCTCTTACCTCAATCAAATTGGGTAAGCCTGTGCTCATGTCACAAATATGTAAGTATTTTTTTGACTAAAGCGCTGGTTAAGTTCACCACCTTGGGGTTTATCTTTGTCCATCACTGTTGGATCACAGTTCAATCTCACCAGTGTCCTCTCCTCCTGTGTTTTCCATTTACTGCACTTTCGAGGGGTCCAGAAAGTCAAATAAATAAAGTTGAGAGCTAAAACTTGTATCTTGTAGTGTAGAATAAGTAAGTTTTATAGCTGCAGTAAGCATGCACTCACTCTGTTTTCTTCCTGTCTTTTTTCAGAGGTAAACATGGTGTGGGGAGAATTGATATAGTAGAGAACCGATTCATTGGTATGAAGTCCAGAGGTGAGTAATTATTGTAAGTGCATTTATCCGTTTCTTTTTTTTTTTTGAATCTGTGCTATTTGATTCTGACAGGTGGCATCATTTCCACATAGAAATAACTATTCCAGACAGACAGGCAGTCATATTTTCACCATTCTGAAATATGTCTCAAATCCTTTTAGAACCAAAAGCTTTCATGTAATTTGCAGTTATTTGACATGAGTCCTTTAAGTGTCATTCTTCCTATTCCACTCTGTAAAAGTGGACTGAGCACCAAACACGTCTTCCTCGTCAAAGGAAGCATTTTCTTTCCTGGTGATTTACCTGAAGTCATAGAAACCCAAGTTATTTACATGCACTCCAGTATTGAAAACACACACTGTGAGCAAAATAACACTTCACGTCTGACTGAATTCAATCACCAATCTGTCATTTCTACGGGAAAGGAAACATGTTTTTTTTTTTTCTGATTCTTATTTTTTAGTAACTTTTGTGTGGCATCTAGTAATAGTGGTGGCTACATCAAGGGAATTTCTTGAAATTAAAGTAAAATCTATAGTCTACTAGTCGTCTGTTTTAGACTAAAGTACAAAAAAGTATTATTGTAATTGTAGAGATGGGTGTATGCATATTGTCTTCAAGATCATATTGAAATTGATGCTTTGAAAGTATGCAAGAAGAATTTGATAAATAATAATAAAAAGGATGAGATTTCCCAAAACAAGGGTATGAAGCAATATTGCATTTTTCTATTTACAGTCTATTGGCTGTTAATACTTGACCCTCAACTAAGATATTTAGAGACACTTTTCTAATGGGTAGAATTTTTTATTTCTTATCTGATTAATGTTATTGCAATAATCAAAAAAGGCTTCAATATTGCCTACCTTTACTTAATTAACTACTAATAGGGACTCCAAACTAACAAAACATTTTACCATAATTTCCATTCGTCAAAAGTTGATAATTGAAACATGTATCCTGCTGTGATTCGTGCTTTAGTCCTGACTCATCATTTAAAAAGTATTACACATGATAAAAAAATATTGAATTTAATCAGTAGTAATAATTTTCTATCACTGATGGTATACAAAATCTTTTACTTTTTCTGTAAATCTCAATCGTCAATTGTAGGAATGCTTTATAGGCCCTGTTCTTTGCCGCACACACGATGGATAGAGGCCTTGATGTGTTTTGATTGAGAAATTGACTGGCCGACTGACTGCGGATATAGCTCATCTTGGCAGGTAGAAATTGGAAAATAGGAAGCCCACTTTTCTCTCCCCTCTACGAACAAAAGATCAAAGCTTTCTCCTCTGCTAGCGCTGAAAAAAGAGGTGGAGCATGAGATGTCCAAGCGCTCCTGTAACTACCGTTCACTGTACACATGGGCTTCCTCTGGATTGGCAGTCTGGTTGCACAATAGACAGTCAGCCAGATTGAATGGAGACGTGTCATACGCGTTTGTCATGGGTCATATTTGTTTGTGCTGGGTCAGGGAGGCGGCGGACAATTGTAATGGTTTGTCAAGGATGTTGTCACTCTGTGCTGAAAAAACAGTGTGCAAGAGGAACAGTTCCACCTCTCAGTCTGATGGCTTGGAACTTGATTGTTGAAATGTTTGTATCAGCCAGGGATTTTTGCCCACTTTGATTCCAGTACTGATTAAATTTGCTATTTACATTTACATCAGGGTCTGGTCAAGCGGTAACGGAGGGAAACGGGCAGATTTTTTACATTCAAATAGCTCTTATTCAGAAACTAGAGGGACTATTGAAATAAGTATGGTATTAGAATGTAGGAAAGAGTTAGCACTCCAACAGGGTAAAGTTAACCCTGCGATATTCTTTCAAGTTGTTGACAAAAATTTTTTAAACTCATGTTGGTAACGGAGGGAATGAAATATGCAGCACTTTTTGGGCAATAAATCCAAACAGTGATAACTAGCGGTTCTCACTTACATATCCTTATCAAACTGGTTTGAATATTTGTTTAATATAGTTTTCTACCATATGGCACAAGATTAGGTTGAAAAACTCTTACTTTTTGAGTAATGAGATTTTTTATTAAGAAAGGTCATGGTAACGGAGGGAAAAGTAACTAAATTGTGCAAGCAAGTAGAAGGTGCATGATTTTGCATAATTTGTCAGTTTTTTTCTTCCGAATACTTTAATATTACTTCAAAATGAAAGGAAACTATTTCTATAAAATATGTCAGTCCTTCCAAGCAATTTCTTGTCATTTTAAATACTTTTTTTTTTTTTTTAAATCATGTACCTTCATCAACAGTTCAAAGATCGAATAACACAAGATATGATGAAATACATCAACTAGAATTTTTGGCCTTGCTGTATACTTCTGCTTGACTGGGCCCATCAGTATTTAGCTCATAACTAAACCCTGCTTTAAGAGAAAACAAGTAAATAAAGACCAGTTTATTATATGTATAAAAAATACATTGCAATTAGATTGCAACTTTATTGGGTAAACCCTCGTGTGATTATTACTTCAGTCAAAAAGAATGTAGTTGTGTCCATGGTGGTGGTGTGTGGATCTTATGACATTTTCAATAAAAGAGGCAGGGATGGCATTAACTCAACCAACCGAGTGTTCTATGCATTTTTTCACCCTGGATTAACTCAATACTCTGTCATTTCAGGATTTGTTGTTATAGATACAATCAAGAGGTAATAACTGTTTTAATATAGAGTATAAGGCTATGGGATATGATTTAAGCTAAGCATTTATTTTCTACCTCTGTAAAACAAAATGTCATGTTTACATAAATTAATTGCACTTACATTTTGCCCTAATGAAATAAAGCCAACCCATATCAGTTAAACACCATAGGCAGGTTAGCATAGCCACTCTGATGGTAGAAAAGACTCACATTTATTGCTGTTTTAGCTGAGAGCTTAACAAAACTAGCTCCATTAGAGTTTACAGAGATTGCATTTCATTGTTTGTGTGTGTCACCTAAGCTACCTCTTTTTGAGCTTTTAAGCCAAGTTGAGTTGGAGGGCAGTTTTAACTTATTTATCTGATTGAACCAGCAGCAATGTCCCTACATGCCCCTTTATGGCTTTGGATTACCTGAATGTCAAAAGCTCTCTTATAGCTTTGAGGCTTTAGTCATTTACCCACATTGCTAAGCTCAGGTTTTGGCCAGCAGCAGAAAGTGAGCACTTCTGTTTTGTAGCAAGACTACAGGTTTTACAGATTTGTGCTGCAGTGTTCATCAGATTGAGCAGCAGCATCTATCTGTTAAAATAACACAAAAAATGTGTCCAGAAAAACAGCAGTCAGGAAATACACTTTTGTTTTAATACTGCAGTTCTTCAACAGTGTGAATACTGTGCAGTTACAGAAACAATGCAGAATTCTAGTAATCAAATGCAAATTACAGGTCTTATAAGAAATTTCTATTTCTGTTAGATATGTCTCGTAGCATTTTTTTTTTCCAATTGCTTTAGTTGACGTTTGAGGGACAGCTTCATTTCTCCTCACATCTACCTCATCTTTTCTGCCCCCACCCTCAGTATGGGTCCAGAGGGGGTAAATTACAGGGTAGACAGAGCCCTGGTCTGGACTCCAAGCTGGCAGGGGCCTGCTACCCTGTCATTTATCAGGGACACGCTTGTCCGTGTTTCTGAGCTTTCTGAAGACCTGTCCATCAAAAAGCTGTCAGGCACATGACTAATAGAACTGGAGTATTTTAAATGAAAAGAACTTTTACCCTATCTTTTATCAATGTTTGATTCTGCTATAAATTGGATGGATTAGTCATAGTAAAATACTCTTTGTTCTCAAACCCAAATGCATATACCGTAATGGAAGGTAGCACTGTTGGTGGAAGTTATTCAAAACAATGAACTTGGATGTAATAAATGTTTTGTGAATGCTTTTAGGAATATATGAAACTCCAGGAGGTACCATTCTGTTGAGTGCTCACCTGGACATTGAAACCTTTACCATGGACAAAGAAGTTCGCAGAATCAAACAGGGACTTGGTATCAAGTTCTCGGAACTTGTCTACAATGGTAAGTTACTGCATCATCAGCTGATCTCTGAAAATGTGATCATTTAAGCCTTAAAGGTGCACTATGTATTTTCTCTGGTGGTGAGTCTGTCACCTGCTTGTCTCCATTGAGATTTTAATTGCATTACCTAGAATGCTGTACAGTGCTTTACGCTTATGGCTAGAAGTATCTTCAAAGACACAGTCACTTTTCTATTACCTGTAACTTGGCCTGTTTAATGTCATACCGTGGAACATTCCAGGCAAAGCAGTAAAATCTCCATGGAGATAAGCAGGTGGCAGACCACCTCCCCTCATGGTAACATAGTGCACTTTTTAACATGCACTATAACTTTTTCTGGTAGAGTTTACACCACTGGCTGCCATACTGTGGAACATTCATAGCAACAACCTCTCCATGGAGACAAGCAGGCAGCTAACCTTCTACTAGAAAAGTTACACAGTGCAGCAATCTTGGTTATGATTTTGGTTATACTATTGTGTATGCAGATGTTTCTTCTCCCAGCAACATGAATAGATTCCTGAGTATAACTGTTCAGTAACTTTCTTGGGCAACTAAAGTGTAGTTACCATGGAAATGCTGCATCTGCTCGTCTTGCTGCTGTAGCTTAATTTCATTCCCTTTAACCTGTCTAAGTCTGCCTCTATGATAGAGGTGGGTTTGTAAATTTGTTTGTTTATTTAATTGTTGTTAAATGTTCTAATGCTAATTTACATAGCGGTTATGGGTATGCAATAGTTCAGGTGATTGTTTAACAGTTATTCATATGCTAATGATTATATATGCCGTCACTATTCTGATACACTTATTTTTGTTGGTAATATTATTTAAATGTACTTATAAATAACCTGACAGAAAACTACAAGGAAGGACATTAAACCTCCATAAATCTATTCAAGTGTTCTCATTCACTCTCTGACTGGAGTACTGTTTTGGATTAAGTGTCCTAGCATACATCACATAGAGTCCTAGTTATCTCAAATAGATACATTTCATCATAATATCTTTGTTACATTTGAAATGTTGAGAATACACTGGCATAATCACTGAATAAAAGAACTGTCATTTATTTCTGTCGACCAGGGCCTATATATTTGCTATGTGTGTGTCTGTGTGTCTGTGTGTGCGCACGTAAGCTCAGGTGTCTTAATCCTCCCTTCTGCTCGGTGTCCAGCCCCGCTACCTTTATCCACATAATAGGATCAGTGCCATTAGAGCCCTAGTACTAGGCCACTTCAGTCCTACCCTCTGGAGACTGAAGCGAGCGCATGCATGCATTATGTTGCTACCTTCAGGACGGGGGCACAGATTAAACTCTGCACCCTCCATGCACATTAGTTTATGTTAACTACCCACCTGTCCTGTATCTACTTTGCATCAATACAGTATTCAATTTCACTTGTAAATTAAAAGTCATTATTATACACTGTGGAGAAACACAACACCAATTAGTCATTTTTGTGAACAGGTACAAGTAAAATATTCTCAAACAATGGCAATAAATGATAAGTAAAAGCTTGGTCTCTTCTTGTGCCAGAACAGTATAGCGATTAGGATTGTGTCTGTGAACATGACCAGACAATGAGGTGGAGGTCGGCTGCTGATGAGACGAGGACCCCTGCTGAGTGGGGCGTTCCTGACCTCTGAACAAATACTGTCCCGGGCCCATCTGTCCAGGAGACTGACAGCCCGTCTAAGGAAAATGAGAGAGTAGAGATTGTGGGGAGGTCTGGAAGATGCAAAAAACAGCCCTTGTTAACAGGAGGGTTTTTTGTGATCAAATATTTAAATGTTGGTGCAATTAACTGTTTAATTTCCTTTTTAATTAATGTCCCTGTTTAATAGACCAGTAACTACACTCCAAATTGTCTATTTTTAGGTTTCTGGTATAGTCCAGAGTGTGAGTTTGTGCGCCACTGCATAGCAAAGTCTCAAGAGAATGTGGAGGGCAAAGTACAGCTATCTGTCTACAAGGGCCATGTCTACATCCTGGGCCGTGAGTCACCCAAGTCTCTGTACAATGAAGAGCTGGTCAGGTATGTATAGGCTAAAATTAAATGCACGCACTGTGTGTATGAAGGCCTCTGGTTCAATTGACAGCTGTATTTAGCTGCACTGGGCACAGTTCAACTCTTGCACATGTTCTTGGTCGGTCTGTTGCCCAACTTCTGCGACCATCAACACACTAAGTGACCCTCCTTCACAAAGACATCAGAGGGGTGTCAAGCTCAATTCCTGGAGGGCAGCACCCCAACCCCACCATACCCGCCCCCTCCAAGCTGTGGTAACAGTAGGTTTGTTCAAGGGGGCTGACCCCTTCTGCCCTCTGGGCAGGCTGAGCACTGACCAAAGCAAAACCCTCCATATGCCTCTCCACATCCACTTGAGTCCCTCTCCTTACTCATACCCCAGAGTCATACAACTAATGGAGTTTTCAGCCAGAAGAGAGAAGTGATTTTACTGGGCTTTTAACAGCAAACTACTAGGCAGTTATGCTTGTTAGGCAGGTCAGAAAGAGTAAGACCAGAGCAGACTGCACTCACAGCAACAAATGGAAAATATTAAAAAGAAGTACTGAAAAGAACATACTAATCCCATCACCGGTACCCCTTCTTTTAGTCAGATTTTCTACCAAGACTGTGTCACACTCATTAATATTTAATAAGTGATTACTAAGGCAATTTTGATTATCTAGTTGGTTTAATCCATGATTGAAGGCAGCTCATTTTGACAGAGGTGTTGTGTGTTCACCACAAACTCCTCAGGGCATTGACAGATGGACTTGATTCTTCCACTAAATGGGTCCAATACAAAAACTCCATAGAAATGCTACTTTAGATGTGGCACTGGATACAGATTGTCACACAAAGGCCACTTTCCTCATAACCTCCAGGGTTCACAAATGGAAAGTCCCTTCCAAATGTAATTTTGATGATCAGTCGAGGTGCAGGCAGCTTTAACATGCATGATGCTGGAATTTTATCCGTTTGTAAGCATTTTATCCACTGACCAAACATAAGGGGAGAGTGTGTAGATAGAAAAAAATAACAGTTGTTTGTTTTGTTAAAGGTTTTTCTTTCATTCAGAACACATTGTCCCGGCGGTGTGAGTAGCTTTGCTTCATTGTGAAAAAAACAATCAAATATTCAGTTTTTATTTTATTTATTTTGATAAGAAACATGAATTTAACTTTTTAGCTAGAGGCTTGGGGATGATCCTTAATGATGAATACACAGAACATATTTGTCCCTGCTGACATCCTGTTTGGCCTCTACAGGCATCAGTAAACGGCATCATTAACACAGTAGTATTACAGCCCATCACTGCACCCACCTGAGACACAAATGTCACCCTGCTCCATGACGGCTCTCTCCACCACAGGACTTCTGAAGAGGAGACACTGAATATTACATGCTTGCACACACACAAAGAGGACCATATTCTTTGGAGCCACTCGCTCATAATGGTGCTCAGGTGCTGGGAGGGAGTCGTGTATTGAGAGTTGATGATTTAGTTGTCGGTCTTTTCTTTTTATAGTGTTTATCCTATCATTTGTTGGCAATTTCCTCCTTTGCTAAGTGCTTGTGAAGAATAAGTGCAGGCTGTACATTCAAGTTGGGGGTGTTGAGCACAGGAGAAGGCTCAGTCAGGGAGTGTATTAAGCACTGCAGGTAGAAACTGCTGTAATTATATAGCACATAGACGTTCTTTGTGAAAGACCGGCACACTTGAGGAAAAGTGGACCACTCCACAGTCCTAAATAGCACGGATATGACAGATTTGAAAAGACTAAACTTGAAGAACGAAAATGTCTACTACATAATCTCCACTACTTAGACTTATCACATGTAACATTTGATATAATGGGAATTAAATGTACTTTATGTGTATCTACTACTATTGTGCGTACACAATTGTGTTTTCAGTCGTTAGTATTGATTTTGTTATTCAGGACAAACAAAACCAAAGGGAGCACGGGAAAGAAAGTAGACCAGGAAATTATTACAAAAGAGCAGATTATTGGTAATACAATTATCCCTGCATGTCTCTTCACAACTGACACCAAATATTTATTTTATGTTTTTCTCTTTTTCATTTGGAGTTAGTTTGGCAGCATAATATTTTTTCTTCTCCCCCCAGCATGGATGTACAAGGAGACTATGATCCGTGTGATGCGTCAGGGTTCATCAAAATAAATGCTGTTAGGTCTGTATTTCTGTAAACAATACAATGATATTGTTTTTTATCTGTGACTTATGTTTTGCTTTTCATTTTACAGGCTGAGGGAGCACCGTCGAATGCAGGGTTTTTCATACAGCAAGAAGTAACAAACATCTTATTCTTCAAGTGGTAGTAGTCTAAACGGTTCAGAGTAATTTGTATTTTAGAAGGTTCGATGTTACTCCATGGTGTCATAAAGTGCATTGTATTTAGTCAGCTATACTGCAGGATGCCTTCATATTTTGATGTAAAAAGGTCAAATTGGAGCCGCCGTTACTTTAGACTTTTATAATGACAACAGGTTGCAGTATTAAAATTGTTATGTCTTATTGCGGTTGGTGAAGGTGAGATGATGAAACTGTAGAATTAATGCTGTAATGTATTTATCATGATTCATTGACACAAACACAAATATTGCTGAGATTATTTTGTTAGAATAAGAAAATGTCTTTGTGCCATTATTAAAAAGTTCAAAGAAATTATATTCTGTGTCATTATAAAAGTTTTTTTGTATATCATAATGCCTTAATCATACAACGGTTGCTGTCCACAGGCAAAAGTGAAGGTGGCTGCTTGCTGATAATCACTGAAGCATAAGTAACAAGGCCATTTTGAGCTCAAATGGCACAAGTCAGATGGAAAGAAAACCAATTGGTCACGTATATATATTTGCCTGCTCCACATGCGGTCTTTAGGCTCAAAGAATAGAAGAAAAGTAGAAGCATTTAGCAACAAAGAAGTGGCAGTCAGTAAAGCAGTTCTTTTTTTTACCTATACAAATGAATTGTAGATGAGAGTTCAAATATTTTTGAATCAGATTTTATGTTATTTATCGTTATATCAGCAGTTTTTCTTAATTATTGGCTTATCACAACATGTCAAACTTGGGCAGGGCTAAATTACAGGGTCACAACAAGCATACCATAACAAATATGAAGCATTTTGACATGTTTAAAACTTAAACTTCTTAAACCCATGGGCAAATAGATAAAATGGAATCTGAAATCATATGCACACCAGCTGCAGACCTTTTTTACCCCTCCTTCCCCCTGTCAAAGGTGTCAATGTGCTGTATAAGCCTGCTTTTGCTGAAGTCCACACGTGGACCCCCTGCCAGGTCTAATGGGTTAGGAGCGCTCCTCGGACCCTTTCAGTCCCACAAGAGCCCCTCTGACCTCCGCTCAATTACACGGCAGGCGTCTCAGTCTTTGCCCGGCCAATTACCAGTCAACCCGTGCACTTATACTGTCGTGCACACACCCGTCGTAAAATAATCAGTGTCCAAAATTGCATGTTTCAAATGAAAGGATGGATAGTATTCAGATTAGTCAGTCGAGCTGAAGGAAGGTAGAGGAGAAGGGGCCAGGTTTCTGTGTATCAAGGGGGGCTGCAGTGACCTTCTAAATACTTCTGGGAAAATATGAAAAAAAAATATGTAAATGAGTATTTTTGTACTTGGTGGTTGTTTTATAGATGCAGAAAGTTGGAAAAAATGTTTCGGTAGTGCTAGATTTGTTCTAAAATTAAGACCTTCATTCACTACTGACAATTTTATACCATATCGCCTAATATTTATAAGGATGTCTTCTTACTTCCTTTTCTACCTTTGAGCTCACCTGGATTAACTCATAAACTTATATCCTCTGCCGCCATCCTCTTCTACCTGTCTGTGCACTCAGTCAGGTATGAAATGGCTGACACCTGACCGAGGAAATTAATCATCCTTGACCCTGGGCCAATTACCCCTCATTACCCACTCTCAGGGGAGCGAGCTGTAACAATAGTGCGACATGAAAGTGGGCCGGGATGCAGGATAAGTCCTAATGGACATTCTTTAGTGTATGTGGCTCTTCAGGAGTCCCAGGTCTGCCAACCTGCACAACCTTGTCACTCCAGGGGCACATGTACAAAGAGCCTATTGTCCATGATCAAGGCCTGTGACCTCAAGTGCACAGAGCCACTAGCAATGCAGCCATGCTCGAAAAGCTCCATTCATCAATACTTGTTGATTCTCAAGCATCTGTTCACTCTTGAATAATCTCTAAATCTGACTAATTTGTAATTATATTATTGTATAAGGAAAGGCTATAGCCATTTACACTATTCAGTATTATGTATTAATAAAAGCTGCACAATATCTATTAGTTGTGTAAATTTCCCATTTCAGTTTTAGAATGTTCAAAATTTTAATGAAGGAAGTCAGAGGGGTCCTATAGATACTTCTGTCTTATTTATTAATCTTTTAAGGCAGCTCTCCACACAATGAAGCTGGAACAATGACGACGGGGACCTAATTACCATCAATTAAATGTCTATGGTGCCTCACATTAGTGTGGCTTGTATGTAACCTAAGCTTGAGCCCACAGTGTGCAGCTCTATTGTTATTATGCCTTGTCACCTGCTTTAGGTCTGTGGGTGTATCAGGGGGTTGAACCTTCCAATGTTACCATATAATCTGTATTTAAATACAGGCAAAGAGACGTTGGCTATCGACTCGCTCTAATACTGTATGTACTTTTTTAACACTTAATCCTCAGTAGGTTTTTATTTTATTAAACTCACTTAATGCCAATTTACTAATCAGGTAAATGTTTGTTGGACTGGCCCCTTGAGGTTCATGCATAAAGCTAATGGGCCTGGCAGAGATGAGATCATTCGTGCCCCTAGAAAGATAAGAAGGAGATTACATCAGGATATACGCACATGTAATGACCGTATTTAGTTTGTATTCTTCTTTAGCCATGTCATGAACAATTATTTGGGTTCGTTTTATGCAGTAATAATAATGATAGTAATATATAATAATAATGTCATGCAATAATACAAATAGTATATACTTTTACCCCCTTCTTATTTGTCCAGAACACGGAGGCACTCACATGAGAGAAACTTGATCTCTTGTTGAACACTGAGACCATCTGTGAACAACCATGAAAACCAAGCAGGATACACTTTGCCTCCCAGGCCGCTCTCACTCACAGAGATGGCTGTGTTTCCCTTGATGTTAAAGCCTTTTCTGGTGTCAAAGGACATACGGTGATGTCCTGGAGATCTATAGACAGATGGGACCATTAGGGCCAAATCCTCTGGCTTTGTTTGGCATGTGAAAGTGATGAAATATTGATGTAAAAATAGAAATATTTTGCCTGCTGCTCAGTGATAATCTAAAAGGGTTAATGAGTGTGAAGACTTTCCTGTCTCGTATTACCACAAAAAGTAGCCACCTACCCCCTGACATTGACTAGTCACTCACAGGAATCGATAATCTTTTCAGGCCTGGATGTTGACTCTTTTGATTGCGTGAGCTTTTAAAATTGACTGACACATGTCTGCTTTGTCAGTACTCCCATCATATTATTATATTTCACTCTAACAAAAAAGAGTTGTAATGTAAACTTAAATATGTAAGAACCAACATTGTAATTTTGCTAAACATTTCTCTTCTTGGCCTTATTCACTCCTTGATCAGATTCCTTCAGCAAAGACACACAGACACATATTTTTAATTAAATTGATACACCATATGTATGTCTTAAAAATAGTTTTATAAACAGTTTCTACCATGGCTTCATAATACACCTGACTCTTTCTCTCCCCCCCCCCCCCCCCCCCCCCCCCCCCCCCCCATTGCCAATGGTCTACCCTATTCCCACTCTGTCCTGGGGTTTGTTTTTTGGCTCTTTATGCTCTTCGATCTTTCGCTGGTTCAAGGTGCAGTTGTGTCAGCCCCACTTTCACTCAGTCACAGCAGGTTGATCTAAAAGGTTAAAGCCATTGGTTATTTAGCTGCCATGGTGTGTGTTATAACTAATGATTGATGCTAATGTAATGCCTCTGATAACAGCTGTATTATTTCACCACTGGGTACAGTTGCTTTTAACAGAGGGTTTAACTCATCTCACAGACATCTAATTTTTTTTTTTTATATATAATGATGAACCTCTCATACAAATAAATGACATTTTGATTTTTTAAACCACCTGTATCTACTTAGGAAGTCACACGCCACAATAGAATTAAAAACAATTATGTTTTTGCACTACTACTACGTTTTTCTTAGTGCAAACCCAGATGCAAAGTTGTAAGAAAAACACCAAACATTTTCAGAAACACTGGAACAGATTTGAAAAATATCATAGTAAATAAAACATACTACTGCTGAAGTATCTATTGTGAATGCATGAAGTAAGGAGTACATGTTTTTCCTTGAGACTTAAGGTGGTCTGAGTTTGGTTGAGCATTACTTGGCGCCTTGCACTTGTACAAGCTACACAGCAGTGGGTAAAGGATGTATTTTGAAAGTATGTTTGTGTCTGGAGATAGCTCCCACTCTCTAGACCCCCAGAGGTTGTTGTTTAAAGGAACTGCACAGAATCACAACAATGTTTTGCTTTTAGATGAATAAAAAAACTGCATTTGAGTCCACCTCTGCCTGCTGATGTGCTTTTATTTCTGTCAAGTCTGGTGTTCCACAAGCCCTTTATGTCATTCTTGACTATCTCTGTCTTTTTGTCGTGTGGTGACTGCAGAAGAATTACCGTCAAAACACTCTTTGTGCAAGGTGTCGCAAACAAGACCATTTAGCTATTATTTCCTCTCAGTCGCAGATACATCACACCCCAAAGCAAGCATTTATCAAGAAAAGAAAGAAAAAAACATCTTGAGGAAAATGGGACAGGTGTAGAAAGAAGCCAGGAGTGGCATACAAGAGGCTAGGAGGGGTCATAGTGTCCCAGTGGAGTGAAACAGTGGAAAACATCCGTAATTGTCACCACAGGATGCTTTGTAATTGTATCATTTAAAATACAGATACCGTTCTGAAGAAAAGTGGCCCCAAAAGGGGGAGTGAGTATAAGGAAGTAAAGGAGGAGGTAAAAACAAGTACACTATTTTTGTACTATTCTGTTTGTTTGTTGTCCGTCACGGTCTTTTAATGCATACAATGCTTGTGTTAGCCTCTCACAGCACATTTCATAGGTAATAATAAGTAATCATAAGTGAATGATCATTTCTAGCATTACATTAGAATACTGACTACTTTTTCCCAATCATATCATATACTTTAAGGGCCTATATTATAGTATTTTCTGATCTCTGTTATCATGGTGTGAGTTGGTGATGCCATGTTGTAATACTCTGTACCATTTTACTACAATCATTTGGATCGCTTCAGCCCTGGAATTGGCAATCTCTACTGAACTAAAGGTACAGACTAATAATAAAGGGTTACTCAAACATGTGTGAGTGAAACAAAATACAAATCCAGGTATGTATGTTTTTGAGCAGGTAAGGCGTAATATAATATGCATAATATAAACATTAAAAAGAACTTGATGTGTCATTATATTGGTGGTTTTCAGATTTTAAAATGTGACAATGTCATACTCTCAGATGGGGGACAAGGGCTAGATTTCCCTATTAATGGCATTGTACTTTGCCATGAAATATCCAAAAGGTAAATTCACAAATGCAAACCCTGGAATTTTCAGTTATTGTCTAAACCCAAGAACTCACTGTATTACAACATGATTTAGCAATATAAATGTTTTGCTTTCCCCCATTTGTATTAATATTTCCCTATAGATTGCTTTGATGTCATCTGAAACCCAGCAATAAGCAAGACTAAAACATTGTTACTCCTTGTTTCTGTTGAAACTTTTTTTTTTTTTTTTTTTGTGAGCTTGACGGTACACCCCTATTGCAAAATATATGTCCTCAGATGGTGACCACTTATTCTTCTTATGCTGCTGCTAATTTATTCCTGTGTGAAAACTTATGCTGGAACACCCCAGAGATTTAACAATGAAACTTTATCCTGGTCTCTTATCCTGCCTTTAGAAATGTTTTGCCCATAGCAAAACTGTGGCAATTATAATGCAATCACTTTCTCAGTGGGACAAAGTGGTGGTGTACAACTTCTATTATTATAAATTCCCAACTATTTATGTAAACACACTGTGGAATGGAATGAGACATTATTCAATAGTTCATCTTGATCTACTCTTGTGAACTAATTTTGAAATGATTTCTGTTGATATGTCTACCACAGTGAACCCTGAGAACAAGAGCCTATTCTCTCAGAGACAAAAACAAAAAGACACTTGATCGGTCTGCTATGAACCACAGCCTGCTAACACATGGGGCTCCTTCTATCAGCTCTCATTCTGTGATTGGCTAGACTCCAGGGACCCACACCTGCTTTAACAGCTCCTATTCTCGGTTGTTTCACCGGATGGAGACTGAATATTTCATAATTGCCTGTCAGTGCGTGCACTTGTATCCTTGCTGCTTATACATTCAAGTTCCTTCTTCCAGCCCTTGGTTTACCCTTTGATACCAATGCTCTCAAATGTATTTTGCAGCCACCTGAGTGTGAATATGTTGAAGAGCACATGGTAGCAATATGTTAGCAGGATCCAGATCATACTTCAGTCAAGTTAAATTGCAGATCTGGCTGTAGAGCTGGTGGTGGTCCTGAACTGCCCTGTGCTGAGTGGAAGTTCCCACCAAATGTCTATGCCTCTTCTTAGGAGGTGATAACATGCCCGGAGGGTGAGCCAACAATGGAAATCTGTATGGTTACATGACTTACTATACACTACCCTCTGATCTATTGGGAGGCCCATCATAAAAAAAAAAAAAATAATAAAATATATATATATATATATATATATATATATATATATATATATAATATATATATATATATATATATATATATATATATATATATATATATATTTTTTTTTTTTTTTTTTTTTTTTTTTTTTTTTTAACTACCTCAATAATAAAGAAAATAGTTACTTTAAATTCAGGAGTAGGCACACAGGTAAACATTTCCATGTAAGACTAAAACATTTGGTAAAAGGTCCAACAGCAATAGTATCTCGGAGAAAAAGGAGTTTTGTCTTTGGTTACCAGAATCATCCACATATCCTGACAATATACAGGGTATTCAGTATACACTAGCTGAGATTTCGACATGCCATAAATAATTTTAGCTTGCATTCGCACTTTAAAATTTGGCCACTTAAGGACGAGGGTGTTAAAAAGAACACCAAAACCATACGGGGTGTTGATAGATCCACTCGCGAGATCTGTGAAGTCTCGGAGCTCTCGCCTGGCACGTGTCTTTTTTATTTTTTAAAGTGCGCGTGCCTTCAGCCCTGCTCTCAGCTGCTGCCGAGGCGGAGGAGGATGATGGCGGAGCTGCTTCATGGACAGGCCTCGGTAGCATCGAAAGATGACTTCGCGGACACAATTCGCCGGGTCCGACAGGTAAAAGCTCCTTGGGGATGACGAAGTGTGAGCTTTCCGGACCATAGACTGAATGTATGCATGTGGGCTATGGTTCGAGCAGTCTGGACCCCTGCTCCAAACACCCCATGTACCCAGCGTGCTAATATGCTAACATCCACTCGAGCGGGACAGATTAGACAGTGCACAAAATGTGTCTCTGTTACTATGATGTCTTTACAGTCCCTGTCATCAGAAGTACCCCTCGTAAAGAAACACTGTGTCCCTTTGTTGTGTCAAAGTTTTCAGACTGTAATAACTTAAGGCAACACTCTGCAACCTGTTGTCAAGTCACAAAAGTTGTGGTTAGCCTAGCCAGCTAACCATTTAGTGCGCTGTCAAAAAAAGTTCATGTTTGCTGCTTGTCAAGCCTTTATGAGAAACTGTGTGTAGGCCTCAGGTGAGAAACGGTGGCGTGTAGACGAGTGGTCGTCGCTGTCTCTTCCTTCTGACTAAACCGCCTGTAATCACAATTATATAGAGTTACTTCAACCAACAGGTACCAAAGCTACTGTTAGCTCTTCGTTAGCCTGCGTGGTATCAGGTCCAGCAGGCAGTCAGGCCAATATCGTCATCTGTTCAAACACCTCCTGCTTCACCCAAACTCTGCTCCACTTGGCGTTTGTCTACTCCATTGCACCCTAAAGGGCACATTAGAAAATAATCATATTATGTACGCAGTTGTATTAAGTGAGGCATCATTAATTGGAACAATATTTGCCTTATTTAGACAATTTTATATTATTGTGACCAGTGTATGATTTAGTTGTGTGGACTATAGTGTGTCTTAGCTTTAGTGGGTGGAGCACCTCCTTAGACAATTGTTGACCTCAGTACCCCTTGACTTGACTACTTGACTATGCAGGTTACTTAGACACTGGACTTTACTGAAAACCTGTTCTGAAGGTGTAGAATGAACACTAAAGTGTCTTAATGTAACATAACATAAACTGTTAATTCCATTGATAAGCACCTGTACACCAGCTGTGGGCTTAGATTTAGAAAAACCTTATTGTTCCACAAGGGAAATTATTTGGATACAGTAGCTCACACATCACAATATAATATAACAAGAAAGAGTAAAAAATATAAATGGTAATAATACATTCTAAAATAAGTAGCAAAAAAGATGGCAAGAGACAGGTGTGAAATAAGACATAATTGTATAAAAGTATATGTACAGGTCAAAATAAAATAGAAAACTAAATAATAAAATATAAAATCACTGCTATATACAAGAGCACCTGTACCTGGTATTTGCTGTGCCTGCACCAGCTCATGCCATAGCTATTTTATTTACACTACAGTTTATAAAACTCCATTCACTGTATAGCAGATATTGCTCAAAGCACTTGGAGGCTGGGGAGTCTCAGAGGTGAGCCTTCTCAGTGCAGAATGGAAATTATATGTTTGGAAATGGTCTTTTTCACATAAAAGCAAACACTTTCCATGTTTTGAAGTTCTTTTTAAAAAATGTAATTAAGACATAGTGGAATTGCCTAAATTGAGTTTCTCTTTCTTTGTTCATATTTCAATACTTGTAGAACTGAGCACCAAAGTAGATAATGACTCCTGAAGGCAATGGAAGATTTAATGACAGAAGTGCTGAATTTTTATTTTTTTGTGAATGGGGTTATTATGCACAGATATCAATTTAGTGTAATTTTCTGTAATTGTATACTTTTATATGAAAAAATAAGATGGAGAATGCAGTCTGTCTGAAATTAACATGTAAATGCCCACTTGTACTTGGCAATATATCTTTTCAAATATGTAACTGATATAAGAATTTGTGTGGTAAATGTTTTTTCCTCGGCTAGGTTGAAGTCTGAAATACAAAGGATTGACATAATGCAGTACAATATGTCTTGCATATCACCTCTTGATCCTTTTTCTGTTTTTTGCCTTGTCTCTTCAGATGGCAGCAAAAATGGGAGGAGACCAGATGTCCAACCTGAACAGCTCAAGTCCAGTTATAGATGCCCCTCTCTATAGTTTTGGAGCCCATAAACGGTCTCCAGACAATGGAGGTAAAGGTCACCAAATATTAGTGTTGTGACAATGTTAAACTTTCAGCTTGTGATGTGTTCAATCTGTCATGTTCTCAGTGTTTAAACTAGATCATAATTCTTTGTATCCGTTGAGTCACTGTATTTTTTGTGAGGTGGGATAGATGCGAATTCCAAACTCTACCACATTACACTGAAATGGTATCTATACTGCTTAAAAAAAAGTAAAGGAACCCTTTACACACGCTCTTAGGAACAAAAGGAATGCCACCTATTTTAATGAAAATAAGAAATTCAGCCTACAGAGGGCTTAATTTTATAGACACTCTGAAAATCAAAGTGCAATAATGATGTGGAAGGCTAGTAAGTTCTGCCAAAATTCAATTACTGCAACTCAAAATGCTTGTCGATCTCTTGTGTGGCCCCCATGTGCTTGCAGGCATGTTTGACAATGTTGTGGCACTAACGAGATGACTGATGGTGTCTTATGGGATGTCTTCCCATGGACCCAAACATAATGTCCCAGAGGTGTTCTATTGGGTTTAAGTCAGGTGATCGTGAGGGCCATTCAACTGTATCAATCCCTTTATCCTCCAGGTACTGCCTGTGTACTCTTGCCACATGAGGCCGGGCTTTGGTGTGCATTAAGAGGAACCCAGGACCTCCTGCACCAGCGTAGGGTATGACAATGGGTTCAAGGATTTCATCCTGATACCTAATGGCAGTCAGACTGGCATATTCTAGCTGGTAAAGGTCTGTGCATCCCTCCATGGATATGCCTTCCCAGACCGTCACAGACCCACCACCAACCTGCTCATGCTGAACCATGTTCCAGGCAGCAGAGCATTCTCCTTGTCTTCTCCAGACTCTTTCACGTCTATCACAGGTGCTCAGGGTAAACCTGCTCTCATCTGTAAAAAGCACAAGGCACCAGTGACGAACTTGCGAATTCTGGTGTTGTCTAGCAAATGCCAGCTCCATGATGCTGGGCGTTGAACACAGGGCCCACTACAGGGCGTGGATCCCTCAAACCACCCTCATGAAGTCTATTTGATTGTTTGGGCAGAGACATTCACACCAGTAGCCTACTGGAGACAGCAAAGACACGGGCAGTGCTCAACCTGTTCCTTCTTGTACTAAGGAGAAGATATGGATCCTGCTGATTTAGAAAGTTCTACGGCCTTTTACAGCTCTCCTAGAGTAACTGCCTGTCTCCTCAAATCTCCATGTTCTGGAGATTGTGCTGGGAGACACATTAAGGGCCCTATCTTGCCACTTGTGTTTGTGCGAGCGCTAGTGTTAACAAGGTTCAGGTTGGGCTGTACTTGGTCGCTGAGGACTGGAGTGGGGAGGGTACAGGTACATATATGGTGATTAAATCTGAACCAAACTCTGACTGCTGTGGCATTTAAAATCACGGCCAGCATGGGTAATGTCTGCAATCTTTGCTTCATTATCAGACAGCAAAGAGGGGTGTGGGGAAAAAAGGGGGAAATGGGTACAAAAAACAACCCCACGACATAAGTACGCACCAGAAGAGATGCCAGGATAATAGAATTTTGGATGGTTCTGTCACAGAACTGGTTAGGCTTGTGTTTTGTGCACACGTGAGCCCCTCTCACACACCTCTGTAGGCCCATGCATGCAAACTCAGGTGAACCCTAGTTTTGTCTGCGTTCCTCCCTTCTTCTGCCTCCCATTACGCAGCAGACTGGTGTCTTTCTCGTGTGCTCCCCATCCCATATCATGTAGATAAAGTAAGAAAACACACTTTAGGCCATTGCTGTAAATGTCCTCATGTGAATGACCTGCTTTTGTACAGATCAAGGTCAAACAAAGCTGTGCTTTGCTGCAGGAGGGCATCCGAACTGCGCACGAACATCCCAGACAACACACAAACATGTGAATGTAATGGATTCATCATGTAATGTTTTCCAGTGGACTATTTATTTTTACGATTCTGGCGATTCACTGAACGTGCCACACCACGCCCTCAGTCTGCTTCACTCCACCTGATATTCAGGCACGGCACACCTCCTGTATAGAGCTCCACACCCCACACCTGCTCTCGTGCTAAAACCGGATGCAAGATTCGACCCATAATGTCCTTGCAACAGCACGTCCAGATGTGCCATCCTTGAGAAGTTGGACAATCTGTGCAGCTTCTGTAGGGTTAAGGAATGGCCTCATAGAGAAACTTGAAATGACCTCCACATGCAAAACCAGTCCTGTTTTACTGGATGTCTCGTTGTTGCCCCTCTAGTACACCTGTTGTTGATTTCCATTAAAAAAAAAAGGTGCCTTCCTTTTGTTCTGTTTTGTGATTGATAGATAGATAGATAGATAAAAATATTGAGATGATGATGTGCTGATGTGTTTTCAAAGTGTTCCTTAATTTTTTTGAGCAACATATTAAACATTTGCTTAATGTGTTTTATGTTAAAAAGAAATAGGATTAATCAAGCTTCTGTTAACTACCAGATGAAACTAGGAATGGGACAATAAACAATAATATAGTATATCATGATAAAAGGGTAGATGATAATCCTTCATGGGACATTTTATATAATCATGATAATTGGCAAGAAAGATAATCACCATTTCATCACCAGAATGTGCAGAAAAAAGCTGCTTATCCATGTTTTCTTCTAGATCATTGTTGTTACATTGGTCTTGATACCAAATTTCTGTATCATCTCATGCCTAGACGCAACCCTAACATACATGTGTACTCAATGTAAATTGTCCAAACAGCAAGAGATGACGTTTGTATAATTGAACATTTTGCCTAATTATAAGGTGTACTAGGATAGCTATGCAAGGATAGACATTTATTCTGAACTATTCTGTGGTTTTTATTTGTGGCTTGATGGGTGTGTAATGACAAATAATATGTTCATGAACTCACGGCTGTGAGAGCTGCTGCTGCTTTTGCCACCATGTCTCTGAGGTGGGAAAAAGCTCGGTCAATGCTATCAAAAGTCTCATTCACTGATACTGTAGTGTTTTTATCCCTGCAAACTTGGTTAATCGATTAATTGACTAAAGCGTGTCAGTGGTGAAGTTCTATAAAACTATTACCTATTACTCTAGCTTGCTTTATGCATCTGACCCAAATTGCACTCACAAGATAAAAAACTGCACAGGAGTTCATGCAAAACCAACTATTTATGCCAAAAAATGTCACAGTATTTAGACAGATTAAGCTTGTGAATCATAAGTTACATTAGACTTTTTACATACCAATATTAACTCACTATTGAACATACTCACTTCTCCTGTCTGTTGTCCCATATAACCTAAATAAAATTATCAGTTAATTAATATAAATTTTGGTCGTCTAAAACTGCATCGGCCGATTATTTCACTGAACTACTAAAGGCCTAAAAGACCTACAGCCTTAAAGGAAACTTTAATACTGGTTACGGTTCCATCTCTAACATAACTTTAATTTTTTCAGGTATACTACACTGTTTTCCCCTACAGGTTTTTCATAAATAAAAGTAAAAAGCTGTTATATACAATCTCAAATTTGCATAAGCTTCCCTTTGAATGAAAGCAGCTGAAAAGGTCCTGGGTTTACTTTTTGGGTTAAATTTCAAAAGGACCACAAACTCCCCATGACATTTGGAGTCTTTGATTATTGTCTAATCTAATTTCTGGTTTATTTTTAGCCTGTCAAAATTAGACTATGAGCATTTGTCAGTGAAAAATCTCTATTCAGGCAGTCTCTTGAGCCTAAACTGGCCTACAGCTAATATGGTTTTGCACTAATTTGATATCTCCTTCTCTGAATCCACAGATCAGGCTTCCATTCTCTTATCAGACATTGTGATATCTGCTCAAATGACCATAAAATACATTGAAAATCAGCTCAGGTGTTCTAAGTGAAAACTGCACATCCTTCACTGACCCTGCAGGACCTTTGCTTAGTGCTACCTGTCAAAATTCAATTCAGGATAGACGGTCACTGACCCAACTGCTGTGGGCTTCTCTTGTGAGTGCATCTGATTGAAATGCTCACTCATTCACTGTCAGGCTGATTTCCATGTTGGTGAAGACCTCCTGCTGGGGGTCACTCACCAGTACGAAGGATTGGCATAGCCATCCCCTTAAGCAGTAGCACTGCTCCCCCATCTGTTGTTCACTACTTTTCCTCTGTTGGCAGTTGTTACTATAAATCTAATATATTTATCACTATTGCAGGCAATCAGTTCAGTTCAATGCTAAATACAAGGTAAGACTATTAATTTTAATTCTCAGATTAAAAAAAAAATATATATATATATGTATATATATATGTGTGTGTATATATGTATATATGTATACATATATGTATACATATGTGTGTATATGTATGTATATATGTATGTATACGTATATATGTGTATATATGTATACGTGTATATATATATATGTATATATGTATACATATATATGTATACATATGTGTGTATATATGTATATATATACATACACATACACACACACACATATATATATATATGTATACATATATATGTGTGTGTGTGTGTATATATATACACATATATATATATATGTGTGTGTGTGTGTGTATATATATATATATATATATATATATATATATATATATATATATACACATACACACATTTTCCCAATTGCATCTTAATGTCACTCAGGGCTCTTACAACAGAAGACTTCAAAGTGCCTGATAAAATGGTGGGATTCAGTAAGTGACCCAATCCATATTACAAAAAAAAAATATTTTATTCCATTTAAAAATACACATCTCATAATCTTTCCTTTTATCTTTTCAGTTATTGGCAAAGGAGGCGAGCAAATATCAAGAATTCAGTTGGAGTCTGGTTGTAAAATTCAGATTGCATCAGGTAGGTTTACATTACAAGAAATCCATCCTAGTACAATTGACATAAATGCCTACATTGTAAGAGTTCGTGAGTGTCTCCTTTTAAAAATGTTGAGTAAAATTTTTTCAAGCAAGCCTTTACGATCCATGTCTTGCTTTATTAATGGTGGTGCATCATTTTTGCAGATAAAGGATTGTCGTCTTTTGGGCAATTGAAAAAAAACTGTCATTCCTGTCAGTCTGACATACAACAATCAACAATCATGTAGTTATGGCAAAACAAGGCCCTGATTGGCTTTTCAGCTTAACTTTCAATTTATTAACACTACCACATTTTACCAGGCACATATGGCTGTGCCATGAACTCTTCCTCATCTCTTTCATACCTATATGTACTTCTATTGATCCACTATTTTCTGCTGGTCGGAATGGCTGGTCATTATTTATACTGGTAATTTGCGTTGTAAATGGAAAAACACTGGCATATGCCAGCTACCATAATCGCTGTACTCATCCCTGGTGTAAATCGTCATGTAACCTAGTTGTATTATGCTATGAATGAGACTGACAAAGTGTGTGTATGTTTACATATTCATATTTTACAGACAGTGGAGGGATGTTGGATAGACCCTGCACACTTACTGGTAGCCCAGAAAATATTGAGTAAGTCCATTTTGACTATGGTATCAAGAATCCACATTGATGACATTACAAATGTGTACCCTGTTGTTTGAAGGTATAGATTTTTTTTTGTCATTGAATCACCTGCACACCACTATTCTAGAGCCATTTTGTTCTATGAAGGAGTTGTAATTTTTATAAAACCTGTTTTGGTCCACTCAACCAAACTCACTCCTCACCCCCCTCCAGACAGGCCAAGAGACTCTTGAATGTGATTGTGGAGCAGTGTCGGTATGGGCCAGGCTTCCACAATGAGATGGACGGCAACAGTGCCATCCAACAGATCCTTATCCCTGCCAACAAAGTGGGGCTGGTCATCGGCAAGGGAGGAGAAACCATCAAACAACTTCAGGTCTGCTTATAGGCCACACTGCACTCTTAACTTAGACTCTTAACTTAGACTTAGACACTCTTATCAAATAGCACTTTTTTGTGTGTGTTTTTTGTTTTGTTTTTTGTTTTTTTGTTTTTTGTCATTCTGAAATGTGAAGTGTGTCACTCTGACCACTTATGCTTTGTACATTTCCCTGTGCAAAGGTAGAATGTGGTGATTTTTAAAGAGGGGAATTAGGCAAAATCTGATTTTTGTAGTTTTCTACCATGTTTTAACATTTCCACATTGCAAATTATGATCTTGTGATTTCTCCCAGCATTATTCAAACCCTCAAGTTGTGAGTGAGGAAGGAGGGAGGCAGAACATCAAAAAAGAAACTAAAACGTTTTAGCATTTATGACGGCAAATATAGCGTTTTCAGTATAATAAAGTGTAACTTGGTGATCTAATTGGTGATCATTAATATATTTTTTTAAGTATTATATCACATGAAAATAAAAAATCTAGTTTTGGTCAACCTTTTCAGCTAAAGGCTAGTATTTTTGTGTGGCTTATTACAGCATTTGGGTTGTATTTGGTGAACTGTCAAAAATGCATGATCTTTTAATTGGAAGTAGTAAGTGTTTGCAGTGTTGCAAAGGTCCCTGGAAATGGTCCCTCTCCAGAATACATATGCTATGTTGATAATAGTTTGTATTTGAGTATGGACCGAGAGGAGGTATATTCACATGTTTAAAAGCAGAATGTCACAAAATACAATTTATTTGTTTTTACTTGTACTTTGAGCAGTAGCAGAGAACTGACCTGCCCCCTTTAAAAGTTTATCAGACTCTTTCACTGATTAATTTCACAACATTTAGAAGCGGTCTGGTTTGTTGCAGTTGTGTTGAGTCACTACATTTACATGCATGCAGGGAAAGCCCTGCTACTGGCTACTCAAGATTTTATCTTCACCTCATATCGACTGAGAAAAGTGAAAGTTATTCTTTGCAGAAAACATTATAATTGGATGAAGAATCTTGACTAATCTGCGCATGTAAATGTAGTGATCGTTTCCCATGGGTCTGTGGAAATCTTAATTGCTTTGCCTAGACTGCTCCACATTGTGGCATTAAACTTGGATTATTGTAATGTTGTAGTTGTTTGAGTTGTGGTTATATATTGTAAAACTTTATCATATAATTGCTCTTATACTGTTTTCAAACTACCCAAGTCAATGCAGCATTTTTATGTGACTTGTAGTAATCATGTGATATTATTTTTGTTCTGCTCTCACACCTGTAGGAAAGAACAGGAGTGCAGATGATGATGATTCAGGATGACCCCATGCCCACTGGTGCAGACAAGCCCCTAAGAATCACTGGAGATCCTCTCAAAGTCCAAGTAAGTGAACATCACACTTTATGCTGGAGGATTAGATGAAAATCATATTCTGTGTCATGAATAGCTTGTTATTGTGGACAGCATCACCACACCCCCTTCCCCGTCTGCACGCACATGGAACACAAGGCTGTACTGAGCATTTGGAAATCATCCAATATGATAGTATCAATATCTGATCAAGATATTGACTCAAGTGCACATTTATCTGAATTTTAAATGCACAGTGTAGTGGCAGATGGATAAAATGTCCTGTATTTTTACCATAATGGACAATGCTTAAAGGGCCCTAATGGAGTTTTGCCTTATAGTTGAACTTTGACTATTCTATGTTCATAGGAACTTGTTTTTACTCTTTCAGGAGCATAAAATGTATCGGATTGTAGTAGGGTTTTTTGTTTTTTTTTTTTTGTTTTCGTTTCATTTCCTAAGCTTTTCGGTCTTTAAATGGTTCACAGCCTGAAAATATGTAACCTGCATTGTATTGGGTGCAAAATAATGAGGTAAAAATGGCTATAATTACCTTTTGAGCTTAACAGCTAAGACAAAATGGACCTGAATTGTTCCTGAATAGTTTTGGAATAGTCTTGATCTATATCATAGTTACTACAAAACTACATGCTAATACTTTGTTTATTCTACTGCCTTAAAGTATTGAGTATCTAGCATCAATCCTTTGTGTGTGAAAATGAAGTATTGTTATGACACTATTCTACATGGTGTACATTTGAAACATTTTGGCACTTGCATACTTTAAGTCCATCACTATGTGAAGTAATCTTGTTTTACAGCAAGCTCGTGAACTTGTTGCAAAACTAATCCGAGACAAAGACCAAGCAGAGTTCAGATCAGGCAGAGGAGACAATGGATACAAAATTGGTGGCACCACCCTCGATGTAAGATACTGCTTACTTACATTTTTCATTACTTTAATGTATTTTATATTTAAGTAATGTTTTTTGTTTTTACTTTTTGTGATAGATGGCTGTTCCCAGGTTTGCAGTTGGTATCATTATTGGTAGGAATGGAGAAATGATCAAGAAGATCCAGAATGATGCTGGTGTACGGATTCAGTTTAAACAAGGTCAGAGTACCTTTGCTTTTAATTTGCAATGCATTAAACTGGTACCAAATCATTTTTTGTGTTGTGTAGATGATGGAATAAGTCCTGAACGAGTTGCTCAGGTGATGGGTCAGCCTGAGAACTGCCACCATGCAGTGCACCTCATTAATGAACTGGTTCAAACAGCTCAGGTACTTTATAATAAAGGTTCTTTTTATCTTACCCAAAGTAAGATTATCCTTAAAATACAGCAAATACAGATGATTACACTTAGTGTTTGTCCATTGTGCAGCTATAACTTCTTATATAACATGTGTTATACTAATCTCCTCACCCATCTGAACACCACTCATCACACATTTTCAAAACACGAAGTGGAGTATTTCTTACACGAATGGACAAATATTTGCAATAAATATTTCACAAATAATAATAAAGGTATTTCTGCTTTAGGAGAGGGATGGGTTTGGAGGAATGACTGGACGCCGTGGTCGAGCGGACTGTAATGTTGGAGGGCTTGGTGGTTTGCAGGAAGTGACTTATGCAGTACCTGCTGACAAGTGTGGCCTGGTCATCGGGAAAGGTAATTTTTTTTTTCCTCAATTGATACTTGTTACATTAACATTTCCAAATCAACTGACTGCCTTGTCCTTTCAAAATGTGCACCCTGTTTGCTAAGTCTCTGCGTGAATCTGATGAGAAGTGTAGGGGGGTGAGTGACCACCCTCTATTCTCCCTCCAGGCCTCATGTATACAGCACAAGTGGCATTCATTGGCTTCACTAAGGGCTTAATGATGGGGATAATGCGTGTAATGTGACATTAATTGTTAAAGGTGCATAATAACAGCTCTCAATCATGTGGAAGGCTGCCTGGCATCTAATGAGGGTCTTTCAGCCCAATAGAGTGCAGCGAGGAAATGAATAGAAGGAATTAGCTTATTGGCTATTCATGCCCACTCTATTGCCAGCTATTTAAAAGTCATTGACCATTGCATTGGAAGGAGACGCGACTCTCTGTGTGTGTGTGTTGCTTCATGGCTGTTGTTTGAGTGCATGCGGTAGTGGGCGGGGTCACAGGGGGCCTCTTTACCTAAGATAAAAACATGGCAATAGAAATGTCAAGTGGCTATTGTGCATGTAGTGCGGCAAGGGAAACAAATAAACCTGGGCGTTGCGTCCCCCTCTCTCTGCATTAGCATATGAAGTGAGCCAATATGGTGAAGATGGCGGTGGGTCTGGGTGCTGTCAGAAACCCCTTAAAGAGCGTGGTGATTAATATCTTTACGATGCCATATGTAGCCCAGTGCCCCTCCATTTTGACCTCAGCTATACATGATGGAGCAAGCCACCCACAAACCTGCTTCGACTTCATTGCAGTGAATGCAAATGAAAACTTGTAGATTAGACACATTTTGCAATCTTTAAACTTAATGTACTTGGTTTCAGTTGTCATTTTATGAGACAAAAGCTTTTAAACTCCTATCTCAATGGTTTCATAAAACATTGTCTTTCCCCAAATGTGACACTAAAGTGTTCAAATCCAAAACTCTTTGCCTAGCATGGAAGAGCTATAATTTTATCACTCTAGCTTTTACCTCCAATCATAACTTTTGTTTGATGGGTGCTAGTGTTAGTTGGATTTTTTTAAACCAGCTGGTGTGCCGAATGCAGCAGCCACCCAACTTTCTGACCGATTTTACTGCTGTGGTAGTTTTGCGATTTCAGCCTGCAGTTACAGCATGCCTATGCTGCACTGCTTCAATTTTTAAGATTTTGATTAATGGATGGTTAAAATATTTTTTAAAGGAGACTTATTATGCACAGTTAATTTAACTACTCTGTACTTAAACATATCAGATTATCTTTTTTTAATCTGAGAACAAACTAAGACTTCAGCAGGATTGTGCCCCTTTTTCAACTCCATGAAATATTCTGTGTGTGTATATATATATTATATAATATATATATATAATATATATATATATATATATATATATATATATATATATATATATATATATATATATATATATATGTATGTGTGTGTGTGTGTGTGTGTGTGTGTATATATATATATATATATATATATATATATATATATATATATATATATATATATATATATATACACACATACACACACATATACATACACACACATATACACATACATATATATATATATATATATATATATATATATATATATATACATACATACACACACACACACACACACACACACACACACACACACACACACACACACACACACACACACATACACATATATACATAGACACACATACGTACATATATATATACACGCGCATGACGCATGCATTGTTTTCCCCCATACCAGCAAAGTGACTCTGGTGTACTTTGTTTATCTTGAATAACATCTTGCAGTTGTAAACCATGTTCATATTAGTATATTTTAAATCGGTTCATTTATCATTTTATTATAATGACATTAAAACAATACAAATGTTCTCCTTCCAAATGCCAAGTAGTCCTGTGGGACTGCAGTGAATACAGTCACCAGTTGCACTCTTGTATGCCTCTTTTCTCCAGCTCACTAAACCAGTCTCATTAATACAGCCTGTATTATCTGTCCACACTACAGGCTAGTCCATGAAATGAATAGTCGGGGTCTTCATTGCTCTCTGCTGTCTGACTAGAAGAGCTCATAATGGCTTCATTAAGGCAGAAGTTTCATTTGGTTGACAATAGGTTAATGGCCTGTGCACAGTCTGTTGGTAGCAGGCTATAGTCTTGGGGAGGAGGAGCGGGTTTTGATGAGCGTTTTCAGTGAGGGGTCAGTTGAGGTCATCTAAGTGTCACCCACAAGTGAACAAATGTGTAATTGATGTTGGGACAGCCCCGATGTCCCCCGGTTAAGCACCCTCTGCCTTTCTCCTTCACATGGGCATTGGGGGTGAGGTGCCCTCTCGTCACTCCCTCTGCACATCACAAGACAACACTGAGTCAAGAATGAAAAGGCTAAAGGAGACAAACGATATCCCAGAAGGAGGATACGCTTCAATTTTGGCCCTTTCTCCCACTAGCTCTGTTTCATTTCCCCCTGCTGGTGTAATTGCTTTCCATACGTCAGGAAGCTGGCATCTGGGTTTCAGGGCGGGGTGTGTGTGGAATATGTCCTCTTTTGTTTCCCGATTTTCATGGATGTTACCAGAGAATGGTAGATAAGTGGTGAGACACATGCCAGTGCCTTCTGAATGTAGCACTATCATTTCTACCAAGCACTTAAATGATAAGTTAGATGGCAAAGACAAACTTATCATTAATATTTTGTTCCACACATAATCTTTCTCTCATTAAGTGTAATTATTACATTGTCAGGCTAGATGAAAAAAAGAACCCCAAACACATTTAACAGTGAGATTTTTTGCAAATTGAACCAAGCAAGAGTTGTGCAAGTTACTAGAAGTAATTGTCACTATTATAGGTGGTGAGACCATCAAAAACATCAAAGAGCAGTCAAGAGCTTTTGTAGAACTGCAACGCAACCCACCACCAAACACCGACCCCAACATGCGCATCTTCTCTATTCGTGGGACCCCTCAGCAACTGGAGAAGGCTCGTCAGCTGATCGATGAGAGAATTGGGGTAGGTGGTCTGTTCATACACTATTGTCTGGTCATATATTCATGAGCACATGTCAGTGACGCTGGCTGCTGGGCTGCTGTGGAGCTGTTGGCCAGCAGGATGTCAGCAGAGGTTAAACGTGAAGAATCCATCAAATGGACTTAATGGAGTGCATCAGTGCCTGGCCCTGCCCTTTGACATTGCCTGTTGGCTCCCTTTAAACACAAGTGTGGTCTCTGAATTGTGTCTTCGTCCTTTTGCTTTAGGGCCCTGGGATAGGGGGTAACGGCAACTTCAGTGTGAGCCCCTACAGCCAAGGACCATCCACTCCACCACAACAGTAAGATTCATCCTTAAAATCACTGACCCCTATCATCAAGTTCTTGTTGACTAAAATGCTTGTTTTCTGTTGTGCATAGTGGGCCTCAGAGCTACATGACTGGAAGATGGGGCACTTCATTTCAGATATGGCAGCCTCAAGGTCAGCAGGACCACAGTGAGTGAATATAGTCCTGTGTTTTGTAGATTAGAAGACGCATTGAAAACTCCTGGATACACTAAGAAAGCTGCTGGAATAAAGGGACTGAGCTCCATTAACACTGGTGTTGCATCTGGTTTCAGGTCACAATGGATCCCAGACAGGCCAGATGGACTGGGAGCAGTATTATAAAAAGCTCGGCAAGTGTCATTTAGAGAATTAGAGAAACATTTGGTTCTCATTAACATGGTGATATATGCATTGTTTTGTATCGGATAAAGCAAGGCAATAATTATTTATGTCATGAATTAATCTGACAGCTTCTTTCACACCTGATGAATGGGACGTGTGGACTATAGAAAGTAAATTATCTAAACATTGACACTGATTTTTGCAAGTGAATTTTGATCTAAGTTAAAGGTCACATTAAATAAAAACTTCCATTTACTTTCAATATTTTTTTAATCTGTTTTCAATTGGTTTTCAATGTTTGTAGTAATGATTGATGCTTTTTTTGCAGGACAACAAACACAAGCTCAAAGTAGTCCTGAATACAAAGCTTGGGGTGAGTGTTCTTTATTTTTGAATCTCTTCTGGTCACTTTAAAACTACTTTTGTTAAATATAGATTACAATATTCTAATGGGATGTACTTAAGTCTTGAGATTTAAAGTGCATATGACAGGTCAACGACTACTTTCACTAATATGGAGATCTTTTTTTTTTTTTTTTTTTTTTTATTACTTTGCCAGGTAAGTTTTAGAATTACTTCAGTCTGTATAAAGTAAAGTAAAACTATAAACCAAAAATAGTCAACCATAAAGTTAAACAAATATGTTAAATGAATACTGAAAGTGTTAGAAAAAAGTTTTTTTCATATAAATTGTCCCTGCATTATGTATTGTTTAGAACTTTGGCAGATCTTCAACTTTTCTTCACAAACTACCACAAATACATTTTGTAAATGGGACATGAAGCCAGCCTTTGCTTATAAATACTATATAAAGATACTATCTCGCCAAACAAAATGATAATTAATAACTATAAAACTAATCAAAACTAATTGTTACCTTTTCTTTAGGACAGACATCTGGCCCTTCATCTCAACAAACTTCAACTGACTACAATTCCTGGGTGGATTTTTACAGACAACCGATGGCCTTCTTTAATCAGGGTGCACAGCAGACCACGGCTCCAGGCATACAGGTCAGACATACAGACAACCTTTGAACATAAAACTATATTTAAGCTTTCATATTTCAACAAATGTTGACTTAACACTTGGCCATTTCTTGTAAATATACACAGGATCATTAAGAAATTAAGGACTTGAAAGACACAGAATGGAGGCAACCCGTTTTGTAAGGGTTTTAGATTTGCAGCGCCTTGAAGATCTGATCTTAGTGAGCAACACTAGCTGTAGAATAATAAAGTAATATTTCTAAATTAATCAGGAACTTTTGTTTGTTACTAAATGCTTCTGTACACTGTTATTTTGAATAGATTGTATTAAGGATCCCTTTTGGACTTGAGGTATTTGGTTTGTTTTCATGTCTGACACAGATTGTACTGCCAAAACCAATCCAACTGTTGTAACATTTCAAAAGGCAATATAATCTAGTTTTCTTGAAATACAATGAAACTATGATAATTTGCTTAGCAGTCTTGAATAATGTTGTATGTCATTAAATGTTGAAATGTGCAAGTTTTCCTTCATAATTCAGTGAGCCAACACTGTTACAGAAATGTATTTTTTGTTACAAGGTTTAAGCTAAGGATTCAATCCGTGACAGTTATTTTAATTTAATTCTTGTGCATTGTTAGCTGTTTTTCATTGTCATTTTATTGTTGTCTCGTTTAAAAACAAGGTGCAATATCTTATTTCACTTTTGAAACAAAGATGTTTTCCTAATACTTTGACAAAGTTTTAACTTGTAGTTTTAACTTTTTTTTTTTTTTCAAATGAAAATGTCATTGATAATTTATTGCATTGATCTGATACAGGATTAATGGGAATGTTGCATATAGCTTTGTTGCCTTTATTACCTTTGTAAAACTGTATATATGCTCATATTTGACTGTTAATTTAAAATGTATATGTTTCAGTACTTTCCTGTAATCATATTTACAGGGAATGGTCCCTTTCTGTTTTTCATACTGAAAATGTTCAAAGATTGTGAATGTCTTGAAATTTGATGTTGCATCTTTATGAAGAAAATAACTGGTTGATTTTGTGTATTCTATGTATTTTAACTATTCAAGACTGCTAAGCCTGTGGAAATGTATGTGTGGTTAATTATAGTATTTTATGTTTTAAGTATTATCAAAGCTGTCTTATTTGGTACCTGTTGGTTTAAATTACCCTACCCTATCTGGTCGTGGGCTCTAAGATTCTGGACTTAGTCCATTCATACTTTTTAATTGTATTATTTTCATGTGATCTAATATAAATGAGATGAATACAACATTATGGAAATGTGATTATGGTATTAATGGTAGTTTTATTTGATTGAAAAAGGGATATTAATTTCTAATTGTGTAATCATGGTGTTTTGGTTTTTTTTGAGTTTTTTTTTTTTTTTTTTTTGTTATCTGAACCATGTATTAAAACATCTGACTACTACTACATCTGTGTACTTATGTTGTGTGAACAATGTTTAGGTGAATCTTTTATAGGCGTATGATATGACACTTTTTAACTTGAGGTGATTGGAATCTTCCCCTTGACATCTGTATGGATTGGTTGTACTGAAAATGCCTGAAAACTGTTAAATTGTTTAGTGACAATGGAGTTGAATGTGGAACTGCATTTTTCATTTTGCAAACCTGTCATTTGTCGAATCCTTTTTTTTTTTTTTTTTTTGGAGCAGCACCCCTCAGTCCACTATGAGTATGTCGCATGCGTGTTCACCCCCTCCGGACAGAGCCTGTGTGCTTTGTCACTGCACATCTCTCCTCTCTGTCGGGAGTCCATTTCCACAGTGGACCTGGCCTTACTGGCGGTGTGCAGCTGTTTTCAAATTCATCCTTTTGATTTTCATTTTTGACCTGTCCTCAATTGTGGACACTCGGGCCTTTTGCCATTTTTACTCGGTCTATACCAGCTTTATGAAAATCAGAAAACCTGTTTTTGAATAATTGGCAAAATGGTCTAGACTATCCTAAATTTTAGGCTATAATCTCTTTAGTTTATAAAACAAGTTTTGTAAACCTACGGAAAGTGTTTGGTTAAGAGCGAACAAGATGCGTGAAATGAAAATAAATATCGCACGCTTTCCGTTATCCCTGTTCCCACTTGGGACTGACAGGTGTTTTCCTGCGGAGTCTGTTCAGCCGCAGAGCTGCAGATGCGCAGGAGCTGTCCTCACCTTTAAAATACGCCGCTCGCCCTTTTGGCGCACCGTGGCACCTCCATTAATCTGTTTTTAATGACCCTCTGGAGTGTGGCCTTCCTCCCAAAGGACACAGAACCGCCAGCGCCAGAGGCCTCTCCTGGTGTCCTCCTGGTGAAGGCCACATAGGCCTCATAACCGTGTGTGCTGTCGGATATACCAGCCGTTTTTGGCCTGTAGGCTTAATCATTTTGAATGTCTTGTGTTAAATAAGTTAATTTTTAAAAAGATGGATATAAAGGAGTGGGGGGCAAATAGAGGCATGTAGGCCTATTGCTAAACCCGTCCGTTCAGCATTTCGTTTTCTTCTGACAGGCCCATTCGTGTGGATCCAAATAGCCTGTGCGCAAATTCATTCATTGGTTTATTTTCAAATGAACGCTTGTCTTTGATGGATTCCGAACATCTCTTTGAAATAAACTATTACGACGCTTTTTTGTGCAATAATTGTCAATCATCCTTATGAAATTGATGGGGTTTAAATGGACAGAATAATGGCATAAATTGTTTTACAATAGGACTGTTAAGCTGGGTGATGTGCTGTTCTTGACATGCCCTAGGGTTTACCAGATATAAATAATGCCATAGGTTAATGCACAAATAAGCAAATCAAATCCATGCGTTACCCCAATTCAATTCGTTTAATTCCTCTTTAATAAAGAGCGGTCCCGCCCCCCTGTCTCTACCATTTACCTCGGATTTGTGCAGTGAATGCTATAAATGTAAATCAATCTAGATGAGAAAGAATCCTATTCACACAGCAGAGAAATTTCATCTGGGAACGGGAGACAAACGAAGGAGGGGCGCCCTCATAAAAAGCAGCTGTTTCGCAGTAATCTTTTTTCGTGCCCTGTCACTCACCTTGCCTTTTCACTATCTGTGCAGCCCAAGAACTCTGCGCTATTGTATTTACTTGCCATATCTTCTTTCCCATTACTTCTTCGTCCATATTCGACCAGAGAAAGAGAGCGCAAAACTTGCCCGTTTTTCGGACAATCCCCTTGTAGTTGTAGGAGTGAAAAGGAGTGCATGGATGTCAAATTGCCCTCAAAACACCATGAAAGATTGATTTGCAGCACTTTTCAGGTCCCTGACATTACTTGGAGGGGAGTTGAATAGGAAACCTGTGAGCCGGGGATGGAATAAAGATGTCCTCTCTGCTGGAAAAGAAGGAAAACTGCCCATTTAGCCCCAGTCCATCAAGCCCGAAAAATAGGCAAGGGAGGAAAAAACCGAGCGGATTGAGACTATTGAGAAGAAAGGGGCCGTATATACTCATCTAAACGTCGTCACAATACCAAGGGGCTCCGAACATCCATGAATATTAAACCGCTTACCTCAACAAGGGCCGCAGAAGTGAACCACGTCAAAACAGCTTTGCATTTTTTGCATGTGAACAATGCTGTAAAACACGCGGAGCTTGTTTCTATTCTTGTTATTCCCGCGCTAACTCTTTACAAAAAATAATATTACCACCACATGAATACGCAATGCCTGAGAAAAAATGAGCGAGGGACTCCCAGACTCATGACCCACTTCTGGGTAGAACATAGTTGTTTTATACAAAACGTGTTTGATGCAATATACCCATAGACCGAATCTCTTTATTTTTTTAACGTCCTTTGTTTACAAAAAGGTTGCACTACCTCCAAAAAGGATTTAAACTATTCATTTTTTCTGATAGTCTATATACCCTGTAGCCTAATAATGGCCAGGTCAAGTCTAAGCCTATTAAAGTCTATAGGCCTATAGCATATTTGGAGATAGTGTCATTTTTACTATGGACTGTTCTTGAAAGTAACACCTTTGTTCTGTTTTTGTTACGAAAGTAACGAGCAGTAGTAGAGTATGTTAATTTAATTTCCACTCCAAACGCACAGGTCGCATTTGTGAATTTGGCTCGCCTTTTTGACACTGAGTGGATTTAATCGCCGAGTAGTTCTGCAGCGGCGGCAGCAGCAGGCTGGTCCACACGGCGAGGGGTGTGTCATTAATAAGTAATTAGACAGGGGTCACACAGGCACTGTATAAAAGCACCCCTCGCAGCTGAGAGGATCAGCTTTACGCACAGACCGCGTGGAGAGAGAAGAGCTCGCAATCTCCTACTTGTTCCTTTTCCATATTTGGTTTGAACGGTCCTCGTGCATCATGGGCTCCGTGTTACCCGCAGACCCGTTGGCTATGAAGTCTGGATTTAAGTGTCCCAGCCGTTCGCTGTCAGATGTGATCACGTCGGACATCCTCCACAGTTTCCTCTACGGCAGGTGGAGGAACGTACTAGGAGAGCACCTGGGAGAGGAGCGCAACAGCGGCTGCAGCAACAGCCCCAAAACCGCCTTCACTGCAGAGGTGCTCGCGCAGTCCTTCGCTGGAGGTAAACTTCCTGCGCTATTACTCAACTTCAAAATGAGAATGATCGCTCTATTGTCGTCATTTACAAATGGATGTCCAGTTGCGCACTGTGTTTTACTGTAGATTTACGTTTCTGTTGCAATCACACGTTTAATGATATTTATTACAGACTAACAGAAGAAAGAATTTATTCATAATACACTGAAGAACTTTTCCAATAATTTGTAGCCTGAGACTGTATTGAAATTGCGCATGGCGCACAAATAAATAGTCAGAAAAAGTCAAATTTCCACACTATGAATTTATTACAATTCTAGTTAATTTAATATATTTTTCTCCTCTGACTCGAACCATAGCGCATTATTCTAGTGTGCGCTTCCAGGCCTCGCGTTAAGGGTTTGTTATGTGTGTTGTGCCGCTGACTGAATGGCGCTTGGCATTAAATTCATTTGGTTAACTTTGTGCTTGACCTGGGAAAGTTTTCACTTAAACCACGCGAAGAGAAAAGTTTCTTTTCTTTAAGATGTCCTGGGTTTTTATCATGCATTCATCAATCTCCGGACAGTCTCTTTTCCTTTCTTGGCAGCTATGGGGCTCCAGAGCCTTTCTCTTTCTCCCTCCTTAAAAGATTTGCTGTTCCTCACATAATGCACCGTGAAGGGTAAATCTAATGCTATTCATAGCATGTCAACCATCTAATCGCCTTTCCATTTTTTTGTTGCAGAAATTCCTGAGCCTTTTAAACAACTTCTCGTCTCATTCAGTGCAAATTTATTGCTACAAAGTTCTTAAAAGGATAATGAATTTGGAATTAGCCGTTTCTTTTCCAGTAAACTTTAATGAATATCACATCTGAAGCATGACAAATTGCGGGACCCTGAGCAACAGAGGACCATTTAACTTTTCTTCAGTTCATCCATTTAGGAGACAGAAAGAGAAAAAAAAAATCTTTAATTCTGACTTTAAAGAAGCGCAAGTTTTTTGTTTTATTAAGGGTTTTTTCTCCCCCCGTCCCCACCCCATTCTATTGGGCAGGAAAATGGTGTCCAATAGGTTTTTGTGTTCAACAAAACTTTCAGTTCAACCACATAATCGAATTTAACGGCGGATAATGTGTAGCGTAATATTTCGTGACTAAAATAAGATCCACTCTATTTAGTTTTTTCAGGATTTCTGCAAGTGTATAGTTATTTAATGAGAACTGGCGTTTACTTTTACGCACCCGGTTTTACCGCGTCAAAAATAAAATTCCATCAGTTTAACTGCCAAGTATTGTGCCTTTGTTGTACGTAGATTTCTTCTTTTTTTCAGAGGTGCAAAAGTTGTCCAGTCTGGTGTTGCCCAGTGAGGTGATCATAGCTCAGAGCTCCATCCCTGGAGAAGGCCTTGGCATTTTCTCAAAGACATGGATCAAAGCTGGCACTGAGATGGGACCTTTCACTGGCAGAGTGCTGTCCCCTGAACACGTGGACCTGCTTAAAAACAACAATCTCATGTGGGAGGTGAGACAGCCTTCATCACACTCACTTTACTCACATCCAGTTGTTTTCATTCAAGTCACTGTCTGCAGCAAGAACTTTCAACAACCTTTGTATATTTATAGGTGTTTAACGATGATGGAACAGTGCGATACTTTATAGATGCCAGTCAGGAGGACCAGCGCAGCTGGATGACTTACATTAAGTGCGCCCGCAATGAGCAGGAGCAAAACTTGGAGGTGGTGCAGATTGGCAGCAGCATTTTCTATAAAGCAGTAGAGGTAAGCCTTTTGGCAACAAAGTTGCTGCTGTAGCTGGCCATCTTCCATCTAGTGGTGAATTAGACAAATTGCACTTAATGGCATCTACGATTATATTTCATACCATATTAATAAAAAAAATTTTCTCCATCACAGACAATCCCTCCAGACCAAGAGCTTCTTGTATGGTATGGAAATACCCATAACACATTCCTAGGGATCCCAGGTGTACCTGGAACAGAAGAAGAACAGCAGAAGAAAAGCAGAAATGGTGAGACCCTAAGCTCTAGTGTTTTTTTCACATGAATATTTGATGTATAAATTAACCACAGAGTCAAAGTGCAGTAAAACTCACATATATATCCCTCTTTTTTCCAGATGACCACCCTTGTGACGGTTCTTCCTCCTGTTCTCCTGTATCCACATCCACTGCTGGTCGTATGCGCTGTGTCATTTGCCACCGTGGGTTTAACTCGCGTAGTAACCTTCGCTCTCATATGCGCATCCACACTCTGGACAAGCCCTTTGTGTGTCGCTTCTGTAACCGCCGCTTCAGCCAGTCATCCACTCTCCGTAACCATGTCCGCCTGCACACTGGGGAGAGGCCCTACAAGTGTCATGTGTGCCAAAGTGCCTACTCACAGCTGGCAGGCCTCAGGGCTCATCAGAAGAGTGCCCGCCACAAGCCAGCAGCTTCAGGCACTGATGGCTCTTCACAAGGGTCCCCCCCTCCTCCTCAGATAACCCCCATACCCCACCAACACCAGATGCCTCTTGTGCACCACATCCCCACCATGGTGTTATGATAACATAAGGACAATTGACAAACTGGAAAATGTTGCACTTTAGATCAGTGGAGAATTTGGGATCTGTTGCTTTAAGATGAATGATCATGTGATCACATGTCAATCAGAATTGTTTTCTCATCTGTTAGTTGTTATCATTATCAACTTACTACAGATGTATTTGTTTATGTCTAAGCCCTGCTGACTCAGGTGAACAGAGCTGTCAGACACTGACAGTGAGTTGTACCTCACCGATCTGCCTGAGATGTGTAGAGCACTGTACACTGAAATGGCCACTTTAATCTTGTACAGATAGTATACTACCCACAAGTATGTATTCCCAAAGTTATATACAAGTGAATGTAAATACATTTGTGCTTTCTTTTGTTATTAATAAACAAAATGCATAGAATCAGTAGCATGTTCTGTCATTCATCATTGCAGTCATAACTCTAGTATTTTATGAACAGTTAACATGGGTCAGTCGTGGCTCTGTTGGTGAAATTTATGTAAATACTGTTGTCATGGTCCTGGGTAAAACAAAACCCTCATTGGCTGCTCCAGTCACAGCAGCCTTACAAACGTAATCTTATAATAGCCAAACAAACGGAGCCATATTTATGCTTCCTCAGTCGCATTGTTTAAACTTGTACAGTAAATGTCACATAGGAGTACATGTCAATAAAATTAATGTCAATAAAATTACTATTACACCAGGTAATTGATGCATACCAGTTTATTTTCTGATTAAAATGCCCTGTGCCATTGCAGTACTTGTTAGTTCATCAGACACTATCCTACTTCCCAGTGGGACGTTTTCAGAAAAGTCATCATTACAACAAGTGCAGTGATGGTCACAATAGACCTCTCTTGCATACATTATACTTTGGGTGAGTTCACACTTCCACATTAAAATTCAGATTAAAATTGGACTAAACAGAGAACTATTCATGGATTAGTCCAGGGCCAGAACAGGACCAAACCAAGGCATGAGCTAAACTGGGCTCAAACCAGGACCCTACAAGGACAAGTGTGAATGTACACTTAAGGCCCATTTATTTATTATTAAGAGAGGGGATTGTTTTTCTTTTCTTCATTGTTAGAGACAGTCCACACGTCCTGCCCTAAAGGTAAGAAACAGTGAATTAATTTTTTATTTTTTTTATTTTCTCTATATACACAAGGAGTTTATTCATGATGGTCTATACGTTTGCTGTGGGATAGTCATCCTACTGAGGGTTTGGTCTTTGATGAACCACAGCAGTCAATTATCCAGTCAGCCACATAGTGCAGTGCTAAAAAAGAGGCAAATACATAACTCATATATATTTGCTCACTTCAAACAGCCAAAATGTTCAAGCATTTTTAACTTAGGTTCTTTTAAAGCCTACAAGAATAAACAAAATACAAAAGATACGATTCACTGCATTATTCTGTTAGATAATTGCTTACCAGAGAAGATTAGTCAAAGCATTGCCCCATGAACTTGAGGATAAAATATTGTTGAATGATAGCCTCTGTGTCAACTTGTAGTCTTCGTGGTCAGAATAGTGACACTGCAGCTCCAGTGACACAGCATTTATCATGCTGGAGAGGTCTTGTTACAGTTGCCATAGACTCTATTTTAATAATTAAAGGAATTGTATATAAGAGTTTGAGTTTTTAAATTCCATAAACATGTCTGTGTCCCCAGCCAGGTATACATGTTCAAATAAAACATTTTATACAAATAACTATGTAACTGTTATAATTTGGTCATTTAGTTCTCAATAATCTACACTGGGGTGTAGCACAAACCTCTGGCGAGTTGGCGGGCCCTCACTACATATTCTCTGCTTGCCTTGGGCTTTTTGAGGGCCTCCTCTGCCCTGGGTTACACTGTTGTGTAATCCAGTATTTAGGTATATAGAATTTTGACTCTATCAACATTCTATATATCTATACCGCTAAATGGAGCAGGAATGCATTTTGATGTGGTATAATATTGACTTGATCACATGTATGAAAAAAGGCATGCTGGTGTTGTGCATTGTCCTTGTAGTGCGATTATAATTATGGGTCATTTTATGAGACATTTTTACAGAAATTGCACTTAAAAAAACAACTTCAAAAAGCCATTTCCACCAATATTAAACCTGATCATATAATATAATATAAAATATATAAAAATCTGGATTTAAACTTTTGATTGCTGATTATTATTATTAATGCTAATAATGCTAATAATAATAATAATAATAATAATAATAATAATAATAATAATAATAATAATAATAATAATAATAATAATAATAATAATAATAATTTATTATTATTATTATTAAAAACAAAAACAAAACAAAAAAAAAAACACAAACACTTTCAAATCAAGGTATGAGACCTTTGCGCATTTTACCACATTTCTGATGATATGACATTACCCACACAGGTTTAACGGTGCATGTTGAAGATCATTCATGAGACATGCATGTAACCACATCAAGTTATAGCCACTGACTAATTTTCACCCATTGTCCCTTTCATATACCAGTGGTCAATGACACTGGAGGAAAGAACGTGACCACAGTAGGCCTATCATATTGTCCGAGCAAGATTTGAACTAAACTTTGAGTTAGTGGTTTAACTCAGGCCAATGTGAAATGGCCAAACTTATAGGGCGTAGGTGTATTTATTTTGTATACATTCATGTATAAATTTCTTTATTATAGGCTTGTTGATAGGCTACTGCATCAGGATAATATAAGCATTGTTTATATTTTAGTTATTTAGTCTGACACATTATAAACAAAAGTTTTTTTTTCTCTCTCGCTCTCCTTCTTTACAAAGCCATAGGCTATAAGCTTTCTTCTGCAAATGAAATTGTTCATTCTACACCAAAATAGGTTTTATTATTTCCTTAAGCCAAATTGTAGGCCTATCCAAGTAAATGTAGGCCTAACTTCAAATGCCACTTGTTTAAAAAGTACACCACCTATAGATACATTTTCCCCTTTTGTGATTAACAATAAGTTTTACAGTACATGTTTTAAGGTTTTTAATGAGGATTGATTTATTGAGTTTACTAACATATCAAAAATCACCTATAGTTATATAACGGTATATATAATAGGCTGCTGCTGCTCTGTATGTCAACCATACTACTATGTCTATGTCAACAGTGACCAAGCATTTCAAACCTGGCTTAAAAATAAATTAATTAATTAATTAACTTAATCATGGCAATAGGACTAATCGAGGCTACAGAAAACAATGTGATAAAATTTATTTTAAATTGAAATACAAATGTATTTTTATTTTTATTTTATCTTGCCAAGTCTAAAATCAATGCCTTGGTGATACAACACTGCCCTCTAGTGCTGATTGAATGTGCTTTGTCTCCTCATGTACCGTGCTGCTGGCAACACTTTAGAATTTGCAGTAAAACTTTTAATTGTACATTATATATTTAAATTATAACGTTGCAAGAAACCCGATAATATAAATTTAGTTTTGCAGCGACGCAAATCCATGGTTTGATTAAGCGGGTCTGGGTCACATCGATTACTCTGTGTGATGCTACTCGAGTCTCGCTTTTACAGGAGGATTGTTGTTCTTCTCAGAGGCTAATACTTAGCGGTTTTCTTCCTACTTATTTGATTCAGCAGGTATGCAATGTTTTTCCCAAAATCTCCCATCAATATAAGGGATAAAGTTGTCTAGTGAAAGCAGGGTTTTTCAAAAAGGCTGTGCGGGTTTGTCGATGCAGATGGCTGAAAGTTGTCTGTAAGTACGATCGTGGTGCTGGAGCTGCCAAAGTGGCTACAGTGATTAGTTAGCTTTGTCTGACATTTGCGAAAAACGCATTGAAATGTCCTATGCCATTCACATGTCATTCCTGTGATTCGTCTTTTAGTGTCAGTGATAGTCACTGAGTGTTACCTTATTTGACCAGGTAATATCCCGGGTAATATACTACTACTGCTCCTCCACAGAGCATTTCATGACGCACAACACATATACTTCCATGTAAGGTCATTCAACACACAAATCACACAGGGCCCCTGTCCTTCACATGATTTAAACTCTTCTTCTACATCTTAATACAAGCAAAATAAGAAAATATATAACTTTTTAATTTAATCTGAGAAGCTGTTGAGCAGCCAAATCTTAGTCAGGACTTGGTCTTTTCTTCATCACTGGTGTTCTGTGATAAAGAAGCCTCTATGAAGTATTCTCACCCATCCCAACTGTTAATTTTAGCCTACAGACAGGAAGCTCCAAACCACAATATTTGGTTTACTTTCACACTTAAAGCCAGAGTTATTGTAAGCTTGAACATAATGATGTATTGCTTATTGTTTGTGGCATTGGTCTCAAAGGATGTTACAATGGAGTGCAGCCCAGTGTTGCCGGACAGTTTGGTGTTAGAGATCTTCCTGCGTCTGCCCCATGATGCGGTGCTGAGAGCAGGGCTGACATGTCGGCAGTGGTTGGCTGTATCCCGAGATGAGTTCCTTTGGAGAGAGCTGTTTTACAGCTACTACCGCATCCCACGCTCTGTGCCCAGACACCCAGGTACACCTGAAGCACAGGGCATTTACCTCTAACAAATTATGATGATAGACAATGTTATAGAAAATGATTTTGCATTTATTTATATGTACACTATTTTTAGGAATGCACCAGTAAGTTTGCTGTTTTGATATTTTGGTATCATTGCAATCCTTTTATGGCATTAGAGTAATACATTGTATAAAAAATAATTGCTATTTATTTATATTTTAACTACTCCAAATTCTATTTCTTTCTTACAAAAACATAATATCTCTTTTAATTTTCGTTACAGCGGCAGTGTCCTGGTACAGGGAGTTTAGGCGTCTCTTTGACTGTATCCCCTGTGTGGAGGTGCAGACTCTCAGACAACACACCGACCAAGTACTCCACCTGGCATTTTCCCACAGGGGCCACCGCTTCTCCTCCTGCTCCAAAGACTGCACAGTAAAGGTACAGGGCTGAAATTATGAAAAGCACATTCTCATTTAGCAGTAAGTGATTATGTTCTCCATCAACAGTTGTGGGACACAGAGCGACCAGATGGCAACATTTCATTGGTGCACAGTTCAAGCATGCGACAGTTTAACTGGGGCTACACACAGTTCTCCCAGTTTAATGCAGATGACACATTACTGTTGGTGTCTGGGGTTTATCTTGGACCACACCATTCCTCCTCAGGCGAGATTGCTGTAATCAGTTTGGGTAGGTACCTCCTGTCATCACATTGCAGTTATGATGTGCTACAAAATATACCTTTCTTTACTGTTTTATAACAGAAAACTATACACTGTTGTCAAGAGTGAGGAACAAACCATATGATGTATTTGGCTGTTGGCTGAATGAAACTCACCTTATCTCTGGAAACTTGCACTGGATTGGGAACATGACATCTTGTTCGGTCCTTTGGCTAAATAAAGCTTTTCAGGTATAACTACAAAGTTTCAAGCTCTCACAGTCACACTGTGGCTGTCACTGGGCCCAAAACTCTAAAATGTATTTAATACAGTTTGAAATTGGTTAATACAAACCAGGACATTACAGCGGTTCATCTTTTTTCTATTTTGCAGGATATTGAATCGGAGAACGTAAACGTGGTGAAACGCCTTTTTAAGATTCAGAACATCAACGCCAGCACTATCCGGACTGTTATGGTGGCCCACTGTCATCGCCATGACAACCCAGACTTGCTGCTGGATTACGAAGCGCAGTCAGAGGCTCGGAGGAAGAGGGGCCATGAGATGCAGCACCAACCACTTCTGTTTGATCTCGGGACATCGGGCAGTGAAGAGGACGACGATGAAGAGGAGTGTGGGAGGTGTTTCTCATCCCCGCGCCATCCTCTGCCCACATACTCAGGGCTAGAACATGTTATGCAGGCAAGACCGGTTTCTGTTGTGGCAGGCACTGAAAAATTTGGTCTCTGCAGTTCTCTGAATGCCCAAATGGCTAAATAGCAACTATGGAATCATCATCAGAGCAAAAAATAAAGAATGTTAAATGTTAAAGTTATTATCATTGACTATTGCCAGTGTTCATAACTTCCCCCTGTCTGAACTGTATTTTTCTTCATGTCCTGGTTTCAGAGCTGTAAAAACGTGGGCCAAAGGGAACTCCAGATCGAGACCCACGTGGCCAAGGTGATGGGCAGAGCTCACACAAAGGCTTCTGGGTCCAGCCTTATAGACCACTGTGATTCTAATGATGGAGAAGATAAAACTTATCTACTGTTCACAACTGGCAGTCTTACATATTCTCCACACCAGATTGGTAAGACTGATGATGATTTATTGATAATTTAAGCACATAACAAAGAAGACAGTAGTGAGAGTCTTATAATTATTTCACAAAAGAGAAGTTTTTGTGTTGCTTCTTTGTAGGTATAAAACGTATCAAGCCTGACCAAATGACCACGTCTGGGCCTGTTTTGGGGGAGGAGCGCAGTTCAGATGAGTTTTTTGATTCTTTGGACCATGTTATTGATATTCATGGTCACATCATTGGAATGGGGCTTTCTCCAGATCACAGGTTAGGACACTTACCAGTCTGCTCTGACAGTATATGGAAAGAAATTGTGTAACTCATTTCATTGTCTCCACAGATATCTCTATGTTAACAGCAGAGCTTGGCCAGCTGGGTGTGTTATCTCTGACCCCATGTCACCACCCCCCATCGCAGAAGAAATAGACCTCCATGTAATTGACCTGAAGAATCTCAGAGAAGAAAGAAGAAGCTTACGTGCCCATAGAGCCTTCACTCCTAATGACGAGTGCTTCTTTATTTTTTTGGATGTCAGTAGAGACTTTGTTGCCAGGTAAGATACTTTTGCCTGGTTTGTAATCTGGGTAATGAAAAATGTGAGAGTGAAGAGTATTAGTGACTCCAATGTCTTGTCTCCAGTGCATAATTGCTGGGATAGGCTCCAATCATTGAAAACATATAGAGAATAGTTAAACTGCAACCATTTTGGTGAATTTGTGATCAATCTTAAAATAACATATTGATTTATGATTCCTTTTTTAATCTCTAAATTTGTTGCTCTCAAACATTTCACACCAAGTACTAACTAAGAAAAAAAAGTACCACCAAATCTGAGTACTGAGTACCACAAGATCTAAACCAGTTCTATAAAAGTGCTAATTCAGGTCTAAACTAGGTCTTGAACTGGAATACATCATAGCGGTAGTTCTAACAAAGAAATAACCCAGTGGAGGGAAATAATATATAAAGGACTGCAAATTATGAAAACTGAATTACTGACCGGCATCCGCATACCTGGTAGATGTGCGTAGGTGGCACACGCTCGACAGTTTCAGAAACGGTGCTCTAAACAACAAACTGAGAGCAAGGATAACCCTAAAATGTAATAACCTATTTAAATATACCACATATACCAAACTGAAATCCACCACATAATACTGTATTTCTTTGCTCACAGTGGGGCTGAGGACAAACATGGTTACATCTGGGACCGCCACTACAACATCTGTCTGGCCCGCCTGGCACACGATGATGTGGTCAACTCAGTGGCTTTTAGCCCAGCTGACCAGGAGCTGCTACTGTCTGCCAGTGATGACTCTACCATCAAAGTGTGGCGCTCCCCACGCATGGTCCGCCTCGCACAGACGCCATCTCGCCCTCCCAAACCACGGAGCCTGCTAACATCCTGGCTCAGTCGAGGCAAGAACTCCACTCCAGGAAGTAATGTGAATGGAAAATCTTGAAAACACAGGGGGCAAGACTTGAATTGCAGCCTACTGTATAAGAGGATATCATTTTCTTGGTTAATTTATGTCTACTGGTGAAAGCTAGTTGAATCGTGTCTTGAAAAGACTGATGGAGGGAGGAGTGCTAAGAACACCAGCAGAGGGCAGCAATCACCATGAATGAAAAGTATAGCAAGAGAAACGTGTAAGCCCGTCTGGGGTATGTTTAGTCGTTTTTAACTGTCATCTTGAAACTAAAATGGCTAATGAATGGAGTAGTACTTGCATCTTTAAAAAAATACAAAAACAAAACTCAGCAGACAGCATTGTACAAAAAGCTAATATGTACTGCTTAGGGGTAGGTGATATGGCAAAAAAAAAAAACTTTTTTTTTTTTTTTAATAGCTGAGATAAATTTAGATTTAATCACAGTTCATACAGTAAGTACCTTTTTATCCTCCATTAAAGGGTAACTAAAGTCACCTGTTGTTTGAGTCTGCACACCTAACTGTAATTGATGTTATTCACCTGTCTCTCACTCGGAGCGAGATGGAGAGGGTGGGAAAAGTTTTGTGTTCTTCATTTAACAGAAAAGCACTGAGTCATGAAGTTTCACCAAATAGCATTTCGTCACAGGGGTCAGGTCACTATTTGATTTATTTTTCTGCCATATTGCCCAGCCCTAGTACTCCTTGTCAAAATGTTTTAACATTCTGCTATAGTTGCAACATCTTGGGGTTTTAAAATCAAACTTAAAGTCTCTATTTCATTTTCAAAGGAAAGAATCAAGTTTTACCATTGTGGCTGAAATTTTAAAGTTATTGTGTATTTTATGGTTGAGTGTAAAGCTAAAGAATTATATTTAAGGGTTTTAAAGCATGAGCTACAGATGGTACTGTATGTCTAGTGTAACTTTTAAGTGTCTGGGCCTGTCATTAAACTAATGTAATAATTGCTCTCCACTTGAATCTATCACGTTGCAGTTTAATATCTACCTGTAATGAATGAGTGAAGTCAGTTAAGCATAGGTTGTGAAATGTTATTTCCAAGACATTTGAAAATGGTGTAGTTTTGCACCTAGGCCTATGTGCAGACAGTCATTTTGTGTCTTGTTGACTGTTCTCTTGCACCCCATTTTACACAGCATGTAAGTTGAGCCAATACTAGTACTTTTAAATAGTTTTGACCAGTGCTGAAAGACATGACTTTCAGACACATTATTCTCTCAAGATGTTTCACTACCTGTTTAAGCAACTTGTACACAAAATCAAATACCAGTTTTACCATCCAACTACAACACAAACAGGCTTTTTATATGTCTGTACAAAACTATTAGTACAGAAACATTTGTTCTTCAACAGCAGACACAGGACTGAATGTGCTACATGAGTGGAGTTCCCCTTCTCCAACGCACACACCAGTAGGCAGGGTTCAAGTTTGTTTTTCTGACCAGATTCCAGCATACAATGTAAAATGTATGGTAGAAAGCAGTCCTGACAGCAGTTTTGCAGCATTTTATTTTTTTACATTGGAATTGTTGATTTTAAAATAAAAATGTCTATAGAACAAATGTTACCAACCAAACTATGCTGTTGATTACACAGTAATTAGGAAGACACACTACTACATGCTTATGTAGGCTGACTTGTAATGGTCAACCAATGCAAAGCAACATCCAGTGTATTATAAAACTTGAACTAATGTCTAAATGTCTATTCATCATTATGAATGTTACAAGTTCAATGTTATTAAAAGCAGCATTATAGAGGCCTGTTAGTTGAATAGAAGGTTATTCTAACTTTTATATTGATGATGAAATCCTATAGAAATACTCACCACAATCTATATAATACAGCAGTATTTCACATGTATCTCCTGTACAAAACGTTGTTTTCATGGGACCCTCTCACTACGACTTGGCTCAGTTCTTTCTCAATACAGCTGAAGCAGTTTTGTTTTAGATTAGCTTTCGGTGAAACCACTATCTATGATTAGCATGCTGTTGCAGATCTTGAAGGCCATTATCTCACAGTAACTACATGATAAATTAAATGTGATGTATATGGTGTTTATTATATATATTGACTGATGTTTGCCCATTTAATGACACTCGCTTTGAAATAGTATATACTGTATATTTACAATATATATATATATATATATATATATATATGTATATTATAATAATTCACTTTGTAGACTATTAGACAATGAATGTCGAATATAAATAGCAATAAATTATCTGTTATTATTACTTATATAATAATATAGGTTTCCTTTTATTAGTAATTATATAATTTAATGTTGTTAGATGTGCACAACTTCCACAGTGTACACACCTCATAAACCTGTAAGATCCACTATAGCCTTGATAAAGATAGTATCATCACGCAGATATGGGCTCTTTCCGGCCAGTTTGGCCAGAGGGCAGAAGAGGGGGCAACCACTGGCAATGTTCATCTCACTGATGGGGCGCTGGAAAGAGGTGGAGGTGACATCAGGCCGAAATGCGTCTATAATGTGCTCTCGGTTATTTTGATCCAGAAGCATCAATGTCACCTATAGATGCAAAAGAGGAAATGTATGAATGCTAACACCATGAACACAGGTGTGTAAAATAACTCCAGTAAACTTTGTTCATACCTTCTGACTAAATGGCCATTTTAGAAGTGCATCACACTTGCCCCTCATCACCACAAAGAACAGAGATAGATGAGTTCCCCTCCCAGTGCCATCTCCGTTTAAATACAAGCGCAGGCACATTTTGTAGCCGTATTTGCTGGAGTAAAAGGCTGTGAAGAGACAGATCATAATGCTTTTAACACAAAAAACAGCTACATAAATATAAACCAAAGCAGTTATAAAATCAGCAATAAATCATTTATTGTGTGTTTAAGCACCCATCTACAATACTGAATGCACCGCAAACAATGTCTAAGAAAATCCTGACATTGCCTTTGGTGGCTAATGCTGTCTCCCATTGTTCTCTTACCTGGGGAGAACATGGCTGGTGTCCGACCTGCCACAGCCTCCTGTTTGCGTCGTGAAAAGTCAGTTATCTTCCACACAAAAATACCATCGTATGTGCAAAACTGCAGTTCCCGTACAATCTGGTCGGTCTCTGAAAGCTGCAGGTCCCTCATGGCCAAAGTCCTCTCCAGCTGACGTACTTTATTGGACAGGTTTTCAATTTTCTCTTGATCCAAACGATGCTGATGTGCAAAAGCCTCCATTGTAACTGAACTACGCTCCACCTCACGATTTAGGACACACACTATGTTTTCTAAAGCGGTCACCTGCAAAATAAGTACAAGAAAGTCACCAATTTAAAAAAAAAAATCTATTTATCCATAAATACCCACAACTTTCAAACTCTTACTAGTGGCAGCTGCTAATATTATGATGTCACTTGAACAAAACGTACAGAAAGTGTCACGCACCTTTTTATCCAAGTCCACAGAATGCACTGATGCACTGGCACCCATTGAGACCCCTTCCTCAGGAGCCCGGTACAAGCCCAGCCCAGAGTCCTCCTGCCACTCGCACAGAGCAGAGGCATCCACACGGGTCCGCACCATGGACAGAACCATGGGGAGCAGCAGACGAAGGTGCTCCACTGTGCTGCTGCTCTCATGGTCACTGAGCTTACTGTTGTCGATCTGCAAACACCGATCAATTATCAATCAATTTAGTTGTTTTTTTTCAATGTAAACATCTTTCACTAACATTCACAGCCTTCATGCAGTTCCTGTACTATACAAAGGAGTGTAGTCTGTGCCCCAGTCTAATCTTTCTCAAAATGTGAAATATCTAATCAGATAAACACATGGCCTGTATCAGAATGACTACAAGTAAAAATGAAATAAAAAAACATGGCAGCTGTTAGCCTGAGTTAAAGAGCCTGTGCCTGTAGTAAATGAGTTTTATATCACACATTGGATGAAAAAAGATGCTAAATAAGAATCTTTTTATTTCACATAGCATTTTTTTTCATTCATTCAGTCATATGGTTAAATCAGACGCATGGGAAACAAGTTGCCTGGCATTATCACACTTGATACTTGATTTTTGGTCATAGTGCATTTTCAAGAGTGACAAAAAGCCAGTAGTAGACAGAAATCAGACAACTATGTGGACTACTGCATGCATGACTGCTCGTTTCAGAGTGATGGTGTAATATCATAGTATCAGAAAGTGTGCAGGACTAAAAGTTCAAACTAAAACATATTTCTGAGTCATGGTTTGAAATCAGGTACAGGCCCATTAAGGGATATTTGATTTTGTTTTAAATGATTGATAACCACTGAGCTTGTTTCCTTCACAGATGTTTATAAAATAAGCAAACCAGATTACCTGGTTCTTTTTGAGTCTGGCCTGGGGAGTGAAATGAGAGAGGCTTTCAAATGTATCTAAGCACCAGTGTTTTCTCTTGTTTTCAAATGAATGAAATGGCCCAAATAAATTGATAATGATACTGATGATATACTATAAAGATTCAGAATATGTTTTGTTGGTATGTCATGCGTCCAAGGAAGAGTACTTACCACAGCTTTACAGCCCACTTCACTAAACGGGCATGAGCTCTTAGACTTGGCACAGGACCGGAGGTGATCACTAAACTGAACATAAAACACAAAACATTAGTGTTTTTTTTTTAATTCACAACCATCTGCTGAGAAATGAAAGTTAAGAGTAGTAGTTGAACAGTACAGAGGGATTTCTAAGTAACTGGTCATTACAGGAGTCACATGGTGCAAATATATGTGTAATCGAGAACAGCCAGTCACCTTTTCTCTCGGGATCTTTTTCTTGCCACAGTCTTTGCATTGTAGGGGGAACTTCAGACAGATTTCATCATGTGCCTAAAGAGGGGCACAGAAATGTAATTTTCAATTCCTATTCAGACGTGTGGTTTAAAAATGCTATCCATTCTTAAAACTTGCCTTGATATCCTTATAATTGAACGTGACTTTGCAGTATTTACAGTTGAGTGTCCTTGCTTCACACTCCCTTTCATTGTGCCTGTCCCTCTCTGAACGCAGAATATAGTTTTTACAGCTGCTGCACTGTATCTTTTCAAAATCACAGCGACCTTCATGTTGAGCCTGGAAAAAAGCAAAGATTATGTATAATCCAGTCTTTCTGCTTATGTAATGAATAGGAGTTGAACATATTTGTGCACAGATTAAAAATAATGTATGTAGGGGTTTATAGTTAATCAAATTTAAAAAGATACATATCTATTCAAAACTTTGAATCACAAACGACTGCTAATAAATGAGGACCCCCTTGAAAAGGAGATGGTGACACATCTCAAGGGGCTTATCCTCCAAACAAATAAATTTAAATTGATAATGAATCTTCCTCTACGGGCTAACTTTTCACAGTACAGGGAAATCAGGAAATCTTTGTAATACGTTTTCTATAATGGGCTTGTAATCATTACCATAACTGTCATATGTCGGCAGTTCAACCGTCAAACTGCCATATAATATCAGCATAAAGATGAACAACAGGAATGTGGATTGTCTTGTTTCAACATTTCCACAAAGCAATTTGAATCACACTCTGAACGTGACCATGCCAGACAAACTTTAAGCACTTTTATCAAAGTTTATGAAAACAAATATGAAAGTGTTTTAGTTATGTAAAATGGAAAAGGATAGGTTAGCAGGTTAGATGAATAATAGTTTTCAAAATAGTGGGTAAGAATATGGGTAAGGGTGGGTGGGGTATCAGTCACGGGTTTCTCCTTATGAAGCGAAACTCAAAATTGAATCAGCAGTGTGTGGAGCGACAAAGAGCTAACCACAGGTAGGTTTCTTCTGACTGCGTCTTTGACTTCAGGGAAATAATTGAAAAAGGGCATGTAAATCATCGACAAGAGCTTTCTTTTCTTAGAATAAATAATCCAAAGTTCATCATGTCTTGAGGTTTTAAATAGTACTTGACACATCATTTGTGGCTGCATCTTAAACTTCTTGAACTTTAGCCCCCTTAGTTTCTCGTTACTACAAGATAAATCGAGTCAGCTTATTACCAGCATTCACATACTAACTCATTCCTTCAAATATTTACATAGAAAATACATCAGAGATGTGGTACTACAAAATATACAAGCACACTGCACTAGGGTATTCAAATAAACACCCACATAATGTATGTTTTTGTACAAGCACATTTTCTATTTCTCTTGTCGAGCTGGAGTAATTATAGCAGCCTTTTTGTGCTCTAAGACAATTAGCCTTGTAAAGTATTCTTTTTATAAAGGCCTTGTACGTTTTGGTATTCCCCCACTGAGGCGGATGCTCTGTGGTTACAGGGACTTTCCAGGCCATGTCCAATTTCACTTCCTGTTTGCTGAAGCACATGTTGTAAGAGGAAACCTTAAAGGGGAAAATTACCAGGCATGCACATCAGCATGCCACTGGGAAATGTTTTCTCAATGAGGTGGTAGTCAGAAGTTTGGACATTTTGTAGGGCAACCCAAAAAAAAGTTCACCTTACCTCATACTCTTTGATTGATCCAGTCCAAGGGCAGCCCTCATTTAAACACCTTGCAGGCAGACTGGCTATTTCTCTACCTGCTGCATTGTCAGGGAAGGCCTAGAGACAAACCTTTGATTACATAAACTGCCAAAACCCCCAGTCAGACTACAATTATGCTCTTTGCTTTGTGGCATGACAAGTATGCTTCCTTATATGGGTTAGGCATGAGAGAAAAATAAATATTTCCAGGCAACTCACCTCAGTACTATTTAAAATGGAAATAGGTTCTTCGTAAATCTCCTCTGCCCGACAGGCTTCACACGGCTTTGGACCAGAACTAAGAATAAAAACAGGTTGAACACTAACAATGCTGAAGATAAAGGTAAAGGTAGACAAGTGAGTAGTAATATCTGATGTTGATGTATAGAAATCCTAAAGGCGTATTAGACCAACTGTATCAGAACAGTGATTGAACCATGTCTAAGCATTTATTACTGGATTATTGAACTATGGTAGTAGATGAAGAGGCAATGATTTGTTACATGGAGTATACCTGGTGAGCTGTTTGAAGCAGTGGACACAGAAACGATGGCCACACTGAGCCTGGACTGGCTTCCTTAAAACTAGGAGACACTGCTGGCATTTATATTTGTTTTCCATCGGCACCGACAGCACGCTGAGGGGGATCCCTGGTAGCGAGTTGGGGCAATCTAACGAAATTCGAGCCATTGTACGCCATTAAACTGGTACCCTGTCAAATACATATGAAAATAAACATGATATTATAACAACCACCTCTTTGACTTTCCTTCTGCAAACTTATATATCATTATATTTATTTAGGAGGATACATTTTTAAATGTCAAACTAAAAGAAGTGTTTAGAAAGTAAGTATTTTAATTATAAAGCAGCAGAAGCCTACTACACTTTTATTGTGTTAACCTAAAAATTTAAGTTATGACCCCTGACTGCTCCAAGAGCAGTAGTGTAAGTCCAGGTAATTATAAATTCAGCACCAACATATGCAAACATCAAACATACATTTAATTTGGAAATGTAGCTTTCTTATAACCAAGAAATAGGTGCAGTAAATGTGAACTGCAAAATACACCAAAAACTGGTAATCAAAATCCAACAAGACTTTGGACAATATTTATAACTTGCCTCGCTTTCACTTCGCTTTTAAAAGACCTTTTTGTGTCCTATTTTTCTTATGTAGTTTTGTGGTTTAACTTAAATTATGCACAAGCATTGCACGCACTAAATGCGAGATGAGATAATGTGTGTCTACAGTTGCTATTGCTATTTGCACTATCATGCAAACATGCAGACACTTGCAAAATTCAAAGCGTCGTTGTCAGAAAGGTGCACATGCGCTAGTGTTCTCAAGGCAAAAAAGCTCAAAATTAAACAGCACATGTTTCCTTGATGTGCATCACTGAAATACTGAGAGAATACAACTGTTAACACAGGAGGTGGTGTAAAGGAAAACTGAAAGAGCACTCCCTGGCCATGTTATAAAACAAGGGAGATTTTTATGTTATATGATGTAAACCTAATAAGGTTAAACTTTATGGCAATGATCTATAGACATCAAAAATAAAAGTACTTTGACTGAGAGTAACTGCTGGCAATGTAATTTAATGAAAAGATTAGACAGTCAGTTTATTGCATTTCTATTTGACATGAAGCTCATAATGATCTATAACTAAAACCTTGTGACTTGTCAATAAAAAGTCGTGCTGACCCTGGGACTGCCACAGAACAATATTTGACCAGAATCAAACAAGATTAGTAAGACACAGATAAATGTGATAGCCCATGTCAGACTTGTTGGTATCAGACTGTGTGGGCAGCCTGCATTACCAGTCAGTTACACAATGACTAACATGTTTCTAGATGACCAAAGTTGGAATCTTGGAGAGTTTTTAAGTCAGTTCCATAAAAAAAAGCTTATTTTGAAGCCAATAAAAAACAGTAAAATGATCAAAACACACACACACAAAATACCCTTGACTGTGTAATATGCAAAGTCAGGGGGACTATAATAAAAATAATAATAGGAATAATTGAAGATAAGGAGCTCCCAGTGATCCAGTAAAAAATAGAAAGCCTGTGGCCTATTTACTGAACATTTGTTTGCAAATGTACCACTAATATTTAAAGGCTCCTCAATATGAATCAAAAGTATCTCCACCAAACTCAAATATAGCTGCCACAAAACTACTCTGCCACTCATCTCACCACTCCCATCAACCAAACAAGTCTGAATGTGTACTCACCCAGTTGTGTCGACTTTATACACCACCACATACAACACATAGAGTATTTGAAAAGAGACACACCCACCCACTTGTCTAACAATATGAGCAATACGACCAACACCCCACGTCATCTATAAAATGCCAAAGTTCTGTAAAGAGAAGTATAATACTCCCAAAGAGAGATCATACTCTAGTTTCATAGTTTCTCTAAATATCTGGCAATTTAAGTGTGTAAGGAAAAAAAACATAGACTACACTGTATGTAAAAGCACAACATTTTTCATCCAAATCAGTTCGTCCAAATATTTTAGGTTTTTTTTTTTTTTAAACACAGGTCATGGAAAACACAGTGTTGAATAACAGGAAACGGAAAATGTATGTGCTGCGAAATTAGATCATGTGAAACTACGCCACCAATAACACTATTCACAGTCACCACACAATACTAGCTAGCTCTGTTAAATTACTCACTTACTCAAGTTAAGGCTGCCAAGTGAACGTGGAGTCAATACGGAGTTTCTGGCAATTTTAGCCAGTTGACACCATATTTACATAAAAGCTACTTACAACCATGCTTCGGGGTGTACTGGTTTTGGTGAACTAACCTTTAAATCTCTTCGTGAATTTAGCAGTATATGGAAACCGAAAGTCCTCTTGGAGTGGAGAGGAAGGACGACTCAACCTCTACTTGTTTACAGTTGAAAGATACAATCTAGATCAGTCGTGTTTAATTTCTTCATAGGGGTGGCGAGGTTGTACAGCCAAGTGACTTTTATGTTAAACCCAAGAAACACCGCTCGCCTGTGGTGTAAAGGTGTAAAAACCAAACACTCATCCTCGCTGAGTCTGCGGAGTACATTTTGGAGCATGCGCAATACGGTTCAGAAATGTGGCCGAGTGCGGACAGACTCATGCGCTGTCTGAATCGGCGAGGACGTGGACTTCTCCTCGCAGGTACGCCTATATACAAGCACTACAACAGCTTTAGAGACAAACAGAATGTGACAATATGTACTGCAAGACGTCATGTTTATCATCATTAAAATCTGCTACCATCTCACACACTATCTGCACTTGGCCTCTTTATCCAGGCGCATACTATAAAGGTCCGCAGAGAAGCAGCAGCGACTTCACACAGACTTACCACGATGGTTTATATCCAGGACACATACCAACAACTCTTCTGCAGAAAAGTTTGTTGGCGGTCGGGTCAGGGATGGCTGCACTACAAAACCCATACAGACATGGTGAGATCTAATATATAGGCCTATACAACGGTGACATTGGGTTTGCCCCTTTGGGGATAATACGTGGAAAAGATGTGATGACATTGTACTCTCTGTATCTTGTGGTTGCAATGTCATTTGTCTTGTTATTACTGTATACTTTGCAGTAAGTTCTGCGAATGTGGAGACATAGCATGTGGAACCACTGTAATAATTTGTGATTTGAAAGGGAAAAAATACATTTACATTTATTATCTATTTGGATGTTCTCAAGCAGCCTCCAGTATGTAGCCATGGGAAACCTGTCCTAGATTCCTTATAGCTATAATGAGCACCATAGTCACACAGCTAATGCAATCACAAATTAGCTCATATTGACTTAGCTATTGATAAAAGGCATCGGTTCAGCTAAGCAGGATGTGTTTGGATGGTGTGACGCCTATATTTCTATCATTTCCATTCACATTTCTCATCACAGTAACTTTTTTTGTAGATATGGTGGCTGTTCTGGGGGAGACTACTGGTCACTTAGCATTAATCAAGCTCAGAGACAGCATGAGAAATGACCCGGAGGGCTATTCCATACTAATGTGGGTAAATACTTGATATAATCTTTGAATGTGTCATACTATTTTATATAGGCCTAATTCATTTGTCTTTAGGGAGAGGCCCAGGATACGGCTGTCTACTCTAGATTTAAACAAGATGTCCTTGATGCCTGATGGGTCATTTGGAAGAGAATATCTTCGTTTTCTGGATGATAATGTATGTCATCTGGAGGCATTGTATTCAACGCAATCTATATTCCTTGTACATGTTTAATTTACTGGTTATGTCTTTACTGTGTATTGTCTCAGCATGTCACACCGGACTCACGGGCAGATGTGAAGTTTGTAGATGATGAGGAGTTGGCCTACGTCATGCAGAGATACAGAGAGGTGCATGATTTCATGCACACTCTACTTGGCATGCCAACCAATATGTTGGGTAGGTATGTTTGGTAGGTTTAAACTTGCATTGATCATTATTTTACTTTTTAGAACCTAATAAATTGTAATTTTGATCTAAAACTGCTTAATAATCAAAACAAGTCCACTGACTTCTGGTTCAAAACTGGAGAGCTTAGAGGCCTCATTTCTTCATAGTTGCATTTCACTGTAGCAAGAAGCACATTGTCATTGTTGAAAAGCGGCTGTGTGACATTTTTTAATTCTACATGTATGGCCTAGAGTCTGTTTTTTAGACTAACTAAGAGCAGTGGGCGAAGATAGGGGCTAGGTGAAAACAGAACATTTTAGAGCAGACATGTCAAACTCAGGCCTGGGGTCCAAATTTGGCCTGCGATACAATTATATTTGGCCCTCAAGATCATATCAAACATGTATTAGAGCTGGCCCACCGGCTACAGATAGACTATAGAGACATAATTTATTTAAAATATTATTACCTCCGCCAAGGAGGTTATGTTTTTGCCGGCGTTTGTCTGTTTGTCTGTTTGTTTGTTTGTTTGTCTGTTAGCAACATAACTCAAAAAGTTAGGGACCGATTTTGATGAAATTTTCAGGATTTGTTGGAAATGTGAAAAGGAAGAACTGATTTCATTTTGGGGGTGATCCGGAAGAAATCCTGGATTCTGGATCACTTTGAAATTTTAGTTAACATTGTGGTAAATGGGGCCAAAAATTTAGTTTCTCAATATCTCGGTTAATTACTGACCAAACCCCATGAAATTTGACTCAGGGATGGACAATGGGATCCTCTTTCATATTCCAAAGGCTGATCCGGATCTGATCCAGAAGACTGATTTTATCGCAATTTATATAAAAAATGGGGGTAGTCCTTGGCGGAGGTCTGCGCTCTCTGAATGCTTTTCTAGTTATTTTATGTTGTGCTTGTTCTGGTTTAAGCAAAACTATTATCAAACATTTATTTTAATAAGAAAAGGTTTAACATTACATATCTCGAAAGAAGAGAAAACACGCAGATGTTGTTGAAATTTTTAAATAAATATTTAGTTTGGCCCACGACTTTGTCCCAGTTTTTAATTTTGGCCCTCTGTAAATTTGAGTTTGACTCCCCTGTTTTAGAGCACTTAACCCTCAATTCCAAGACAATATTACAGGATTTCTCAAACATGCATATATCAATTGAAATACAACTCTGAGTAAATGTATTTTATTAAATGTATGTCCTAACTTTGGTGCCCAGAGGACTAAACACGGAGTGTTTCAGATTCATGCAGCTTAAACCTGAAGATGTTAGACAGGCCTCAACTTTGATGCTGTTTAAATCCAGGCTCAAAACTGTTCTGTTTAGCTGTACTTATGACTGAAAGATTTTCATTTTTCATTCCACACTCTTCTAATTTAACGTCTCTCTCTCTTTTTAATTTTATGATGATTTATGTTTTTATTTGTTTTCATTCTGATTTTAATATATTTCTTACTCTGTAAAGCACTTTGAATTACTTTGTGAACAAATTGTGCAATGCAAATAAACTTGCTTTGAATTACCTTATTAGAATCTGATGAAAAGGAGATTTCTCCATAAATACCCTTTCATTATCAGACTGTCTTCCATTTTCCATTGTCGTTACTAAAACAATAACAAGCCATTTTCATGCTTTTAGGTGAGGTTGCTGTAAAATGGTTTGAAGCTGCCAACACAGGACTCCCAATGTGTGCCCTAGGAGCTATACTGGGACCACTCAGACTAAAAACACGGTAAAAAAAAAAAAAAAAAAATTTCAAAAACTACCTGTCATGAAGAGACAAAAAACAGCAGCTGTGTGTGGGCGCAAGAGAAAGCACCTGAGTTACTGATCACATATAGTAGTTCCCACATATAGAAGTTCACATAGTTTTATGGGGAGTTTATATGTCCTTATTTAGCTTGATCACTGCTCACATTATGTTTACATGATTAAATTAATTCTAATATCAACATTATGTGTTTGAAAGTCATTTGCAGACACTGTTCAAGACCCTGGGGCCATGGGCTTTACAGAGTGGTCGGAAGACTCGGTGCATCTTAAACATTTTTTATGAGCGAAGATGGGAGCAAAGCATACAGGACCTTCATGAGGAACTCAACATTGTTCCACCACCTGTCATTGTCACCACCAAGAGCAAACACAAACAATGGACAAACCATGAATGACTTCCTCTGTGAAAATTACTGCTGTTGATGTGCATTTGAATGATTTTGCTTATCAAGTCATGTTTTGTTGCAATAAAACAGGTTATTTTTATGTTATTCATCACTGCATCCTCTTTTCTCTAGACTGACGGATGGGGCAGCAGAGTAAAAAAAATTTCACAACACAACTAATGGTTGTGGGAGTTTAACGCTGCTGCCCTCTAGTGGTAGGAATTGTAAATTGGCTCTTAAATTGTTATTTGAATCAAACGCTTCAGAATGAAAAGGCACATTTCTTTTTATTCTTAAAAATATATTATATGTATATAATTAAAATAATAAAACATTTTAATAATAAAAACATCCTTTACTGTGAGTTAGCACTACATTAAAGTTGTTTTTATGCTCATCTAGAAACAAATACTCAATGTCAATGCTTAGAAAAGCAGAGTAAAGTAACAACACTAAATAAATACTTAAATCTAACTTTGAAACAAATGGAGCAGGACTTCTCTATATGCAAGAGTTTTTTCAGAGTGCACTAATGGACTATGGTGATACTTTGGTCAGTTACAGCACATGCTGGCAGCAGTGGAGCCGCAAAGGTCTGTATTACTGAGTGCAGTATAGCATTTGAGTCTGGTTCGTAAAACAGCAGCGTCTGACTCGGCCAGTCTAGCAGTACCCCGATCTTTTGGGGTTTCTTCACCACCTGCAGAGGCACTTTTTTCCCAGCATGACAAAACGAATAATCCCCATCATAGTTCGACAGCACCCAGGACTGACTGTTATAGCCCAGTCGTGCCTCATTTCCAGAGCCTTTGCGCTCTAAACTCGGATAGCAGACTCCAACCTTAAAGGCCGCACTCTGACCCACATCCACCACCCAGCAGTGTGTGCCTGAGGACAGAGCCTGGGAGCCCAAAGCATTGGGCCAGTTGTCAAAGCGAGCGGGGTCGTATGTATAGGGCTGACGGGACTTTTTATTATTGAAGGTCAGAGTGAAGTGGTCCTGAGACAGGGTCAGGAGAGGGCTTACGGTGCGTTCATCAAACTTGAAAAAGGAGGTTTTATGAGCTACGGAGAGGACAAATAAAAAAAAAAAAAACACATTAAAAATACTGTATCACTGTACTGTAAATAGTATTATTAGTATATATTATTAATCTGAAGCTAACAAATTTTGATTGGGACATATTATACTTTTGATTATCATAGTAGTCTATTGTAGAAATAAATGTAATAATTCAAGGTCCCCAATTTAAGATTTACAATTGGTAATATCCCACCATGCTTCACAACTGTGTAGTTTCTACTGTGTTCATTGTAGGTTCTTACACAACCAGATGAAAATTAGGTGTAGGATTCATACGTGGGTTTTTCCTGTGTGTCCATGTGCAAGCGTTTTATTCTGGTGCACTACACTAGGGTGTCTGGGGGTGGCACAGTGGGTGTCACATGTCCACAGTGTTTTCCCCCATGTTTTAGCCTGCCGCGGCATGTGGAATAAGCTTTTAGGTACATGCACTGCAATACTAGGAATTGCCCTTAGTAAAAGATAGGACTTTTACTAAGAAATAAATAGAAGCTCACCATTTTGTCCCAGCAGCACTGCAATAGCCCACAAACCTCTGAGGAGTTTACTGTCGATGCAGCTGGGATTCAGGTTGAGCTGCTCCGTATCACAGGGCTCTCCGACTCCCTCTGCTTCTTCCACTCTGGTACAACAAACAGACCGGTTTTACTTCACAAGAAACACAGAAGAAGAATTTGAAGTCTGAAGAAGTATTTTCAGATAGACAATTACCGGTCTGCTATCTCTTGAGCAGAAGTCTGAAGAAGAAAAAAGGAAGCAAAGTCAATTCCTTGTAATAACTACAGGTAATTTGTATATGTTTTAATACTATCCATGAGATGAAACCCTCACCGCAAGCTGTGAGTCTGGAATGTGCGTGAGAGTATGCACCAAACGAGAACGTGTTTGGGAGAGACTGGCCAAAGCCTGCTTCCAGTGGGCCTGTTGAGTCAGGAGACACTGCTCTACCCGCTCTTCCTCCCTCTGCACCTCCTCCAGAAGTCGCTGCTCCTCTTCCTCCAGGGCCTCACGGGCTGCACTGACCTGGGCCAACACCTGCTCTCGTGCTTGGTTTGCAGCGGCCTAATTAGAATAAGACTATAGAGTAGTATTGTGTGCATGTATCTTTGATTTTAGCCATCTCATTTGCACCACAACAGTAAGATGTATGAGAATAATTACAATATGAAATAGCTGATAAATATGGATAAAACTATCTTCTACACAGTATTTTCAAAAGAATGATAGCAAACCACTGAAGAAGGAAATAGTAAAAAGTTATTATGTGTTTACAAGGGCAAAATATCAATCATCAGCATAGTGCCATGGATTTTGCTGCATACAAGGACATCAAATCCATGTTTTCTATTTTTAAAATACAAAATGAAAATGACATGAATAATATTACACTGAGGTAACTGAACAGTCACCCTTCCTCTGGACAAGCATTTATAGCCACAGTATGTAACTTTTCAGCATGAAAATAGATTAAAAAAAATTTCATATAATACTAAATATACAGAATTTGAGATAGGCCTATACCAAGACTAGTAGGTCTACATGTATTGTGGTCACTGATTTGTTACATCATATAGACAGGCCTAAGTCTAGTCAACTCAGTAGGAACATGATTCTCACCTGCAGCTTTTGTTCTTTGTCTGTCAAAGTGTGCTCAATGAAACGTTCGACCCTCAATGCCTGCAACTGTATTTTTTCACACACATCCACCAGCTGATTCTGTAGAAGAAACACATGATCATAACCAAAAGACAACAAGAAAATCCAGTTTCTCCAAATACCTGTGGTGGAATCAGCTTGAAAAACCACTTGTAAAACCATGGCACGCCCAATACACAATTGAAACTTAAAGGTAGCGTCCAAAGGGGGCTGCCAAGCTTAAAATATCCATAAGCAGAAATAATTGGCTTAGCAAAATTGTAGATTTCACAGGGTAACCTTTGTTTACTTGGTTGAAATAGGCCTAGTGAACTAAAAATGATCTTGGTCAATAATAACAGAACATGAGTTAATATTTAATAACCTCAAGGTGATTAGTCAGTGAGCAGGAAACATAGAAACATGACTAAACTAAACTCAAGGTGACGAAACAAATGCACGCCTACTGGAGCATCTGACTAGTCCCCCCTAAACTAGCACCCATAATTAGCCTATAAACAATTCAAACACTAAAATTAAGACACTCGAAGTCGTCACATGTCTCAAAGGAGCACAGACACAAAATCAGGAGCGAACCACTTAAAATACCCTCACTATGGAGACTCTGGCGGCCAGAGGGGTGACCGAGTGTCCGCGGCACTGGCCCACGATGGCGCAGTGGGAGCAGATGAGTTTCTGTTCGGTCGCACAGAACCAGTCCAACTCAGCCTCGTGGTTCTCGCAGAGCTCACATTCCCCAGAGAAGATCCCGGACTCGTTGTCAGAGGTCGTCGCTTTGGTCAAGGAAGCAGCACCGCCACCTGGTCCAGCCGAGTGTCGCTCCTCCTTAAGCTTCATGCCATCGCTTAAAACTGTGAAAATTGGCTGATCACTCGCCATAATCGCGTTTTCCAAAGGCTTTAGTATTCTGTCCTGTTCATCCGACGAACATATTAACTCACAAGTAACGAGTCCGTCAGACATGGCACAGGGAGCAGCAGGTGCACCTTCCTCCTCCCGCTGCGTTGTTACACAGGTGTACGCAGGTGAGCGGAACAAGGAAGTAATACGGACATTTGAACTCAGCCCACCCTCTACATTTATTTGACTAGTTGGGCGTAGTTGGACACCCTAATGTCGGCTTAAACATTTTCTAATAAATCCCACTGCTGTTGGCAGTTGTGGCGTGTCTGAGAAATTCCATCTGTCTTCATAGGATCCATTGTAATCTTCTTTTGTCACTGTAGGTGTGTAGGGCTAAAGACAAGACAGGCAGAACCATCTGAAGCCTGAAGGATACTATATATAACATGAAGTGCACTCTTTGATTGTGAATATACAGTTAAGACACATTTGGTGGTCTTTTGATTACATAGCCTATGCAGGCGTTATTGGTCTATAGGCTGATATAAACCTGATGCCTATGACCTAGATGAAGACTGCAGGTCAGAACTATAAGCCTAGGCCACTATAAATAAATTATTTCAATAGAAATAGACCAATATCCTCTAACCCATTCTCATTTGTTTTGGGACGGTCCAGGTGTCATTGGATAGCAGGGTTTAAAACAATGCATGTTCTCAGTGGCATGAGAACTTTTATGTGTAACTGCATTGTGTCAAAAGACAAAGACAATTCACTACTACAACAAAGAGACCTTGATCTTGAGTTCCTATACAAATGTTAAAAAGAAGATGCCAGTAGGCTATGACAATAGACCTTTGAAACGGGTCTACATTTAGACCACATCTTTAATAAGCAAATAAGTAGGCCTACTTTATATGTTCAGTGAGAGATGTAGGAGTTTGATTTGTCAGTTCGACACCAGAATTGCAACTTTGTTTTCACATGTTGCTGGGGAAGAGGGAAGTGGGGAAAAATAATTGATAGCTAAAACTTCAATACAATAAAAAAAAAATTCACCTTGGGATAGGTCACAGAGATTGATCAGCTTTTATTAAACAATTATTGCAATGTTGTATGATGACCATTATACCACATGCAATATTGGCTGTTAACTTTTTATAATTACTGCCAAGGCATGCTTGCTGGGAGGTGAGCATGGATGTCTAGACTAAAGGTTGATTTTAAAAGAACTGTAATATTTTGACTTTAAATTCTATAAACATGATACAACTGTGTCCCCAGATACGAGCTATAGACATGTTCAAATCAAATATTGCTTTTACTAGTAGCAATTCTAATGCAGATGTATTCTTAACTACAAAAGCATTTGATATTGATATTTATTTATTTAATATGGATATAGCAATTCCATTGCACATTACACTTAGCTATACCTATGAGGAAGGTCAGACAGATCAAAATGTTCTAATAAAAGTGAAGAGTGTGGGAATATTTTTAAAGGATGATTTTAATTTGGTGAAAGGAGAAAGAGCCTCTCATCAGTCTCTCATTTGGGTTGCCGATTTCAATGCTGAAATCCAGTTGGTTTAAATCTAAAAGACCTTACTATTCTCATCAAACCCAGCAACTGCAGTCAAACATTAGTCAGTGCTAGTGCAGCCTCTGTTGCTGCATGTTGTCTATGCTGATAATAAAAAAAATGTTATGCCCACTATTTGCAAGTTAAGGCTACTCGCAGCCCAGGTTCAGTTGGGATTGTAATACTTTCTCTTAACTGAGTGCAGGCTTCAAATTATTATTATTACTTTTTTTTTTTTTTTTTTTTTTTTAGTTGAACGGTCCTATATTACACAAAGTTGTTGTTACTTCATCAAAAACATATACCTTATGTTTGTGATGAGGAAACAACATTATAACATAGATCAGAAAATGGCGTAATGTATGGACTAGCAATTTAAAGGGCCCATCCCTTTTAATTGCTAGTCTGTACATCCACAAGAAATAGGATCAGAAAATCAAACATATAAAATTAAATGCACCTTCCCATTGCCATGTAGGCTATTCCTTACAACAACTGAATGACAGATCTCCCTAATTTCTCCCAGACATGCAAAGTTACAGCCTCATGAAATTGAAACACAACCAAGAACTGATTATTCGCACAAAGTGAATCACGTGACTCCTCGGGCGGAGTCACGTGACAAAGTAACAGACGGACTTGAAAAATGCCAGAGCCATCCTGCCCCTGCAGGTAGCCTAAATAAGAGAACTATCAAGTGTGTTCTGACAGAGGGCAGTCCCAGTCTCAAGACAGACGACAGTCTCTGCCGTTTCCACGCTAGGCCTTTTTACTTTATGATGGTGACGATCTTACAGTCTATAGTCCCTATATCCTTTAAAATTCTAAATGTTCAACATTGCAGTATGGAGGCAACTGGAGGCATCGGATCATGGTCATTATAATAAAAATAAATCACCATTTTGAATTTCCTGAGTAGAAGTGTCAGATAGTTTTCTTTTCCATTGCAAAATTAATACAGAGGGTGGGGGGGGGGGGGGGGGGGGGGGGGGGCTGGGGGGGCTGAACTGTTGCCCAAGCAACGTACATTTCGCGCGAAAATTGCAGTGTTTGGTCACGAGAGTGAAGTGACGTAAGGGTTTAAGGCCTGCCTTGTTAAATACGGTCTCGTTATTGGTCAAAGAGGTCGGACGTCGTCTATTAAAAACGAAGATCCTGGCTCCATTGGGCCGTCCTATTAGCGCTGTCCCGCCTCCCCAGCCCCCAGTTTTCTGCGCCAGCGGTGTGTCACAGGCTGTGCTGCCGCCGGAGCGACCCGAGGGAGGCTTGATCTCGTCGGTCAACCGTAACTGGCACCACTGTGAGGCTGAGGAACCGCTTCACGACGTTTAAGCGGTGTACCGTGTTGGAGGCACTTTACAGCTCGCACTGTCCCAGCCCTCCGTCTTGATGTCGGACTTCAAGCTCGGGATCGTGCGGCTGGGCCGTGTGGCCGGGAAGGTGAGCTGCCATGTGCGGCGGGGGAGGTAGGGCCCAGGGGGACCGCAAAAATCACACAAACCTTGTGTTATTGTTTTAGCGGCGCCTTGTCAGTGCTTCTAACTTCTCCAAGGCATTTCAGGGTGACAGACTCTTAGCTCCGTGGCACATACAGTTGCCTTTGACGGGATTACAACAGTCGTGTCTCTGCCGACACGGTCCGTAGCTAAAGCTAACGAGAGCCGAGAAGCGAACGATGGAGATGATCGCTGGAGGAATACGTAACGCTAAATGCTCTTTGCGCTGAACGTTGATGTAGATACATTTACGTGTGTCGTTGAGTTGATTTGGTTGAATTTAATCCAGGAGTTGTTACAATCTTCCGAAGATAGCGTTACTGTTAGCCATGCTCCACACGCTAGCTTTAGCATAGCAATGGTATGAGGATTACACGGCGTGTCTATAATGGGAAGCCATTGCTCTGCTCTATCAGCTGGTTGCCTTTATTGTTCAGACTGACAAAGCACTGTGGGACATCGGCCGTAGCACCACTAAATCTGACAATCCCTGTCCGTGCTCGAACTGGAAGAGCATGGCAGTTTGTCCCTGGTGAATGATAATGTTTGATCGTTACAAATGTCACAAGACCCCAGACTCGATATAAAGCCCACTGAAGCGCAGATCTGTTGCCCCCCGCTGAGTGACAGGATTCTTGGACTCTACGATGGATTCTGCAAACTTGACTGTCGGTGTCTTGCGTTTGGAGTCTGGCATTATTGCTCACTGGTTGCTCCAATCCTCAAGTTGTTCTTACATTAGATTTACCATTTACTTAACCATTGGCTAATCACAATACATTTTATTGATTAGTAAGCACGTTATTAAAGCCACATACCTTTAAAAAGTAATGTTCAAATTTGCTCTTTTTGTTTCAGACAAAATACACCCTGATAGATGAGCAGGATATTCCACTTGTGGAAAATTATGCTTTTGAGGTAGGTTCCTAACTTTGTTGCCTAACTTCTTTTACATAAGTGCAGTAAATTACAAAGAAGTTTTTATTTCCAGGCACGTATGGAAGTCGATGCAGATGGTAATGGGGCCAAAATCTTTGCCTATGCTTTTGATATTGGCAAGGGTCGCTGGGCAGGAAGGCCACTACATGAGTTGCTTTGGTGAGTTATAACATAAAGTTGAGTTTGTTCATTATGGCGACAATTGCTAGGGCATACAATATTAGTTAAAATACATTACTTTTTAAAAGTCAGACACTACAGCATCGCTACTTATGTGATATAACAGTTCCAACATTTAAGCGTGCATTTATCATAAACCTTATCCTCCAGGGAGAAGCATCGAGGAGGCATTGCACCTAGTTTTCAAGTCATCCATATCAATTCTGTAACAGTGGACAACCGGTTAGACAACCTTCGACTAGTGCCAGTAGGATGGACCCCCAAACCAGAGGAAATTTCTAGCAAACAAAGGTATGTAGTTACTGTTATACACAGACAAAATATATTCTAGGGTTAATGCTCAAATTCTAATACTTTGCTCTTGTTTCCAGAGAGCAGTCCCTTTACTGGCTTGCCATCCAGCAGGTACCTGCTGACCCAGTTGAAGAACAATATTTGGAACTGAGCCGCACACGCTACTATAATGCCAATGGAGAATTAGTGGAGGAAGAGGAATGCTCCTGCACCTACTACGAATGTCACTACCCTCCATGTTCACTAATTGAGAGGAGGGTATGTATGCTCTGTACTTCATGGTTCACTTCACTGTACATTGCAAGGTATTAGAGCTGTACATATTACAAGGACTACTTTTTGACCTCCGAGAAGACCATTTCGATAAGGAGTGTCCCAGTGAACTTTTTTTTTTTTTTTTTTTTTGCATCATCTGTCATCAAACATAACAAAACCAAATAACCATTAACATCACATGCATTAACTGCCTTCAAAAGTCAGAACCCTTTACATTTTTTTTTTTTTCCCTTTGTGTTTTAGCTCCGGGAATTTAACATCTGTGGTCGCTGCCAGGTAGCTCGGTATTGTGGCTCTCAATGCCAGCAGAGGGACTGGCCCGCTCACAAGAAGCAGTGCCGTGAACGCAAGCGGGTCCTGGCCCTGGAGTCTGAGCCTGAGCGGTGATCTCCTGTTATCCTCATCTGGGACACGGCAAGGAGATGAATTGGGTGGGATGGGTAACACTTTATGGGATGTGAACCAAGATGAATTCTCAAAGATGAGACTAATGATGGAAAGGCTTTGGTTTTCCAAGGACTCAAAAGATTTGGAAGACAAAGAAAGACATATACCGTTTCCCAGAACTGGTCAATCCCCATAGCTTGTGTTTATGTGGATAACGGGAAACAGTATAATATTTTTGTCTTCATTATTCTCGAGGGAAGGACCACTCTTGAGCTCTACCTGCTGCTATGGGTTTTGTAAGCAAGGGGGACAAACATCCTTGGACCACGGTTGGACATAGACGCTTGTCAGTATCGCCTCTAGGTGTGTAGACATCTGTGTAAACGGGGACCCAGGAGCTTCGGTACCTGTCATTCTGCTGGCACAACCACAAATGGACCTTTTCACTGTACTGCTTCCCCCTGACGTTTGATACAAAGCTGCTGTCATGGTCACCTCAACCGCCTCACTGTCAAACTCCCCTCACAGCCAACTCTGATTTCACTAGACAAATCGCACTACCAGTATTGAGTGTTTGTGTCCGTATGCGTATTTGCTGCATATTTGTACTAAAGGATGAAAATGATCAAATTAAGGCAGGGTTATTCTTTGTCTTGTTTTCACAAGGGCCATATGTCACTGTTTTAATCTAACATTTAAACATGGATTTGATTTAAAATAATTCACCTAGTCTATATAATAAAGTAGCTGCCGAACACAGGCTTTAAATATGTTACTGGTTTTAAATGTCATGTTTTCATGTGTATAACACGGTACCAAATTGGACAACTAAATAATATTTAACTTTAAAATTAAATTAAATTTACATTTTTATCATTGAAGATGTGATCCAAACTTGGGTTTCCCAAAGTATCTACATTTTCTCGTCATTTTTGTCTGTTCATAAATTTAAAAGCAATAGTCTATGATAAGTGGACAAGGCTTCAGTCTCACCTGTGAAGGTTTGCTGTTGGGCTATTTTCAGTACTATTTCTGTTCTGCAACATGGTGACATAAAGCCTAAGAGTTATCATGGGGCACATTTTAACTACCAAGGGGAGGGGGGTGAACATTTTACCCATATTGCTTATTTATTCAACTAATTGTTAAGGTTAATTCCTACTTCTGCTATTTACCATTAAAATTTCACACCGACTGTCAGTTCTTCCACTTGACAGATTTCATGGTGTAAAAAAACTTGAATTCCTCCTTTACAGTTTTTCCCTAAGACAACTGTTCAAGTCAAACTGTTCAGTGTCAACTTTCGCCTAATCACCTGCCTTCCTTGTATTACCTTACCTGTAATGCACACATGCTTACTGTGTCTTCTTGTGTCTTAGGTGTGGAGTCCAGACACTTACAAAGCATGTGGTATGATTTACATGCGACTTGTTGATTGTTGACCTTTTGTATGAATGATTTTCACTGCACTATGATGAAGATCCTATGTTTGGTGCACATGTCAGAATGGAGCTGAAGGGAGGGTGTGTGTTTGTGAGTGTGTGTATAGATGTGTCTGAGAACTTGTTTTGTATAAGCATTAATCACATAGAAATAAAGAGCTACAATATGTGAATGAAGTAAAATTGTGACCATTGATTTTCCTATTAAAATGATGATGCACAATGTGGGTTATTGAGAATGCATACAAATGTATCGACAGTTCTTAAATTATTTAATTTCTTCTATCAGTAATGAAGTTTGGCAATACCTTGAACTCATTTTTACTTTCACTGTTTTAAATAATATAGTAATATAGATGCAAAGCCCATTTCCAAATATCTTTGTGGGGGAGAAAGGCAGAGCAGTTTTCCTCTAGTCTATGCCCATATGCTCATTGAATTAGTTAAACAGGTATTGGAATTTACCGATTACCGGGATATTATATGTTATATGTTTTCATTATTTTCCCATAGTGTTAAGCAAACAATAAAAAAAATACTAGCAGATGTTCTAACGGATGTTGTAACTGAAGCTTTAAATGGTACTTGTATGTCAAGGGCTAGATTTCTTCCATCTGCCACTTCTTTGCATACTTTTAGTCAGTGATGATAGTACCAGATTCCCAGAGGAGCTGTGGGCAGCCAGTAGTGACCAGGAGGAGAGGGAGGAGTAGTCGAAACAATAAGTTAATTGGGAGAAGGAAAAAAATAAGAATTAGAACCAATAAGAATTAAATGTCATTAATTGGTCAGTATAAAACATTAGTTGGAAAGTACTGCAGTAAGACCGCCCTGTCAGTAGTGGGCGTTAGACTTTCATAAAAGCTTTCTCGTAGTACTGTTTAATTTGTAGTTGGGTGTAAGACCTTTCATAACATTGACAACAAGACAAACTGAGCGACACTAAAAAAATTACATCACCTCAAAAATGGTTAATCTTGGCATTACCAGAGTGGACGACGCAGTGGCAGCAAAGCATCCCGTGAGTTTGTCTCCGTACAAATGACACTGATGGGATGTAAACACGGAGCTCTTTAGTCAAGTGGTGTGGTGCTGTCTTTGAATCAGTCCTTCTTATGAAGTGTTCAATTTGTGCGTGTATTTCAGGGGCTACAGAGTTATGCTGCCTGTCAATCTCATGCGTTTATGAAAGGAACTGGGACCTTTATTTTAGGTGAGTAGCTGAAGCCTCACACTATTTACACCAATTCTGGACTAGTCATCTATATTATTTTGCACCAATAAGCCTTATAGACTATCTGATTAAATCAATTATGAATGTATACATTAAAGTATAGGATTTATAGGTTATCTTTTACTATTCCAGGTGCAACTGGCCTCTTTGCTGCCCAGAAAGCTCTTAAGACAAAACTTCCTTATCCTCTTCAGTGGAACCTGCTGATTTCAGTAGGTTTGTAAATGTAACCTACCTATCTTTATTCAATGCATTATAGCCCTTGCACTGTAGCCAAGGTATTTAACACAGCTCTTTAAAGTGGTTTAATATTTTTATATGTTGTATATTTATATGTACTTACTGCAGTTCCTTGTAGCAAAAAAAATAAAATTAAAAGTATAATTTGACACACAAAAAAATTATAATTCTTCTTAAAATCAAAAAGAGCAATTGTTTTGAAAGCTAAACAAGCTGAATTGAGAATGAATGACTGTATCGTTGGATACATACATTTAGATCTGTACAAAATCTGTGTGGCCTGGGACAGCTCTTTCAGACTTGAGAAATTAATTAGTGCTGTTGTCAAAACAAGTTGCTTCTTTCAGTTGCATACTTGCGAAGTGATATGAAAACATATTTATCTTTTAACAGGTTTGGAAGAACTGTACATGCTTTCCTGTCTGGACTACTCTAAATACCTGTCCATAAACAGAATTAACTTTAAGATTACTTTAATTGTGCTTAATAGAATTGGCCCCACTGTATTTGTCTGAGTTGTTTATATTTTGTGCAGCTTTAGTTGTTGAAAATGTGCTTTATAAATAAACTTGACTTTGACTTTATCTTGTCTTTTTTCAGTCTTGTCATCCATTGGTAGTTATACAGTGACACGCTGGGAAACACAGAAATGTTCAGATCTCTGGCTGCTTCTCGAAACGGGAAAAGTTCCGGACAGATCACTATCACAGGGTTAGTAATATTTAAGAATCTAATGTAATATATTAAGTTATATGATGCTTACAATATACTATATTTGTGTATTTCAGTGGCAAAACCAGAGGATTCAGCACCCTCTAGTACCACAAAATATGGGGATGTGATGGACTAAAACATTGTTATTTGAGAATATGTTTTTGCGTGCATAAATGTGTAAAGTAAAAACAAAAATATTGCTCCTGTTGTACTGTAGTACTTTCACAAACACATTTTTTTCAGCATTTGAATTTCATATGAATGCATTGCCTGATAAACAGATTCAGAGATCAGGATTTAGTTGATGCTAAGCATGTGATTATTTGGATGCTGCTGAGATGTTGCATGCAACGTGCACAGCAAACAAATAGCATTGACAGTCAGTCTGTAGAGTGCACCATTATCTGTACTACTGGCAGAATGGGCTCAGATTCAGTTTTTAGATTTCAGATTCAGTCAGATCTGTGTTTAGGCAAGTCTGCACAAGACTACAAGTTTTTCAAGCCATTATTTTTAGCATTAAAACACATTTAATTGAATAACTGACATTAGTAATAATGTGGAACATTCCAGGCAAAACAATAACATCTCTATGGAGACAAACGAGTGGCATGCCTTCAGCCTTCCACCAGAAAAGTTATATAGTGCAACTTTAAAATATAACGGTAAAAACTGTAAAAAACAATTTCTAAATGTTACTTTTCTAAGTAAAATTTCAAGTAAGAATACAGTGTGGAAGAGGCATACTCTACGCATGCATGGCCCACTATTTTAATTTACTGTATTGACCCTTTGCTGTTTTCTGCCTCCAGTTAAAATCAATAACCACAAAACCTTGTTAACTTCAACAACTGGTATGAAGCATATTATTGAGGGTCAGGCCACCGATTGCTCTAGATGCACGTGACTGCAGAAAAAAATGTTAATCCTGATAATGAATACATCTGTTCAGGCAGGAAACAGCAGGAGTTTGAGAGGTAATAAGTAGGAAGTCCATTGTGACAATGGGACAAGCCCTATCTGTACTTTCAACTCTTCTTTACCCGAGTTAAAGTTGAGAGATGAGAGGCACGTCTGGACACGTTTTGAGTAAACGTTCACATTGTGCTTGAGTGGTTCTAAGAAAGGCAAACTTGTGACCACTGCGGAGAGCCTAGGCTACAAAATAGGAATACGCTAAAAGGCTAGAATTAAATAGATCTATAATGGTGTGCTACTTATAACATATATAAAACCGGGTTTTAGTGTGTTTAGTTGCCATTATTTCACTGTAAGTGACTCATAGTGCTTTCTATGACGATGATTAATAAGATCATATTCAGGCTTTATGAATAACGTCCCAACTTGGTAATAACAAAAGCACAACTCAAACTGGAGCCTTGTCCGGACCTGGGCCAATCCGCAAGGCGCAGCGCGAGCCTCGGCCAATAGGCGTCCTCGGTTAACTCGGCGGTTTGAAGGCGGTGCTTGACAGAAAAAAGGAAAGTATGAACAAGTTAGTGCCACAAACACTCATACAGTCTATGCTTAGACTAGGCTGTGCAGTGTGGTGCTTAGGCATGAGAGCTACACAAAAGATCACAGGACTAAACTGGAGTTAGAAGAATGTGCAGAGCTTTTATTGTTTTTTTAGATTACTGAATGCTCACTGGGGGACATTTTTCAACTTCTCCATGGCTTTAACTGCGACGGACCACAAACATAGCTTCAAAATGAATGGGTCCGGAATTTACGGCAGAGTCGGGCTGAGGAAAGAGGTAACCCAGGGAAAAGCTGTCAAAATTATCCAGTTCAAAGAAAGTGATTATTCTATAGATGGACTGCCAAAAGCGTTTCTTCACAGCCTAAGAACTTTGTTTGACATCCTGGATGACAGCGGCAGGGGGTACGTCCACATTTCAGAGATAGAGAGCCGCTGGCAGGGGGCAGACACCCGAGATCTCCCCGCGGGTGTGCTGGGGTGTTTGCGTAGGGTCGCTCCGCCACATGGCTGCCTCTCGTTCGAGCGCTTTGTTGCGGGTTTACGGTACTCTATGCTCAATCCGGAGAACCACATGAAAGTTCAGGCAACAGTTCACCCCCAATCTGCACTAAAACAGCCTGCTAAATCTGCCCCTATCCCTGTGCCTGAAAACAAGGTCCGTCCGCTTGGCCCGAGCAACTTGACAAACACCCAGCATCAGCTCCTGAGCAGGCCGGAGGAGGCTGTGTTCACCGCCTGTGCACCTCCGCGGTATGGCGTGGACAGGCCTGGGAGGAGTCTGGAGCGTATCCCTGTCGCTCCTGAAGCCGGTTGTTATCGGATGGACCAGAATCATGTGCCCAGACTAGGTCACACTCAGCCGGGCGGGATCAGGTCCATAGAGTCTCTGGACTTAGAGTCTCCTCGGCTTTCAAGACCAAGTAAGTGTAGCGTAAACACAAGAGTTCAAGGGATGTGCATTCCTCTGACACTCCACTACTGGAATGTATGTTTATCATAATTAGAGGAGATAGTCAGACTACATCAAGAGTCTAAGATATTTTTATAAAGAGAAAGGACACAATTCATCCAATGTCATAAAATTATACAGTGTCAACAAAATAACAGGCCTACATTTTCCTATTCCAGACAGTACACAATAATTAACATCAACATTTCTATGTCGGGGACATGCTAAGTCATAAGGAATAGGCTACTGCACGTTTTCCTGCCAGGTGTGTTATTGAGCCCAGCCCTTTTTGAATGACTGAACTGAAGGAGAGCACATTTTTCCCAAGAGCAGACATTCAATGCACGCATAACTGAGCTGATACGTCTTCTACTGGAATTTTGGCAACATAGAGCTCGTAGTCTAATTCCTATCAGTGTCTGGCAAGATGATTGCCATTATATTATATACAAATTAGAGTAATTTGATCCATATTTCTTCACCCTAATAATTGTGCTGGGCAGCTTTTGCGTGAGTGCTCAAGGAAAAGCTTTGATGTTTTATGGTCATTAACCTGAAGAATGTGGTCTATGTTTCAAACTTCAAGATAGTAAATTTAAGCTCAGGTGTCCTGGGGGTCATAACCTCAGAGCTGGGTTAGTTGGGACCCTTCTGTAAGATGTGAGAGTCTCTCAAGTTGAGTGAAGGTGGTGAAGTGTTGGGGGTTGTGTGAGATTCTTGTACATGTTTAGAGCCTCTATAGTTTTTCCCATATCCTTTGTAAGCTGTTATGGTCACATGTGTTGTAACTTAGCGTTTCTTTTACTTAAATCTATGGCACTTACATGTACACAGTTTAACATTATATCATGAGGAGATGTTTATCAGTTCTTTCTGCAGCTATTTTAGAATGAGATATTATATAATAATATCAACCCTATATTCAATATTAACATGTTGGATATCATTTCCTTTAAATTTACATATTTATTGATAATATAATTGATACGTATATTGTGAACCTATATATATATATATATATGTTCACCAAAATACAACAAATACAATACAGCTTCTGCTTTTGGCTAACCTTTTCAATGCATGTTACTTACAGCCTCATACGCTCAATAGATCTCACTTATGTAATGATTATATGATATAATAATTGGTTGATAGAAGTTGATTAAAAACCCCTAATCATGAGTCTGTAGGCTCTTGTTTGATTCCTTTACAACAGGCCTGTCTAGAGCTATAACCATGACTCTTTGACTCTCGTGCCCTGGGGGAGTCTCGCTGCAGTCAGGACATTGCTAACACTTACATACATGGATTTACACAGCCAGTATATTAGCGAACAATCCAGACACGTGCATTCAACTTCCAACAGCAATTACCCATACTTCATTTCCATTTCTATTTGAAATGATAGAAAAGTACAGTTTGAGTGATGACAAGTCAGTAAATTTTGCAGCAACAGGAAAATAGTGTAATCTGTCACATGCACCAAAACCTGATGGATTAGAGAAGATTAGAATAGGCAGGCCAGAACAGTACTTGTGTGTTTACAGAAAAAGTGAAATTATTACTTTAATTTAAAGAAAAAATCAAATTGGACAAAGATAAGACAAGTGAATTGTACACTCACTGCACATTCACATTGATATGCTGAAATGCCAGGTTACTTTCACATAGATCTGTTAGAGTTGGACACTTTTTAACCACTAATAAATCTTTTTTTTTTTTTTTTTTTTTTACATAAAACACCACTAGAATTAAATTAAAAAATGCCTTTTATTTTTCCATATAAAACAAGATGTTGTATCCTGGTTGTATCGTGTAACATTTCTGAATTCTAATTGGCAAGATGCACATATACACAACTTGTCAGTCTTTTAATAATACATATATACATATATAAATACATTATAATCATTACTTATTATACAAGAGAAATTTTTTTTTACACACGTCTAAATTGTCAGACAGATTTGCTGCATTTAGCTCCCTCATGTGGTCGTTTCATTAGGCTGCATCAAGCGGACAGTGAGAAATCATTTTGAAGTAGGCTGCCTGCAAAAAATCCTTGCCTGTATAATGAATATCCTTTTTCATAAATTATTACAGGCAAACTAATGTGTTAGTTATTAAATTGTTAGTATAGAGTTCTTTAACAATCTGCCTTCATAAAACTAGGGTACAAGTTTAGTTACAGGAATAGGAAGTTTAGTTGTGATTTAATCCTTCACCTCCTCTTATCTTGCTCAGGTGGTGTTGGGAAATCAGGTTTACCAAGATCTCAGAGTGAATCAGCAACAGGACTTACTGGTGGGTCTAGACGTCATGGGAGGAGTCGTGAGGAGCAGAGACGGCACACTATATCCAATGGAGTGGACTATGGCATGGTTAGTACTTATTCTACAATTTGATTATGTCATAATCTCAGAGGGGAGGGTAGAGACAACTTATCTGAATTGTTGTTTGATGTAGACATAGCAGAACAAAAAGAAATCCCATGAGAATAGAATTGTAAAGGCTTTCCAGTGAGGATTTCAACATTTCACTTCCAATTGGTCGCTACTTACCCCTCCCATCCCACTGCCCCCTGTGTCCCCCTCGCTGGGCCCCTCCCACCCCACAGTCCCAGCTCATGCCTGTTTTCACTCCCCATCTCTGCCTCTTCAAGGCTTGCCTTCTCTCTCTTTTTCTTTCCTCCATTTTTGGTCTTTATTTCTACGTGCTCCCAGTCTCTGCGTCTGGAGGGGCCACTGACCAAACCCCCCCTCCTTTCCTCCCCCTCAGCGTGTACCTCCCACCCAGGCCACCTTGGCCCGCTGCTGCCCTGATGGTAGTGAGTCGGGTCGGGCCCAGGGGCCTGGGACAAGTGGAGGACTCGTTAGGACCACCTGGCCCAACCTGGACGGCTGTGTGGGCTGCTTATACAACGGTTTTCATCCCCCTCAGCAATAGTCTCTGCAGCAGCAAGGCAGTACACTTTTTCCTCTGGGTGAGTAGGATTAGAGTGAGATCAAGGCATGGGACAAGGGACTGGAGGAAATGAAACCAATCTTTGATATTGTTTATAGTAGGATTTGAGGTACTTTGCTTGCTTTGGTAGTAGTGGACAGGGCAGTATCGTCAATTGCATTGTGTCAAGTGTATCAGAGGAAACAAAGTTACGGTTCTTTTTGTTATGGTTCTTTTTGTCCTCTTTGTTTGGCACCAACATTATTCTTTATTCCAGTTGTCATTTTCTGAGCATGTTGAAATATTTAATTAACCTCAAATGGGGATAGTTTGTCTACTGTTATTGTATTGTGACTGCAGTTCAAAAGACCTTTATGTTGTACTTTTGTTTTCCATGCCCTGTAGTTCTATTATTGTGACATATGTGTTATTGTTCATTGACAACTGAATCAGCAGGGATGTGAAACAAGTGCTCAGACAAACAAACCAAAATGCAACTTCCAGTTTAGTTATCTCCATCCTACGATGCCCTTTGAAAACCAGCCGTCCTTTAAAATAGTCCTGTTCCCCAACATGTATCTGACACAAAAGTAATTCATATTGTAAACATCAAACCCACCCCCTATTTCTCCAGTTACTTTCTTACAGTTTTTTTTATTGAGTTTGATGTTTGTCTTTTTACCCTGATGTCCAGCACAAATGAATGTACAAACAAGTTTTTAGGGAGATGACACACCAAGTGGCTAAATGCCAGCCACGCTGAGGCCTAGACTGTGTCCGCCCGGTCAGCATAACTCAATACAGCCGGCACACAAACCCTTTCTCTTTCACACACATGTGAACACACACATGGGGCGGCCACAGTAGAAGTGGCTCTGCTGTTTACCCCATTCTTAGGTGGCTGCACGGTTACCATGGTGCCAGAATGATGGCTCCTCAAAACATTGTTCTCGATGGGAGAGAGTTTGGCACAATTGGTACCACGCCATTGTCTAAACATCACAAAAGGACTATTGCTGCACATGCCCTTGGTGAAAAGATGTGAGTGCGGATGCCTGACTGAGTAACACTACAGCATAGCACAGTACCAAAGTCCCCTCCATTAATAGATACATTTAAAACATGCTTCTAACTAGGACATATGGTATGATGAAGAAAAAAAGCACTTTTTTTCTGGAATGGAAAACTATGCTACAGATTCTGCATTACGTAAACCGAGCAGAGCAAAAAGCAAGATTTTTTACTTTTGATATTTAACATTAGGTATTCATGTTTTGGCAGTCTGCTCTGCGTCAAAGTTGTTCAGCTTGCTTTCTCACATCTCCATGAGTTTTAGATCAAATGTGTTCAGATGTTTGTTTATTTTTTTCCTTACCGTCACACAGCTAAAGCAAATGAAGGAGCTGGAGCAGGAGAAGGACTCCCTGCTGGCGGGCCTTGAGGTGGTTGAACGGGCCCGGGAGTGGTACCAGAGCCAAATCCACAATGTCACTGAGAGGCAGAGACAGATCGGCCAGAATTCAAAGTGCACAGTGAGTAAAGACAGCTAAACTTTGAGATCAATATTTTATCTTAACATTTATATGTTTTATATTTTGAATAAGCCTACACATATTCAAAACACTTGTATTTATATGTGTATACATCATATTTTTTTATATATATTTTAAGGATTTCTTTAATGAAGCAACACAATGTCGCATGAATGTTTTAATTCCAAAACTCCAAGAAGTCAACCGATGCCTGAGTGACCTTATTACCTGCACAGGGATGGTATGTACCATGTTACATAATAGTTATTCAAATGATATCTTGACAGTTAGTGCATATTGACATAACATTGTGATGTTACAATTTGTGTTTTTTTATTATCAGTAAGGGCCAGATAGTGTAAACAAAATGTATATTTTTGGCAGTCTCTTTCCCCCAGTGGAAGTCAGACGTCTCCACTGTCCAGCAGCTCACAGCCTCCACCTCCAGCCCCTCCCCAAGCCATCCAGAGACTAAAGGACCAAAACAGACTCCTCACACAGGTTCACAAAGAAAAGCCCAAAATACTTAACTCACTGTTCTACTTCACATCTTCACTATTTTTTCTTCCTTTGTCCAGGAGGTGTCAGAGAAGAGTGAACGCATCACTCAGCTGGAGCAGGAGAAGTCCGCTTTGATAAAACAGCTTTTTGAAGCTCGTGCTCGCAGTTCACAAGATGCAAGCACCCTGGACTCAACTTTTATCTGATAACGCCACTTGACACTTTTCAACAAACCTCTCTGTATAAAGACTCAAACTGCTGAGGAGACAAATCGATGCACTCCTAGCCTTTTGTTTACCCAGCTGTCCAGATATGACAGTAACGCACCTTTAACCCGGTAATACTACCACTCCAGACCGCAAACATGCTCTACAGGGATGTGACCAGTCCCAAGAGTCCTGCTCTATCAGAGGCTGTTGTTTAAAGACTTTTTGTTCCACAGCAAACTCTGTGACCTTTAGAGTTCCACTAAAACATTTAACTGTTTCATTGAAAAGTATCTCTAGAGACCTCATCACTTTCTTTCTTACAAGATGGCAGCACCTGTAACATTTCATGTTCTATTCTCCAAAGACTATCTGGCCACAAGGTCCCAAAGCATTAGGGACAGCTCATTGTTCCAGTCAAGACCTCTTTCTCACAGCATGGGAAGACAAAATAAAATGCCATCTTTTTAATGACTGACAAAATAGTCTGCTTGCAGTGATCTATCACTTATATTTTAGGTTTGTACTTTCATCTAAAAGGTGCTAATATTATTTTCACTTTAGTTTAAACCTGTGATGTTTTGTGGGTCCATTCACTACAGAAGATGGCGTTTTTCATTTGCAGTAGCATGTTGGATTTGTTACGGCATGTTTCAGGACAGAAATGTCACAGAAGACAGTTTTAGGATGTAGAAGAAGAGAGATGAGAAAGTTTTGCACGTAGCAGAAAATTTTAAAAAAGCACAGGCTGAATGTGTCTCAGTATGAGCTTTGCAGATGGCACATGTTTTACTTTGGTATCAGTTTGGTGTTTCAGGGTCACAGCCACTGCCTTTAGTGGTGTGTTTACACATTGTATTTTATAGAGCTAGTTTACAGCAGAATTACTAAAGCTGTGAGAACATGTTTTTTAAATATGTAATACACATGCATTTAATCACTAAGCACAATAGAAAACATTGATGTCAGTGGGGGTAGATAGATAAAAACAGCTCTTGTTTTGCTTTGTTTTGAGGCAGTGAAAAATTTTATGGTACTTACGGGATAGCTGCATTCTTAAATGGCAGGATAAGGCATTGATGTGTCTTTTGACTTTGTGATTGTAAGTTTGAAGCTGCTCAAACCATGTTATTTGTGAATAAAAGTGTCATCACTAAATTTAGAATAAATAAGATCAAAAAAGCTGTGTGTGTTTTTGTGTGAGCCATAGAGAGAGCAAGGGTAACTAACATGCTATAAACAAAATGTTAATTAATTAAACTATAGGACAAATAATTAGAATAAAATGGCAAACCCAGCTTAATCTAACTAAGGTTGAGATGTAGTCTATAGGCGCTAAAGCTGTTCAAATAGCTGCATGCCCTGACACTAGAATACAGGCTTGCCTTTATTTAAAAATGCATTTGTATTTGTTTAAAGAGTAGAGGCCATGCAAATTCTGAATAATGATATAAGCTACAGCTAAAGTAATATCTTGCCAAATAAGCCCAAGCCTGATAGTGAAAAGAAGGATACCTTAGGATGACAATAAGTGTAGAAGATGTCAAAAATTCCTGTTGGAAGGCGGAACATAAATGGTGGTAAGTGATTTAATTGATAAAATACGTACTTTATCTTATAATTAATTTAGACATGGATCAAGTTATGTAAAATATCTACTTTGTTATCATTTTTATTCTTTACTGTTATTTTTCACTTTTTCCCACTTAAAAAGGTAAAAATAAATCTGAATAAATTCTAAAATGGTATATTAAAGATTATGTGTGTGGTGGATTTGTTTAAGTATGCCAGAGTACAGGTGTTAACTTGCTCTAATAAGTACGTGTAGAGGTTTTTGAGGAATACTTTCCTATGTGCAGCATGAGCTCACCTCCAAACATGTAACACATTACACGGAGTTACAGTGAATTGAATCAGAAGTGATTTTCTTGCATCAGTTGTTTACTGCCAATTTTCCATCAGGCACCAAAGGCTTGTTGCATCATTGTCAATCAGAATGAATGAAAATTGCTTTACTTAAAGTTTGCTGTTGTATTTGTTCAAAGTAAAATACAAATGCATGTTTAGTTGTTGCTGCTGCTGTTGTTGTTGATGTTTTTGGCTTGTACTTCACCTGGATAAATAACTTTGAGTGTAATTTTATGTAAACTGTGTGGCAAAGGTGCTCGGGCCTCATAAACATAAGGACCTCTCCACGCCCTCACGTCTGCTCGATGATTGGATGTCTGTGTGAAGCAGCATCCCAAGTGTCATCTTCCAGAAGGCATTTCCAGTCATCTATGAGAGCTGCTCACATGAAGAGGGGGACACCCGGATGAGACCAAACTAATCGCTCAATAGGCAAAGAAGAGATATTCTCAAACAGGTAAGCAACTTTTTGCATTAATTGGCATCTAACCTTTACCCTATAGGAGTACAAATTTACACTGCAAGGCAGAGTTGTATGAGGTCTCTATGTATTCTTCATATATGTTCCTGACAGGGGCAATATTTATACACCAGCCTTTGTTAAGGTCTGCTGATATCCGTATGTTGGGAAGAACACAAGGCTCTGTTTGCCATCTGCTCATTTACATGTTATGATGGGAAGATAGTGAGACTAGGTCCTTACAGCGGACTTGGTAGAGCGAATATAAAACCATTGCTTTCAGTAAAACAAAGCATCAAAGTTTTATAAACTAAATATTTGACCCTGACATTGCTATAAAGGGTAAATCTATACAAACAATAATCTATATGTAATGATAAATATGCAAATCTGTAAAGCTATTTGCATGGTTATGGTACAAATCTTCACTTGAATATTCACTTAACATGTTGGTTTTGTTATCTGTTGTTGTTAAGTATTTTAAGTTTGTAAATTTAGTTTATTGTTGGGACCAATTTCAACATCTGTAAACATAGAAAGATTCATTTTTTTTCATTTGCTGTAGGGGACAACATAATATGACGGTCTGACAAAGTGTGAATGCTCAGGTGTTGGATGAGGGTCTGTATGGTTCAACTGCATTACCATGGCATAATGCCGTGCAATTGCGGTCTCCTTGTAACATCCTGTGTGACTGTTGAATTGAAACATGTATTATTGTTTCTTTCAATCAAACGCAAGTGACAGACAAAGTAACCATGGCACTAAAATGCAATAATCTTCACAAGATTTCTAGGCTTGTAATGGAAAGTTAAACAATTGTTTCTAAATGTGTTTTCTCTCTGTGCTGTTTTTACAGCTTGTATCTTACTGGTGCCTTTGGAAGAAACCTGTGATGGAGCTCCTCTACATAAACTCCTCATTGCTCTTCATTTCTCATAGACCCGGTAACACCACAGAGGAGAAGACAGTCTATGAGCTTTGTATAAAAATGCCTGCTGTCTTGATCTGGTATCTGACACTACAGTTCATAAACATGTTCCTCGGGATTCCAGCCAACATCATGGTGCTGTGGCTCATCCATAAAAACAAAGGAGACTCGTCTACCTCTGATATTTTCATTCTCCATCTAGCCATATTGGATGTTTTCTTCTGCCTCATACCACCTCTAGAACTGGCCAACATAGTCTTCCTGACCACCAGCAGCACTTGGTATGTTCTGCGTTTCTTCTATGGCATAAAGGACTCCTCTCCTCTCTTTTTGTCATGCATCTGCCTGGACCGCTACATGGCTGTGGTCCATCCCATAACATTCACAGAGCTTAAAGACCGCAAGCACAGAGCAGTTCTTGCCATTTTGGTCTGGCTTGTCATTTTAGCCTATGCTGCAGCAAAGTGTGTAGGCAACATTGTCAACTTCGAGAAGGTGTTCACGGGAATGATCCTTGCAGCATTTGGCTTCATGGTTTTCTGTAACATTGCCATTTTGTGGGCGCTGCGTCAGTCTGGGCCAGGCAGAGATGAAATGCATCCAGTGAAGAAGAGAGCATTCAAAATGGTACTGATTATCCTGGCCATTATTGTGTTCAACTACTTCCCCCCTGTGGCCCTGTTCCCCTTTCAAGAGTACTTCTCTCCTGATGTTTTCCGTTGCTACATTCACTATGTGGCATTTGGTTTGATGGACTTCAGCAGCAGCATTCAGCCCATGCTCTATCTGTCCAAAGAGCTGCCCCTGAGACTGAACTGCTGTCAGACCAGTCAAGCATAGCACACATATCAAACACTACTAGGTGAAGCATTAAAATATTTGCAAGTTGATTTGGAACGTTTTAGTATTAGGGACAGTCTAACTGTATAAAATGTACAAAGTGTTGGCAATAAAGTTGGTTTAGCAAAAATGCTCACTGTCAGAATGGTTTGCAATAGAAAACAAATTAATTAATAAATAATTATGGGTACTGTTTAGGCCCAGTTTTATCAAGAACGCTAGTGTGCCTTGAGGTATTGCCACCTGTGCCTTGAAAAAAAAAATCTAATTTGAGTAAATTTAATAATTTACCATTTGAGTGAGCAAACCTCTGATCCAAAAAATAAAGCAAAATAATTATGAAATGTAAAGAACTAGACACAGTGGCGTGGACTATTTTTGCTACACAACTTTCTTTCCTAAGAGATGATTTGGCAATATTTTAGGAGCTGGTGTGCTGTAGACTTTTTTGACCAGAAATGGTCCTGTAATTCAAAAATGCATTAGGCAGCAGTCTGGGTTAGTTGTAGTTGTAAAATATCTAATAGTGAATAAGATAATTGGGGACATTTCAAAAAGAGGTTGTTTCATACTTTTAAATGCATACACCACACAATTGTCAATGTACTGAGAAAGATGTGTTTGAATGCCTTTTTAATAAAAGTGGTGCTGTAATAACACATGTATTCTGGTCTTTATTCTCAAAAAAAAAAAAAAAAAAAAGAATCACTAGAACTTTCAGTCATGGGCTCTAACAAAAATATTTCACCCCTTCAGTTCAGTTACATATACATATCACATATTCAAATGTTCAAGCTACTGACAACTGTGCAGGTTAATTTGCACTGTGCAAACAGACACAAATGAAGGTGCATAGAAGACTTTAAGCATGTTTGCCTTCCAAAGCAATAAAAACAGACCAGTGGAATAGTTAAAATGTATTTATTTAGCTCACCTTCGCCACAAAAACACAATGAACCTCTAAAGGCACAGTCAAAAATCATATGCCTTTGCACATTTGAACACTAGTGCCAATTCCCTGCCAATTCTTTCTTTTTAGGTGGGATTTATACTCCTTACAGCTAACTCTAGTGCCCCATAGGGGCCAGGGAGTGGTCCCTTGTATTAAAATATCCTAAAGACCCCCTACAGATCCTCCAAGAATTTTAAACCATGTATAAAACCAAATACAATCGCATCCTCATTTTCTTGATGTAGCTGTTCCCATTAAGAACAATATGTTTGGGATAGCATAAAATAAGAAATTGTAGTATTTAAATAATGATCAGGGTCACCGTGGTGCCTGGACCCCATTTTAAGAGCCACTGTTTTGTCTATGCTGTTTTTAGGGCCCAATATACTGGCAGTAACATTTAAGACCATACAACATTATAAGTTCAGGAGAATATGATCAATATTTCCAACTAAGTGACTTTATGTGTAGTCTACAGTGTATATCACTGTATTACATACATTACAAACATGTGCAATTACTGATAACTGCAAATCTTTCTGGGTGCCTCTGAGCAGGTACAGTATTACAATCATCCAGTATTTTTGACAACAAAAATACATACAATCATATTTCACTGTAGGTCCTTTGATGTGTCACCAACACAGTCAATGAACAAGGAAAACATCTTAAGTTAGTGGTATAATTTGTTTAACAATCCTAAATTCCACAAATCAAGGTCAACTCACATTAACACACCACACATCTGTGGTTAAAGCTGATATATGACGATTACACATAACTATGTCCTCTTTAAAAGTCTTGTATTTTATCGTTTTCAGTCCAGCATGACATTGTTTGGTTCAGTCCCACAGCTGGTACCCTCTGAAGTCTGTTCTTGGGCTTCATGCAGTTTCTGGTGCTTTCTCAGTGAGGACTGGTCAGTGTAGGTCTTCCCACAGTGGCTGCAGAGGTACACCCTCTCTTTGGTGTGGACCAGCTCATGTCGCTTGAGGTGGCCAGCACGGCTGAATCTCTTGCTGCAGTAGGAGCAGGAGTACTCCTTCTCCCCTGTATGAGTCCTCAGGTGCAGCTTCAGACTGCTGGCCACAGTGAATCTCTTCCCACACTCATTGCAGCTGTATGGACGCTCTCCTGTGTGCATTCTCATGTGTATAGTAAGGTGGCCGGTCTGGCTGAATGTCTTTTTGCACAGCTCACAGGTGTAAGGTCGCTCCCCGGTGTGGATCCTGTAGTGAGTCTTGAGGTCCCCCAAACCATTGAATCTCTTCCCACACTGAGCACAACAGTAGGGCTTCTCTCCTGTGTGGATCCTCTCATGGATGCGCAGATTGCCTGCGTTACTAAAAGTTTTGCCACAGTCTTTGCAGGCGTAAGGCCGCTCCCCAGTGTGAGTCCTCACATGCACTTTGAGCTGGTTGTGCTCCGTGAAGCTTCGATCACAGAAGGAGCATGTGTAAGGCTTCTCACCTGTGTGCAGGCGCTTGTGCACTCTCAGCTGGCTTGGGTGGGCATAGGTTTTACTACACAGGTTACAGCTGTATGGACGCTCTCCAGTGTGAGTCCTCTTGTGGGCTTTCAGAACCTCAGCACGACTAAATCGCTTTCCACAGTAGGAACAACCATGGATCTTCTCACCTTTATGTAACTTCAGGTGCATGTTGAGCAATGCTGCACGACTGAACGTTTCAGGACAAACTGGACAACGCAAAAAATTATCACGCATATCCAAAAAGTCTTCAGAATCACCCCCCTCCTCTGGCTCCTCTTCCAATGGCATGAACTCTTTATTGAGCCCAGGATCTACTTCTATGTCTGAGTCCTGATGTTGATCAGGTTGGAGCTCTGCACCATGTGGGTTTATTTCTGCCTTTATCAGAGAGTCCTTGTTAGCGGTTGCCAAACCAGAGTCATGACTTTCATTGAGATCAGCTTCACTGTGATCACTGACTGGCTCCTCTTTCATTTGTGATATCTGCAGAGATGTGTATGAGTCTACAGCTGTATAGCTGTCATCAATCCTCTCTTTTTTAATTGGTTTCATAAATGATGAAGAATATGAGAGATCAACTGCTCCTGTTTGATCTGAATTACATTCTGCCTTGTTTTTTCCTGTCTGGTATGTAACCCTTAATACTGGCAGGCTTGGACATTTTTCTCTAGTTGTGTCGTTTGTTGGAGGTGAATTGAACAGCAGTGAATGGTTCTCTCTCATTGTGGCTTTTTGTTTCCTTCGTCTCTTCTTGTCACTGCTGCAAATGGACATTTTGAACTTAGATTGTCCAGATACACAATCCAACACCACACTTTGTTCAGTAGCTTCTTTTCTTGCTCCATCTGGGGTTTCTGTAAAAACTAAAACAGAAATAATTACTTGACTTTAACTGCAGAATTAAAAAAATAGTAGTGTAAAAAAAATAAGGCATTTGCATTTATTCTTCTTGTGGATTACATAAAATCAAAACACTCGGTTATGTGTCTCTGAACAAATATGATTGTTAACTTGTTCATTATCACAGGTTTACAACCTGTTCGTTTTCAAATAAACCTAAGATTTAGCTTTAAGTGGAGGCACAACAGGAATGATCAAGACTGACCCTGGGAGCCGCCATACTGGCAACTTGCAGAGAAATTGATGAGTTAATCAGTGCTGCTTGGAAAAAACAAAGTATACTCTATTGGTAGTACTGTACCTACTGCTGAGGGCGTCTCAGCGCAATTTTGAGAAAACAAAAGCCGCTTCAGGCCTTCGTTTTCGCACTCGATCCTCTGTATTTTTCCCCGATACTCGCAGAGCGTCCTGTCCACTGATTCCATTATGTCGCTAACAGTCGCTTTAAAAATCTGATTCAGTGAAAACTCCAAGGACATTTTGAGCTCTAGAGGCTCGGACATATTGAAGGAAAGCTGAACACAAGTCAATGTGGTTTTAAATAAGGGAGAATATCCCGTCAAATGGATGTAAGTGCGACTCTGCAGTTGCTCACTCAGCTGCTTGTGCGTAGAACAAACAAAACGGTGCGCGGGGTTGCCAGATTTTCAGAGCAACAAGCCACCACCAAGCATTTGAAAAAAGCGACAAAAGTATAACATCCGAGCCTCACAAAAATAACTTTAAAAAATAAGCAAGTAATTAACGTTGTATATCGAGTGCAGATGAGATGTACGTATTTTAATAGAATATTTAACATTAATGACGACTTTGAAACGTTATCAGCTTGTATTTCAGTAATTATTGTGTCTATTGGCGTAAAATATAACTGAAAAAGGCTAAAAATCACATAATTTGTGGAATGAAAGTGCCTCCTAGGAACAACCCCAAAAGAAAATCGCCACCCGTAAGTGTCAAAATTTGCAAGTGAGTTTCCTAAAAAAAAAGACAAAAAAAAGAAAGAAAAAGCTCAAAGTCGCTATAAAGAAGCGGACTTGGCAGGTGTGGAAGTGTGCGCAGGGTTTGTGGTTTGTGTTGGTGGACACCGAGTAGCGCCCTCTGCAGGCACGGGGTGACATCTCTCAGCCGCACCGATCATTATGATGGTTTTGAGGATGCCTTCAGATTATAAACGACGCAAACACAACAGCGCATTTTTCATCAATAGACAATTCCCCATAAAATAGTGATGACTGCTGCATTATCCACCCAACAAAGATGTCTTCTCTTTGAACTTTAACACCGCGGAGACCAAGCAGGAGGTACCCTCAGCTCTTGAATTCCTACGGTAATTATAAATGCTAACGCTAGTTAAAGCTAGCTTATCAAATCAAATATACGAATGCTGCTTTATTTAAGAACATTTTTATACATAAACGCTAACATGTAGCACGGTTGTAGGAACTCAGTCAAGATATCGACTAAAGTAGCATTTTGAAGTACAGCACAATAAAAACACGCACTCCCCGGCACTGTAAAGATGGCAACAAAGAACAAGTACCCTTTGCAAATGACTCCAAGCTGTCAAAATAGAAAAAAAAAACAAAAACACACACACACACACACACATTTTGACACGTTTTGAACATTTACACAATTCTTGCAACTTTGGTGATTTGGCAAGCAAACCAGCCTTGGTGATGTGGCAAATTAATTTATTACAAACTAATATTAAGCATTATTGTATTATTTCATTAATGTAATCATTATTGTTGATAATTCTAATGATGAGTTATTTTCCTAAGCAGGGTGTAGGTCATTGGGCCCACTAAATTGAAGTAGGTGAGTTATACATTCGTATTTGCTCTAGAGTTTAGAGATGGGGAATGGGGTTGAGCCACTCCTCTTACCTGTCAAGTATGTGTGTTCCTGCATGCCTTTAAGCCAGCGGGTGGGGCTCCTGTCTCTTAGATATTTCTTAACATATCCCTTACTGCACTGTTTTTGTTGCCACAAAACATATATATTTTTGCGTGTTCAGCCATTTTTATTAATCAGTGCCACTATTTCCATAGCTGGAGATCACATTTGTATAGACAACAGCAAAGACAAGGAGTAGTTCCAATACAGGAGTCAAAAGCTAAAATAATCTATTCAAAACATTTTCACAATAGATCCTTGTACTTAATATTTTTGGTGATGTGTATTTTGTTTTAATTTTAACTGCAACTTAGTGTAATATTATATCCTATCTTTCCCAGAACCACACAAGCCAGATGGTCATATGATATTAAACCCCGCGGGGGTAACCCATGCTTAAATCCAGATTTTTTCCCGCTGTTATTATGACTCTTTTCAGACTGAGGCTTCCTTTTGATTGATGGTGAGCTATCTAAATACATATATCCCCTCTCTGTAATGTAATTCCCTCTAGAAATTTACATAATAGTGAAATCCAGCTAACAGTCAGTTAACAACATCAAGTTATGTCTTTGTCTTCACCAGTGATTAACTGTTTAATACAACTAGATTTGAAGAAAGACACACCATCTAAATAAACGGACATCACTTGCTGAACCTCAACAGGAACTAACTAGTTAGCTGCAGCACAGGAAATGTGGTGAGGTTCTGTCCCGGATGTTGGTTGCACCTGAAGGATGAGAGTTGCAAAGTCGACATAGAAGGATGTAAATGAAGGTGAAAATAGACTTATGTAAGGTGTTTTCATGTCTCCCATGCTTGTCCTTGCTTTGGCACAGCTAATGTTTTTATTGTCAGTCTGTATGTTGCTAGACAGAGGCTGTTTGTCTTGCAAACAGTGATGACGGTAAAGGTTTTGACTCCTTCACGGTTTGCGGGTGAGGGTCACATTGGTGCAGGCTGATAATAATAAACAGCCTGTTAAAATGAGCAGACAGTCAAACAAGATACAGCCCATAAACTCCACCCACCACCATGTCTACTCCTCTTTCTTTGCAACTATTCTCACTTTCTGCACTTTCCTCAGGAAGTAGAAATGCACTCTAGCATTGCAAGTACTGTGCACTGGAGATTATTGTTATCAGAAAACAAGCCATCTGTAAGACACAATCTTAATTGGATGATTTTTAACACATGGTAAGTTTGTGTCAGGCATTTATTCTTATAAATTCAAATAATCAGTAATGCTCCACTTGATGTATTTCTCTTCCAGGAAATGCCTGTTCTCATGTGCATTTGTATCAGCTACCGGGCTCTCTATTGATTGCCCAAGCTAGAGGTATAAAAATAGCTAATTGATGGATTCATTCTTGTATTTCAGATCTGGCTACACTTACAGTCGGGATAGTTATAAATCTGTCATTTGTTACCCAAATGTCAACCTTTTTTTAGCTACATGCTGTTTTTTCATTACAACCTCTCTGACCAAAAACTGACTTGCAAATGGAGGAGGAAGACTTTTGCTCCTCCCTTCCTGAAGCCACAAATTCAGTTGTTTTTGCGCCTTGCCAAGAATCACGGACCTCAACAGAACATCAATACCTCAATGGACAAATAGATGATGTGGCAAAGGAACATACGGAGTTGCTTATAACTCAGGAAGAAGAGCCAGAACATATTTATTTCCACACAGCCCACAAAGGTACTGCAGCTGAAACGGAGACTTGGGAGCAAATAATATGGCCAGTTTGCAACACAACACCACCGTCCCTGGCTGCAGAGGACTGGGATATGTCCAGGCCAAGCTCTGGGACGCCTCCACATGTGACGGACAAAGTTGTGGCCAATCAACCCGACTCGGATGCTCTGACACAAGCTTTCAGCGCTTCCTTCCCTATTCATTCTGAAAGTGTTCATAGTGATCTGTTCAAAGAAGCTGAGGCTGAAGAACAAGACGAATTTGATTCATGGCTACTTCTCTGCTCTGAGTCGGAATGGATGGGACCCAATTTAAAGGTATCTTTAATGATCCTTTAAATATTGTGTAATAAATGGAGTTAGTAATTTGAATAGTACCACGTTAGCATTTGACCATGTGTCATTGTTGGCATCTATAAAGGTATTGTTACTTTAGCAGTTTCACACTCTGCTCACTGTTTGGTTGTTGTCATTTAAAATAATTAAATATGTTTTGTTTTTAACTCACAATTGATATTACTGATTTTTACAAATTTCAGCCATGTGACACGGAAAGCACGAAAGCACATAGAACACAGGAAGAGGAACATTCGACGCACAAGCTGTTAGACCATGCATTTGGTAAGTACTATAAAAGACGCTTTATTTTTAAAGGCCCATTATGTCACTTTTCTGGTAAATGGTCTGCCACCTGCTTGTCTCCATGGAAATGTTATTTAACTCTTACTGCCCGCTGCGAGTTCACAGTCTCCCCACAGATCTTTAACTAGCCTTGGTTAGTCACCTTCACCTGCTGTCTCCCAGGCGATAGCTAAATTTAATTCCACACTGTATAACTTCTTGGCAAAGCATCTCAACATCTCCAAGCAGGTGGCAAACCCTCCACCAGAAATGTTACTCAGAGAACCTTACCTTTTTTTAATATCATACTTACATTATGTTTTTTTCAAGGTACATCACTGAGGACAAGTGTACAAGGGGATAAAAACAGAGAATCTGTTGAAGCAGACTTCATTCACAGTTGTGTAGAAATTCAATTTGCAGAATTCATAGAGGATGATATTGAGCATTTAAGGCTGGTAGAAAGTCCAGATAAAAGTGATATTTTGCTGACTGGACATACAGATTTAGAGGAAGAACCAGCCTTAGTAAATGGTGATGAAATTGCAGCAGGAGACCGGGACGAGGGTCAGCTTGTGACTAATGAAGAGGCCACAGCTGCCTGCCATCTGAATGCAGTGTGAGTGTGGCTACTTCTTTATGAAAAGCAGAACTGAAAATGTGTATAAAACACTTTATGGTATTGTTATGGAGAACCATCATTAAAACCTTTCTATTGTCATTCATAGGGAAGTCACTGCTGAGGTACTGCGAAGTGAGGAAACAAATTTCAGTATAAACACCGATAAGCTAATCGATTTGCAACAGCTTCTGGAGGATTTATCACTTCTGGAAAAGACGGTGACAGAACAAAACAATTCACACCAATTTTGTGAGGAGTCTAGTGAAGCTCCAGTCATGTGCAAAGACGTATATCAACATGTGTGCAGTGAGCAGGCTGATGAAGAAGAGCAAACTGGGGTCAGTGAAGTAACTACACCGGCAGCTGAAAGCACCACACAAGAAAACTCTTTGGAAGCATTTAATCTGCAGAAAGACTTTGACTCTATGACTGACAATACACAAAAATCACAAAATACTGCAGGCAATCAGGTTCAAGAACAACATGATGATCCGTCACCTACAGAAGAGGTGGAGGGTATCCAGATAAACACCTCATATAGCCCCACTCCCCAAGAGATTCTCGCTGATCTCAAAGTAACGGAAAAGTTTAGAACAAAACATAATAAGATCCTACATGAGGTTAAAAAGGAAGAAGCTATGGAAGAAAACAAAACGTTGCTTACAGAAAATACTGGGGAAAATGTAGAGCAAAGTAAAGTCAACCAAACTGTGACAGCACACATGAATGGAGAAGTGGACAGAGACGAGGCACGCCTTTTGGCTGATAGGCTTTTTAAATTGGACGGCATCCAGCGGAAAGATGTGGTCAAATACCTCGACAAAGAGTAAGCATGTTCTTATCATCTTCCAATTTCCAAATTTGGTACTACTTTATAATAACTACACCTGAATTAGCCTTGAAAAAGTATGAACAAATAAGAAGGGTTCAGAATTAGTAGCTACTTAATTTACGGATTAGTGGGAAGGTTGTTGCCAAGCTTGAATAACTATTAATAAACAAATAACAAATGAATAAATAAATGTTCATGAGAAATTGACTCTTTGTTCATGCTTTATTAAGAGTAAAGAGAGAAAAGAGTAAAAGTGTAGTTATTATAATGGGGCGTTAACCTAAATTTTACCATAAACAATGTTACATAATGTACTTGGCCTGTTTGGTAAAACACATAGGTTGTGTCATTTGTCAAGCCTGCTGAAGTATTTTAAAAATGTCTTTGGTTGAAAAGGTATATTCAAAGATTGTCTGTAGGTCTTCACCTTAAATGTAGTATTTGTTGTCTGTGTAGCAACAGCTTCAGCCATGCCGTTGGAGAAGAATACCTGAAATACTTTGACTTCAGTGGGCAGACTATGGACCAGGCCCTCAGGTATTAAAGCGGAGTTGCATGCGGTGACGTGATAATTACAGCTTGTAAAATTTCACATAAATTTGTTTTTTCTTTTCGATGCACTCGCTCAGATCCTTTCTCAGTGTGGTAGTTCTCATCGGGGAGAGCCAGGAGAGAGAGCGGGTGTTGCAGCATTTCTCCTGCCGCTATCATGAGTGCAACCAAGGCTCTTTCTCCTCTCCAGGTTAGCCCCAAAGTTTAAATTTCTTCTTTTTGGTTTAAATAAGAGCCAAAAGTTACAGCATTCATGTGTTTCCCTCCCTTTACATATCCCCAGGGTCTGTATTGGCTCTTACATGTGCTATGATGCTTCTCAACACTGACTTGCATGGACAGGTACGAAACAATACTCCTCTAGAGAGTTTAGTATTTGAACTACCTTGGTAAGAAGAATTTCTTTTTTCCCAATAGCATGTGGGAAAGTCTATGTCCTCCTCCAAATTTGTGTCCAACCTTGATGGGATGAATGAAGGAGAAAACTTCAACAAGGATCTTTTGAAAGTAAACTTTTTTTTATATATATATTACCACTACTACTGCTACTTTCAGATTCAAAATGTTTATTTATTTATTTTTATTTCAGAGCTTATACAATTCAATAAAGGCTGAGCCACTGCAGTGGGCATTGTAAGTGTAGTCCCAAAATTTCCTATATACATTTTGCTTCACTTGATGTATTTTTTTTACATTGATCCCTTTTGTGGATTAAAGAGATGAGGAGGAATTAAGCAATGTATTGTTGGAAGAAGACAATGAAGAGGTTGCACCACTTCGTTCAAAAGCCAATCCTTTCCTTAATGTCCCACATGACAAAAATGCAGTAGTTATCAAACAGGGATTTCTCCAAAGGAAGATTCATGCTGATGTTGATGGCAAACGCAGTAAGTACAGAGAATCACAGAAATCTATACTTGTTTGCTGCCATAACTTACAATGCCATTTTATTTAATTTCACTGCAGCTCCTTGGGGAAAAAGAGGCTGGAAGATCTTTAATGCTATGCTGCGCGGAATGGTTCTTTACTTCCAGAAGGTAAGAGTTAAGATGACTTTTTCAAAGATCATCAGTTCAACTTGAGTGTATCTGGCTTTTGTTTGTGTCAGGATGAGTACAGAAGGGAGCAGCAGATCAGTGAGGAAGTAGTGAGCGTCCATCATTCTCTGGCTGAAGAAGCTGCAGAATACACCAAAAGGCCACATGTGTTTCGTTTGCAGACGGCCGACTGGAGGGTGTTTCTCTTTCAAGCTTCGTAAGTCATGCAGATTCATCATGCTGGAGAATTTAACAAGTAGGGATGGTCTGTATGTACGTATATGTGTATATGTATGTATGTATGTATGTATGTAAGTAATGTATGTATGTATGTGTGTATATGTGTGTATATATATATATATATATATATATATATATAGATATATAGATAGATATATAGATAGATATATAGATATATAGATAGATATATAGATAGATATATAGATATATATAGATATATATAGATAGATATATATAGATAGATATATATAGATATATATATATATATATATATATATATATATATATATTGATATATATTGATATTAGTGCTGTCATGCAATTTAAAAAATTGAGAGATTAATTAATTATGATCTGTAATTAATTAATCTAATTAATCTCATTTTAATCTCACCTAAAAATACCTGAGAAAAGCCTTCAATTTGAGGTATTTTCATTTAAATTCATTATTACATTATTGTGGCAGATCAAAAGACTAATATAGATTTAAAAAAGTGACTTTATAAAGTCTTTTATTGTTTAACAAATCTCTCCAAATTGGCTGTTGAGCCCAAGTCTCCATGAATAAGAAACTGTTTGCTGTAAAGTAGCAAAGACGAGGAAATCTGAACATAATAACCTTTGTCTACTTAAAGACAATAAAAAGTCCAGTCTTTCTTTAACCATATTAAAAATATTATTGATAGAGAAATGCTTTATATATGAGATCACTGGTTTTAGTCCTGGTTTAGACCTGCTTTAGTCCTACTTTAGTCCTAGTTTAGTCCTGGTTTTAGTTCTGGTTTTAGTCCTGGTTTAGTCCTGGTTTAGACCTGGTTTAGACCTGGTTTTAGTTCTGGTTTTAGTTCTGGTTTAGTCCTGGTTTTAGTCTTGGTGTTAGTTCTGGTTTAGAGGCTCACAGGAGGAAGCGCAGTTTACGCAGCGTACGCGAGAAAACACGGTCCACACGCGGCTCACGGGAGCACGTCGGTGTCCGCGCATTAACTACGGAAGGAAACGTGGTCCGCGCGTTCTGAGGTTAATGACGATGATGAAGGTGTGTTTGTGTGTGTTTGTGTGTGTTTGTGTGTGTTTGTGTGTGTTTGTGTGTGTTTGTGTGTGTTTGTGTGTGTTTGTGTGCGTGTTCCCTCATGTGGCAGGTCACTATAGGACAGTAGTGCAGACATCATGAGCCTATGCAGGTTATTTTCACCAGTGACATTTAAGTTGTAGGCGATATTATATTTGTTATTTTCTTTTATATTTCACGTCGGGAGAATAATTTCCAAGACACGAATGCGTTTTTACCTGTGCACTGTTCTACTGGCTCTTCCACCTCGTCCATTGTGTGACTGACGCCGCCAACGTTAACATAACGTTTACATCGCTGTTACTGCGCACGTTTTGTGCGGGTTTCCGGCAATGAGTGGAATTACCGAAATAAAAAAATGTATAAATGTGTTTTTTGTGTTTGTGTTGTTGTTGTCCCAACAACACATAAAAACAGGTTTTATAATAAAGCAACTCGCATACAGAAACACTAAAGTTAGAGATTAAAAATGAGATTAACGAGATTAAAAAACATAACGCGCTAAATATGACTGTAATTAATTAATCGCAATTAACGCGATAATTTGACACCCCTAATTGATATATATATCTATATAGATATATATATATATATATATATATATATATATATATATATATATATATATATATATATATATATAGATATTGATATATTGATATATATATCATATATCATGTATTTGGCCTGTTGCTGTAGCCACTACAGATATTTGCAAAAACCCTAAGATAACATCAGATACAGATATCAGAAATTATATATAACTCATCCTTACAGAGCAGTGTTTCATTGTTTTGTCGTGTTTCCAGATCCAGAGCGGAGATGGCTTCGTGGATTAATCGCATTAACCTGGTGTCAGCACTCCACTCATCGCCTCCTTTCCCTGCTGCTGTGGGCTCCCAAAGGAGATTCTGTCGGCCCATTCTTCCAGCCTCACAGTCTGCTAATACCCTGGTAAAAAAAAAAAAAGTTTTACTTTTTATTCGCATGCTTTTTTTTTTTTTTTTTTTTTTACAAATTTTGGCTAGAATCATAATGAACAAAGCTTAGTAAAAAAGGCAAATAGAAAATGAGAATTCACAAAAATGTTGCAAAGAAAAATTGGTTGTGCGGTGTCAGTCTAAATAAGTGTGATTATTGTTTTTTATGGCTGCTTTTATTTTATTTTTATTTTTTTAGGACCGTCAGTTGCAGTCTCATGTGGGAATGCTGGAATCCTTCAGAGCTGACCTGTCATATCTCCATGAAAATCCACCAGAGGGCAGAAGAGCCAAAGCCAAGGAACTGGAAGAGCATCGTTTGAGAGCAGAGTACCTGCAACATGAGGTACAGTCTCATTTGTGTAAACCTTTCATTTGTTAACACAAGTTGAAGTTATCTTCTTCTTGATCAGATTTGTCGCTATGAGGCCTACATTCAAGTGCTGGAGGTCTGGAAGAGCGTGAAGACTTCAGATGACAGCACAATAAACAGTGCAGAGCTAGGCCACTTTGACAGAAAAATTTGTGCTGAGGTTTTAGAGGAAGATGAAGAAGGGGGACTGAAGAAGTCCCACTCCAGCCCATCTCTGGAACTGGAGGTCACTGCTCCTGCTGTGGTCAAAGTTAAGCGGAACATTTCAGAACGTCGAACATATCGCAGGGCTGTTGTTCCCAAGTGGAATAAGGAGGATTAAAGTGTTACACAGAGAAAAACTTCATGCTGATTTATAATATAGAAATTTCTAGTGGCACTGAGTAAACTACCACCAAAGTCTTATTTAAATCTTACCTTGACAGGTATTTTATGTTATGCACTTTTAATGAAGCATCCTCAGGGGATCTGTTACAAAGTCTTTTAGATTATTATAGAAAACTATTTTATTTTTGTCAATTATTGTTTGTGGACCTATAATTTATTTTGCTTTTTAGTGGATTTCCATATGGTACAGACTGGACATGTGACATTAATGTGAGAGTCAACAGAGGGTGCTGTTGTACAGAAGTGAATGCTGTCAGGTACTTTCCAAGTCAATTGCACTTTTATGTTTTATGATAATTTGTCCAACGTGTATGTTGTGATAGTCACTTTTTAATGAAGGATTTATTTTTAATGTCTGTCTTCCAATGTTATTTTCATTTTTGTATAAAATAAAATGTTGCCTGATAACAATGAGTTTGATGTTTACCTTCACAGTCCATTTGGTATAAATTGATGCAAGTAATTTATTTTTCATACTTGGTTCTACATTAATTTTTTTTTTAACATAAAAAAAAATTATTGAATACCAAAATAAGTATCACTTGCACACATTTAAAGATTGCTCACTATCCTGAACTTCAGGCAAGACACTACTTGAGAACAGGGTAAATTTCTTACCTACTACCTACTACTTAACCTACTAATTTGAATATGCATGTACTTACTGATGAATATGAAAAAAACAATTTTTTTTTTTTTTTTTTTAAGGTTGTGGGTAAATAAGACATTTTAGTTGCACTGGGCATTAAGGAAGATTTAAATAAGTAGATATATAAAAATAAAATAAAATATACAAAGTGTTTTGTCTTTAATGCGACTGTGAACTAGGGAGTGTCCCAAGCCATATTTTTCACTTCAGGACACTTATGAGCAGTCAACCTGAGACTACCAACAATAAAAGCCAGATGTCCACAGTTGTCCTGCTTTATTATTGAAAACAAATATTAACAATATGTGACCACAACACAAACTAGAGGAATGTGATGCGTCCATTGCAAATTAACAAACAAAAGTGCTGATAGCACTTTCAGCCAAGTAGCAGTTTGGACCTGTTGCTCCCTCTTCATTCATTTAGGTTGGAGTAATAATAGGGATTTTGTTTCTGAATGGATGCTGTCTTCTTTCACGGAATGAAACAACAACAGCCCATTAAGATAAAGTCAGATTCTACAGATGAGAATGACGGATGGGGCTTGTGAATGACAGGGGCCTCAGGCGATCAAAGCACTTTGGGAAATCTCATGCCAGCCCAACTAACCTAAATGTTCAAATGTCTGAAACATTAAAATGGATGAGTCCTGGTGCCTACAGATCAAATACATGTTTTAATGATGTGGTAACATACTGGAGTCAGTGCTAAAAGTGCCCTTTGGTGTGGACGTCACAGAAGAGCTCTTGACCAAAAGCTTCTTCACTTGGCCTGTGGACCATGACTTCAACAGTGGTGGCCTTGGAGTGTAGTCTTTGCTCTTCTCCAGAAACAATGATGACTGCTTAGAGCAGCATTAGCCGTTGGGTTCAGAGGGCATCTGTCCCAAGGAATTGGCTTGTTTTTGTCCCATGTGCACCATTCCTTTCTGGAGAGCTTTGTATAACTCAGTCAGGCCTGGGTGGGTATTTAAAAAGGCAAGAACTCTAGTTGTAGTCATTAGGGACTTGTCTCAAATGTTTTTTTCAAGTAACATACTTAAACACACACTTATTTCTTTTTTTATGTATTGAAGTAATTTTGAACATAGTTTTCATGTTCATTCTGAAATGCTCATATGAGGCACTGCACAAATCTTTGCCAACCAACATTTCCCTGCACTCAACAGTTCTCCTGACACACACTCTCCATCTGCTGCTGACGCTGCGGCACACTCGGTTTTGTACTTTTGTCTTCAATGTTCCTGCTCTTTCTTCCCTCCAGCCTAAGGCTCTCAAGTCCAGGGTTCTTCAAGTCCCTTAGAGATCTTACAAACCTTGTGCTTAGTTTCTGGAATAGATGTTGAGTGATAATTTGTGTTGCCTTTCCAAATTATGATTCCTTAGAATTTTATGTGAGAGATTATCATGATCTTGACAAATTGTAACGAGTGTGCTTTTTCACACTGAGACACCAGGCATTTTCCTTTAGTCTGTGAATTACACACAGATCAAATATGATCCAGTATACACATTTTCTTACAAATGTTAGTTCTTGTACTAAAAGCTTTTCACAGAAAGAGTTAAAACAAGTGCCTTGCTTAAGGGCATTTCAACGCATGACCTCTTTCTGCCCTCTCTCTCTCCACATACATTTGTGCCCCTGACAACACTCCTTAGGCAGCTTTTAAGATGCAGGACCAGGACAAACATCCCAGATAGGAGCTTAACGGCAGCACTGAGTCAGTTAATGTAATCTAAAGAATGTATGAGAATGTTTAATCTGCATATGCTATCGCAACAGTTTTTTCCCCCATCATGTTAAAAGTATCTATCATACTGTCTTTGTTTGAAGTGTAATATTTGGCCATCAAACTGAAATCACCCAGTTAACGATAGTGGAGCCCTTTTTCCACTGAGTTTGACTCCTGGCCTCTGCAGGTCAGTTGTTTCCCTCAGGGCATCACCCGATACCTGGCAGATTTTATCCACCTCGGTGTAAGCGTTGAATGTGTGTGTGCTTTGAAAGGTGTGTTTTTCTTGATGTCTCTCAGTCAATAGTAGCTTCCTGCCTCCGGGGCCAGTGTGCTGTTTAATTGGCCAGTCCAACACAGGGCACCTGTGTTTCCTCTCCGCCTCTGGTTCTTCAACACAAACTCCCTCTGTTTGGCCACTGCCATTTTTTATTCCAGGTGCATTATTGTCAAAGGCCGAGGAGATGGGGCACCTTCTTGAAATCTGAGGAAGGTGCAACTATTTGAAGTGCACTCACATTTCTCATTCCACAGGTCACACAGCTCGCTTCAGTGATGATATTTAGTTGACCACTAAAAAGACCACATAAGCAATGCACTAGCAAGGCTGGATTTGCATTAAAATGTAGTATTTTAACTATTTAAAGTAGGTTCCCTGTCTTCAGAATTTCATTGTCATCATCAAATTATAACTTCATTGTAATGGTTTAACTTTTAATATCATTTCCATGTTGTTTTAGTGCTAGTGCAGATATTGGCACATAATATTACTGTTTTAAATATTTTTTGTGTCCTTAATTCAATTGTCAGTTTTTGATTTATCCAGTTACTTGTTTCAGCCTGACTTATGTAAAGCTATCATCTCTAAGTTTATTATTTTCTCCAGTAGCCTTTGTTCAGGGTGGGTTTCTTCTTTTTTTTCTGTAAGGTCAAAGCTGACACATTTTATCAAACAGCAGTAATGCAAATAGCATCTAGTGGTGATATGTGTGAATACAACATGCTGGGTTGACCAGTCTAATTACAGATGGTAGCTTTGAGAACATAACTTTGCTTTACTGATTTGATGTTTGCCATACTATACAACAAAATGGACCACTATGAGCAGTGCAGGAGCAGGTGCAGCCATTTCAAATCAATCGTATGTTTTGCAGCTATTTGAGTGGACACATTTTAATAGCTAACTCAATACCTATAGCCAGGCTGAATGAAGTACTTTCCAGATGACTGGTGTTGGTGCAGGACAAGTCTAGCCCATCATTCCACTGATTGGGCCACACTCCTCTGCTGCCTTTTTGGCACCACTTCCTCCAGGGGCCCCTTCAGTGGTGGAGTTAACCCCCATAATGGTAATGGGACACATGCCTGGTCCTCCACAGGGTTATATCACACTTGGACAGTGTCTCATCATCACTGTAGACTGCTGTAGACACACATACCAGGCCTGTGTGGTAGATTTAGTGAATCCCAGTCGCCTCGTCCAGTCCAGCATTGTCTGCGCTCAGCTGTTCCGGCCCGGTGCCTGTATTGTGCAGCCGAGCTCATTACTAGTACTTCTGTGGCCCAAACACTCCTTGCTAATAGGCCCTTGGAGGCTGCGAAGTTTTTTGCTACTCTGGCTTGCGTGATGCTGTGTGTTGGCACCAAAACTGTTAATGTTTAACATTTGTGGCAGCTATTTCTCTTGATTGCTGTCAGGTGACGAAGCCATTTTACATAAAGCTTAGCTAAAAGGTTTGTCTCATATCTGTGAGGCAAATAGACTTGAAAGACCCTGTACATATGACTCCATATGAATGTGTGTGTTTCTGCATGCCTGAGCAGAGAATTGGAAAGAATGGTGCCCAGTCAGTGGATGGGCTGTCGGGAGCGGGCCGGGACACTGGGACAATAATTGGATGAAGTGCAGCTATTGTTTAAAGTTTACAGGGTGGTATCCAGTGTTTGCTCAGGAAAGATGAGACAAAAAGTGATGTGGAGGAGGTGAGTTAGTAGAGTGAAATGACAGGAGATTGTATGATGTAAACAGAGAAATGCCAGAGCGCATCAGCCTTAAAACTAAAGATGCTTCTTGAACTCAACTGATGTGTTAAAGTGGTAGGCTTAGAAGTCAGACACAAGCCCTTATGTGGTCCAGTCCAATGAGTCTTAATTAGGCCCTTCTTACATTTCCACTAGACTAGCATACAGAAGTGGAGAATACACATAAAGAGTTGTGAAGATTTGGAATGGAATTAAATAAAACACTTAACCCTAATAGATTTCAGTTTTTTTATTGGCCTGTTTTGATGCATGATGATAAAGGCTGATCATAGTTTTACCTGAAGCTTGTAGCAATAGACTTGTGCGTATTTCAGGTGGAGCGTGATCCAGGGCTCTTCTCACAAGTTACCGCTTTGATCGTATGTCTTCGACTTCGATTAAATATTATCGACCAGAAGCCTGATACTACTGGAGCTTTGTCTGTAGTATCAAATAGGTCTATGCCTTTAGCTGCAAATTCCTACAGTCAACAGTTAGGCCGTGAAATGACAGACCTCTGTTTAAACTCTATTTTGGTCGTTGCACTGAAATAAAATAGTGTAAACTGACGTGCACGACGACGTATAGATGCGCAGGAGTGTCTCTTGTCCCGCGGAAGGAGGCACCAGGTGGGTCGCGGCACCGCCGAACCGTGGCCTCGTTATGCCTCCTCCGTAATGAGACCACAAAGAGCTACGCAATAATTGCAAATAAAAATACATGATGCAGAAAATAAAAAAGAAATTAAACAGATGTGCGTGTTTTCGGGATCATTGATTTCGTCCTTTTAAAGAGCTGTGCAGCAAAAATGAGACCGTTTCAAAATAACTTGTTAACTTCTCTTATATTGTAATTTTACTGTAGGCTAATAAGCTATAGGCCAAATAAGCCAATGGTAAAAATAAATAAATAAATAACAATAATAAAATGCACAATTTTAAATGTATCATGCTTTAATTAAAATATTTTTTTTTTAGAAATTCATATTTACACATTGAATAATATTAATATAAGAAAAAATAGTCACAGTTTTTACCAAACATTTGAACATCAACATGTCAAATTGAACAAATGCATTTCAAGCAGTACTGGTTTTCATTCTCCAATCTCCACTACCCCCAGTACTCCTATGCCTAAAAGTTTCAGTTCTCCATAGGCATTTTTCATTTACATTATATACATATTGCTAACAGATCACGTGAAATTTGGTGAACACCGTATTTTATTAATATTATGGAGACTGTAAACCATAGAAAATGACGACAATTGCCAAATAACAAAAATATGAATGTAAACAAATGTAGGCATAGTTTAATATAAAGTTCTTGCATATTTTTAGAATCCGACAGTGTGTGGCAAACTGGCAATAAAATTCTTTGGTCGTATTACGAAAAACTGAGTTTGCATGTAACCACCATAGACTGTATGGCAACACCATACTCAACAGTAGCCTATAATAAATATACTCAAATACTTTAACATAGATGAGATTTATGTCAACAAATAACCAGACATAGAAATGCAGTGGCTATTTCCTCAGCAGCTTTACATCCTTGGTCCTGTCACATGCCAAATGTTCCAGGTTTGAGTCCTTTGTATTTTAGGCTAATTGGCACAAAGTCAGGCTAAAGATGGTCATAGGCAGCTGTGGACGGAGGGGCTGTGCGTGATGCCGAGCTGTAATAATAAGGCGAACCTACAAACAATAAAAGAATACAGAAAAGGCATTAGGAGGTGATGATGAAGCTGGGTGAGATATAACAGCACAGCAGATGGTTAAGAATACAGTCTGTTTGTCCTACCAGGGGATTGCATTAGACTTAACCTCAGTCAAGAATGAAAAAAAACCAATCATTGCCGCAAAAGACTTTCCATTTCAAATCAAACACTTTAAGATAAGGGGACAACAGGAGCTAGAATTAAAGAACGTAATTACAACTATGATTATTTTATTCAACTGTCCTCAAACTGAAAATAAAATATGATCTTTTGAATGGGAAAAAGTCCTCAAACTGTTGCATGTAACAGGAAACCCAAAGCCATTCATTAACAATTAAAAGCACAAATGAAGTGAAAATATATTATCTCAATGTCTCAATGTTAACCTAATAATAATCATTAGATTAATTTTATTATTACATGAGGTAAAAAAAGAAACAAATGTGTTTGAAGTAAATATAATTTTTGTCTGCAACTCACCCAGTATGCCAGAGTTGGTAAATCTCCAGGCCTCACTATAGGAGGTATATGGAGAATGGCTATAGGACTGGCCCGAGTAGTCAGCACCTGAAAGAAAAAAGAAAAGCCTCTAATGAAATATCAACACCAAAGTTATTACCTTAAACCAGCTCATGTTAAGGGTTACTATTAAAACATAGGCAAAAAAAAAACATCATGACAAGCTTTGTAGTGTTTCAGTCTATGGCCAGCTTTAGCTCATAATTCACCAATGGTTAGTGCAGCCTGTAAACCATTAATCTGTGGTGCAGGTGGGTGGCTCAGGGTAAAATCCCTCGACCCAGTGGTGCGTGCATGTAGCTATAGCCTCTCAGCTTTTTCATGCCCTCAGCCCCTCAAACGGACCTCCTCCAACCCCATCTCACCCTCCCTCTGCCCGGCATTTCCTTCTTTAGCCTAGTTTCACTCTCTTTTAGTTTAGTTTTTTTTTTTTTTTTTGTTACATTTCAATATCTAATTGGTAATTATGTTGGCTGGTATAAATCCCTCCTCCCTACTAGTCTTGTTCCTCTCTTAACTCTCCCTCCCACTGCTATTCCACTCAGTAATTGTGTATCAACGCTTCCTTGCAGTGAGCCCACCAGAAAAATAATAAATCAGAGCCTCTCATTTCGCGCTTCGAAGGGCAGACTTCAAATAAAAAAGGCACACACACACATTTGGCTCACTATACCCGCGAGGACAGGACTTTGCAGCCTCAAGCCCCTTGTATTAAAACAACGCCTCACCATTGTCCTTATCAGTAACATATTATAGATGACTGTACATTGACATCCATACATTGCTGATGTCATGAAATGAATTAAATAAATTCCGACTGATTTATTTGATAAAAATCACAAGCAAATATGGCCTTATACTGTTATCGACTTTATGAAACAAGATGTAAAATAATTTACCAAGCCACACAACTTTCTTTTGAACAATCACAACTTGGCCTTTTCATATTATCCATATTCTGAGCATCCCTTAGCTGTATTCAGGTCAAAGTCTTTAATGCGACAGAAAAACAAGTCAGACACTGAGACTAAACCTCTCCTGTTGTTTCCTTCACAGATTTGATACTCCGTCAGCCTCTCTCTCTCTCTTCTTCTCTCTCTCTCTCTCCTGGGCCCCCCGGTTCCCATGGCGATGTGTGGTCAGAGGTGTCGGGACGATGGGGGTGTGGGCAGCAAGGCGGAACCCCCAGCCTGCACCCCCTGGGCGCAAGTGCAGCACAGCATACACCCACATAAACAGCACCACTATTCAGCACAATGCCAAAGCTACTCATTAACACAGCCAGCCTCCTGTTAATCTACAAACCCCATTTTCATCATCACCAGTTCTTTCCCTTGACTACACCTATCTGGTTTTGTACTTTCATATTTCAGTGTAAATTCATGCTGTTTTGATCCAGCTAATGTTTGTGTTGTGGATTTTTCTTACCCGCTACCATGCTTGTGATGGCAGAAGAAGAGTATCCCGACTGTGCTGGAGATGGGATGTGGGGTGGGTAGCCTGGCAATGTGGAGCTCACCATGTCACGCCCTGAAAAAACAATCAAAACATGTAAAATTAGACTTCCCCTATTATGTGATTTATTATTTTTTTTACTTACTTACTTTACTTATACTGTAGTCAAATTAAAATTAGTTTAAATGATAATTATGCTTGTTTACAAATACATATAAATAAATAAATACATTTTCTGGTATTTCACTGTCTAAATATTATGTAAATTTTGTGTGCTATGGGATAGCAGGGTATAAAGACAACACATAGCATGGCACACCTACACACACGCACACATTGCAGTTTGTGTTATGACCAAAAGCATGGAGGTGATGGATGCTCGCGTTACCTGAGATGATAGACTGGCTGCTGAACTGGCCGTACACAGGTGCATGATGGGAGAAGGAGCTGATGGCATTGGGGAAATGGTTGGAACTGCTGCAGCTGCTGACAGAGACGGGTTTTTGCAGAGCCTGGAGCTCTACATAGGCCAGGTTGGATGGTGTCATGTGAGGGGAGGGGCAGGTGCTTGTCACTTCTGGAGACATCTCTTGTTTTAGGCAGAGCGGCAGTGGCTGTACAGAGTCTGTCACAACCAGCATGCACAAGAGGAGGGGACAATGAAATGTGAAGATATGAGTGGGTGTGACCTTATACAAAACTACAACAAATGAATAGAAAGCATGCAGGGTGCCTCGTATAAACTCACCTGTCACCACTGTGTATCCCTGATGCCCTGCCAGATTGCGACCAAGAGCTGTGCTGGATGTTGACAGGCTGTTCTTTGCCTCCTCTAAAGTACCATTGATAAGTGTCAGCGGATACAAAGTCTGAGGAGATAATGGACCGTAGTTAGGTTCTGATTTAAAAATATAAAATATCTTTGCTTTCGTAGAATACTGGTAAAGTTATAGAGTGTATTACTTGTTCTGTCTTGCTACTTGATGGTGAGTTGAAGGCGTCCGTTGGGTAGTGGTGCCGGTCAAAGCCACAGTCCAAGTGTTGCGATGCTGCTGTGAAATGGTCCAGTCTCATTTGTTTTCTAGGGATGCCCCCGCTACCCTGAGAGTCTACACTGTGCCGACAACTCTCCTGATCACCTGGGACGAATATATATGCATATATTTATTATTTGTTTTCTCAAGGTTCATTAGTTTGTGTTGTAATGATACGACATTTATGGGCTTTATTCTAAACTTAAAATTCAAGATTGTATGTGAGCAGTGACTGTGAACTTCAGTATTTTACTTTTAATTATTAACTGTTATTTCACATTAATAAGTGGAATCTTCTTACTGTCATCGTGGCTCCTCTTGCCCTCTGTACCAGTCTGGGGAATACCCAATAAGCCATTGATGGAGTAGGTGGAGCCCAAAGAGTCCGACTGTGGAGATTCAGGAGGGGTAACTGCTGAACTCGGGACTGTTATAAAAGTGAAACAGATACAGAGGAAGTGTTATGTATAGATCACAGCACAAGGTCAAGGCTTAATCCTACACAACAATAAGCACACTGCCTCTTTAACCCTAATCCTCAACAAGCAGATCATAATACTCAGTGTATCTCACATGTCTGTATTTATAAATGTGTTGGAGAAAACCTACTTAATGTTTGACCTGGGCTCAGGCCTTTTCCATCCAGAGGCAGGTTAAATGGTTGCTGGACCTTGGTGCGAATTATTCTGCAAGAAAAACAAAAGAAAAGGAATGTTTGAGAGAGAACGATGATGTAATTACACAACATTAATAAGTTAATATCCAACTGCCTTTGAGTCGCTCAGCGGTCACATTTCCTACAACAATGACTTTGCCTTTAGTTCTGTGCATTCAGTGTCACAGTTGAATGAGATCAGTCACCTGTTTATGGAGCTCACACTGGGCACAGTGTCACTGTCACACACGCCTTCAGCCAGCAGGCGGTCTCGAATCTCCCAGGCAAACATAGTCGGATTCTGTCTCTTGTACTCTGCAATCTTGTCCACAACCTTTGGAGTGGCCACCTTGGGCTTTGAGCCACCAATCACACCAGGTTTAATGCTACCGGTTTCGTAGTAGCTGCAAAGGTGAACAGATAAACTGAAGTTGAAATTGAAGTCATGTTACACTGGACACTGATTTAAAAACCAAAAATCAAGAATAAAATTATTGGATACAGAAAAATACATGAGAAGCCAGGTGAGACATTCTTACCGTCCAAGGATTTTACTGACACAGCCATGGCTGACCCGGAGCTGGCGGGAGATGTCACAGGGCCGTACTCCCTGGTGGGCCATATCCACTATGCGTTGCCGGATAACCTCCGGAAGTGGACGTCCATTTACAAACATTCCGCCTAGTTGGTTAAGACCCCCATGACCTGGGGGAAGGAGGAGGATGAACAACTATAAATGTCATGGAAAAGACAAAAAACTCAGACCATTGCACAATTGCACTTTACCTGTAATTTAACTTAAAGAAGATGATCTATCAAGTTTTAATCAGAAACTTGAAATTATCTCAACTGGGTCTTTACATGTGTAGTCTAATAATATGTGTTTGCTCCATACTAGTGACGAACTTCAGAGTAATATGTGAGATAGCAAAACTTGTGTTGTATAGTTAAAAGGTAGTTTTATATTTGGTTTTAAATAATTCATAATTTAAAATACAAAAAGATATGCTAATCAAGTTTGATGCTTTTTAGAAAAAAGCTAAGGGAATGCACAATTAGAGCATATTTTTAATAAATAAACATGGTGGTCTATTTCACATTAATTTGAATTTTGGAATAGAATAATTCCAAATGACCTGATGAATATGACCTAAATAGGCATGTGCCAAATGAGTCTAAAAAGTGTTACTACAATAAAGCTTAATTAAAAGGACTCTGTTAAATTTTTTCTAGGCTCCATATTAGGCATATTCTTTGCAGCGTTTATCTTACATAGGCTATTTTTAATATTATTATTTATAAAGGCTATAACCGTTTTTTATGAGGAAGAATTGTGCCGTGCTAAGCCAGTCCCTGCGTGCGTTTAGGCCGGTGTAGTGTATTTACCTCTTCCAGTGTTGCCAGACATTTCCCTGAGTTGCCCGTGGTCCACGTGTGGAAAGAGTGCGTCTTTTCCAATACTCTACAAGTCTTGTGTTTGCATGTGTTTCCCCCGGAGAACACTGACACCAAAACCTGCTAAAATTATAGGGCGTTTGTTAAATTAAAATAGTCTGACGTCTTAATTTGTTTAATGCATACATATTAATTATGGCCATTTAATTGAACTGTATTGCGCACTCCACTTTTTAAGCTAATAAACGAATGTAGTTTTATTGCATCGGTAGTTATTGTTATTATATTGTTTGGTGAGGGGGAAATATAAAGACAATAACCACAACATCAAAGAGGCTATGCCCGGCCTTGCCTTATGGTTTGTGGGAGCCTATTTCACCTGTTAACCCACAGAATTGATGGCACTGATGATACTTGACCTATTGATATTTCCTGACGACTGTAAGCATGACAGCAACATGACATTTTGACATGGTGGGTCTTTAGTTTAATCCAGTAGAATAAGTTTCACACTGTAAGAACGAGGTCCTGCTGCGCATTACGACTTTAATTAACTCCTGTCATATCACACAGCATGTGTGTGGTTTCAACAAGGTTTTTAATGAAGTTAATTGCTAAAAACGTGTCTAGACCTATTGTGGTCAAACGAGTCATAATAACAAAAACTCATGAAAATAAAATGTAGCCTAGCCTGTTTGTTTTGTGTGTTCCTCTAAAATGGACTTCAAAATAGGCTACAGTCATTTTATAAGATGGATTTGACATTGATGGATCACTGCCTTTTACCACACTAACAACAATTTCATGGTTATTAGTGATCAATTAGCTGTTAATTACTAATGCATGTTAGTAAATTTTACCTTTCTTTGGCCCAAAATACAATACAAAAACGTCCTTTACAGAACATATAGTCCTGTTTACTCCAAATTAAACTCTTATCACTGCTTCATAGAAAATAATAACCACCAAGCCCGTAGCTTTCAATTATTTTTAAGGGCAGGTCAATAGATAATTTAACTTTAGTAATGGCGTAAAATTACAGAAATACGTAAATTACGCGTGTTGCGTTACGCACATGATTCGGTTTGACAGTGGTGCAATTTATGAAGTATAGCCTACCTCCATTAGTATATAGCGAATAATTTTGACACATTTTATTAGGCTCCCATTTTCACTGACCTGTTAACATTATGTTTTATTTTGGAGAACTAACGGTCATATAAAACAGCTCTATTGCTACACGCAATCTCAAAAATTCAGGCTCAACAAAAAGCACAAAATTCCTTTCTCACCTTTTAGAAGACAAAGCCACAAAGACCCGCTCGTCCCGCAGATGTTCAGGTATTATCCAAAATTCGAAGCCAGCTCGCCTTGTCAGAGCTCCTCTGTCGCTGTAATGAGTGTTGTGAGAAATGCCAAGACGGGCCAGGCTTTATTCGAATAGCTGTGCGCCTGGGACCATGCTTTGCTGCCATTGGTTGAGATTCAAAAGGGGAGTGGTCTGGAGAAAATGCCCAACTTCAGATAACCCTGGAATAAAATAGAAAATAGTGAGCGTAAATATGTTTCAGCAACACTACACTTGCCAAAGAGTCGACCTGTTTTCGCTTAGGTTAAGCGCATACTTTGTGTCAGCATCAAGGAGACAGATTTTAGGTCTACACCTACTGTGAGCTCTGTTCAAGTCATAAATAAATGTAGGCCTATATCATTAAAAGCTGAAGATATGTTTTTGCTATATTTTCTGTTGTGTTTTATTGTAGTCTATAGCCTATTGTCTAACTCATCATCTAAGTGACGGCCGTGATTTTTGTGATTAAGGCAAAGTGCTAAAATGGGAAAATTTGCCTTTTCTTTATTAATAATCCCATCAAAATGATTTATGATTACTAAGGAAATTACTTGGTAACGGAGCAATGGAATAGTAAAATTACCTCGATTGACTTTTTTCAAAGCTTATAAATTATAACCTATTATTAGCATTCTTTTATGATAAAAAGAAAAGAAACAAATTCCTGCACCAAATGCAAAATAAGTCCCAGACGATTTTTTCAGCGAAAGACAGATTGTTAAAGCTTTCTGAAGAGCTCAGAGCTGCACATAAGCAAACATTGGTCTAAGTCCCTTGTACCAGGTGTAAAAGTTTGTGTTAGCAGGCCCTAAAGTGAATGTGCGCCGGTGCTCACCCGCAGCGTTATGGGCCCTGCACACGCGTGATGTCACACCATGGACTCAGGATCCCCCTGAGTTAAAACGCCGCTAATGTTGTTCTCACTAGTCTGTTAAACAAACACGAGACCTTTAATGACACATTCGTGGCACCGTTTAGTCTGTGCCAACATAAAGCTTAATGTCTAGATTTTTTAGTAAGATTTATTTTATTACATATAAATTTGAAGGACGAAGAAGATGGACAGCATGGATTTGAGTCTAGTGAAAATCCATTAGTTTTTGAAATTTAAACCATCTGAGAAAGAATCACATACAAACGTGAATGAAGCCCTTATTGAATGCGTAAACGGTGTCCTTATCTCATCAGTCACCGATTGAAGTCCATAGCTCTTCATTGACTTCAGAGGCAGCGCGGGACAATGAGCTTAGTGTTTTTAAATAAATATTACTGTAAGGACACTAAAGGGCATCATAACATGAACTGGAAACACAGCAGTACTCTGTGAAGAGGAGAAGATGACATGTACCCGTAGGCAGAAGTGCCACCGCAGAGGTTACCCGGAGTTTAACAAGGGATTAAAAGTCACTGATTGGTATCTAACTCTATGGCACTCTGAATAAAAAAGACGCGTAATTACTGACAACACTGTCACACACCCTGAATATACTAGAAGGCCTACTTGGAAGCAACACAAAAAAGTTTAGTTGACTTTGCGCTCAAGTCCTTTGCGCACAACGTAGCCTACAAGAAATAACACAGGCCTAAAAAAAATCGAATTTGATGAAAAATAACCATGAAATAAATTATTTTAAAGCGACACAACCTTTCTGCGTGTGTTTATGAGACGCAATGTTTTTACAAAACAACTAAAATAGTCATTTATTTGTTTGTTTGTTTTTCAAGAAGAAAAATAAATCAATAATATTGGCAATAAATAAAATACAAATTGGTTTAGGCTACAATTTAGGCTTGTATATTGGCTACTATACTATATATATATATATATATATATATATATATATATATATATATATATATATATATATATATATATATATATATATATATATATATATATATATAATATATATAATGAAATACAGGCAAGGTTTTCTTGCGGTATAACATTAAAATTGTCCTATCTCTTTTATTTTCATCATCATCATATCTTTTGCATATGTAATACATTTGAAAGCGTCAGTATTTTGGCTCGCGTTTGGGTCAGGGTGTGTCTTGTTGACGCTGTCACTGAATTTGTTCCTCCAGCAAAGTTTTTGGCTCTTTGTGGCAGAATGCGCGTGACCTGCGGCGACAGGTGTCCACGAGAGGTCAAAAGTAACACTTCCGAGCTCGGCGATAAGAGAGATGTGCAGACACGTTTGGTTGATTCTTGGGATATTCTCAGTTTGATTCAGATGGGAGCTGTCATTAAGCCAGTTAACCGTGCCTTACGAGATAAAGCATACAGGAAACGGCGGAATGTCTCAGGTAAATGACACAGCAGCCGAGTTCTGCAACCTTCAGTCTCAGATTGTTTGTTCAGATTTTTCGAATTCACATTACAGTTGCTAAATTATGAAAAGAAAATGGATTAGGGTAGAATTAGCACTGGAATACGCGCCTTTCCCCCATTTCTAGAAAGACCATATTTAGTCTTAGACTCATTTTAGGCGGGGGTAAATAGCTCTTCAGTAGCATTTACATTTTAGTTGGTTTAACTGCGCATGAAGTGGTAGGCTATAGAATCCCATTTTTAAACTAGCCTATAGCTTATACAAAACCTAATATGTTATTAAATTGTTAAGTTTGTGTAAGAAAATTACAAACTAAGAAGCCATTCTGCTCGAAGCGTTCTGCAGTTCTGCAGTTCTGCCATTTTGAACTGAGCATTATTTTGGAATTAATATTAAACCCTTCCTCAACAGCTCACAAATGATGATCAATGCCAGAGTGCGGACCAACCTGACCCAAAGTCACAAGTTTTGTATATAAACTTTAGTCATACACAGCAAAAAACAAAAACAAGATGTTTTTAGATTTTAGCCCCATGCTCAACTGTTTTAATATGAGCAGAAAACACACGCTCAAATGTGTTGACCTTTGGTGGATGTGCACACAACAGACTTCTCTCTACTGGCCCCATCTGTGTGCTCTCACTGGATGTACTGTAGCTTAAACTGAAAAACCCTACTTAGTGACAACTTTTATAAATGCATCCAAGCACAAATCTCTCTTTGTGGTCAGCCAGTCGAGATGAGGCAGATAATTAGATCATAATAGCTTCAGAAACAACTTGGTATTGATGTCGCCATTACGCTTTAGATTTTCTCTGCTGTGATGAAGCATGGCTCAGCTGACTAAGTGCAATTTAACTACACCGTAACAGATAGCGTAGTTAATCTTGTATGATTCATATTTGCTCAATGTATGTCACTTTTACAATACTACTAAGTTACATGTGCACTGTAAAAGAGTAATATAAATTTTGATAGATATAAAAATATCAAATTGTATAAACCTGTTCTAAACTCAGTAATAAAACCTTGAGTACAGACGATTAAACTCACCTGCATAATTTTACACCTAGAACCGTAGAAAATGGGACGAAAATCTGAGCTTCAACTAATATAGTAATTGTTAGGGGAAGTATAAATCAGGTTTACAGTTGAAACTGTGAATAGATGTTTTACCAAGCCAGCTGTATCAATACAAATTTTTATCCAATCATTTCCAAATGTACTGGCATCTGAATGTGACAATCAACAAACTGTAAAAGCTGATTGATAATTGATATATTAACATCATAAGCATTATTTGTTTCCTAATCTAAACCATCTGTTGTGAAAACTATACCACTTGTCTAGTTTTGTTGTCTACATATGGGACGTCATGTCAGGGTGCTGTGTGCCCCTGTCCTATATAGTCATGGGGCACACCGCAGCTCTTTGGCTTTTTGATTGGTGGCCACCCCTTTCCCTCCACCATCTGTTTTGGTTTCCTCCATTCTATCATCTTTTTCTTCTCTCCTCATCTTCCTGTGTTTTGTGCACTATCCACCCTCCTCTCAGCCCCGTGTGTGTCTTGGACCAGCCTTGTCCATTGTCTGAGGGGTGCTTCCCATTTCCGCTTTGGTGTTGCCCTCTGACCCTGCACCCCCGTCCCTCCTGCTGGTGTCCCCCATGGAACCCCAAATCTTCTTGTTCTTTCCTAGGCTGACCCCCCCTAAGTTTTTTGGGAAGGTAATAACTGTTGCCAGCAAGTGCTGCACAAAATCCCAGCATGGTTGCTATTGTGAGCTGTACAAAGGCATACAGGCAGTAATGGCCATTAGCTACAGAGGGGCTTAAGCCTGCGAGCCCTGTTTACTTGTGTTTAGCCCACATGCCGTAAAAAAATCTGGTTGTGGAGACATGCACATACCTGCACATGTTTCTTATCTGCATAGTTTTTTGGGATTTTCTTCAACATTTTTATACACAAAGTTATTGGTTTGTCTCTTGTCAAATTATGTGTTCACAAAATATCTTTCCATGTTTCAGCAGACTCTCTTTGGCTTCCATCATAAAGTTTAAAGAATAAGTCAGTTGAATAAGCTCAATTGAATTCAGTTTGGCGATACAGGTCACAAGCTCCCCCACTTACACACACTATAATTGCAGGACACTTTGAGGATCAGAGAGACTGGTCAACCTTGTCTTCATGCCTGTCACTCACACCGCGTCGCCACGGAGACATTCATCAGTCAGTCGGTCAGTGGTTGTTGTAGTGTTTTGTCAGGGATCTGAAGCCAAAGGTCCTCTGATGTCAGGACACAGACAATAAGAATGGATCAAACACATTGCAAACATAGCGAAGGCCTGTTTTTCTGAAACACAGGCTGAATGAGAATGAGATGATCAGTTTCTGTAAGGTGGAGTTTATGTCCTGACTATAATCTTATTTGCTTTTTAAACATGTTTGCAAAAGAAGACTTTTTTAAACTTTAGAATAATGACATCCATGTCAAATATTGTCTTAATTGGACTTAGACCACTATACCAAAAGTACATTGAAATGACACCATTGAAATGACATCATTTTAAATAGCAACTTTTATCTTGAATTGAAATACTATTTTGCCATGATGACTTTATCCATCTACACTTCAATAATGTTAGAATGGATTTATCTTTCAGACCCAATTTTAAGACAGGAAATAGCAAATTTGTGAATGTTAGAGAA